AAAACCGTGAACAACCACATTAACTAAGAACACGGTAAAGAACAGACATTGATCAGCTTGGATTCACCTTTTCAAAGACTCTGCAAACAAAACCTTTCTGATTTTGGTATAATAGAGTTTTTCCAAAGAGAGAGTATATCACCTGGTCATTTTAGGAAGCATTGACAAGGCGCTAGAAAATACGGAGTTGCGTAATGAAGAAAGGACGCTATTTCAGCTCCTCTAAGCCCAGGGAAGAGTCTGCATGGAGTCCTTAGCACCCTTCTAACATGTGCAGTCTTCCTTCATGACAAAGTTCTGATCCTTGTTGGGCAGCAGTGTCTTCACAGAATTGAAGAACATGACCGTTGCTCGTAGTTACTTCATACTTATGCAAATGTATTTATTTTTGATTTTTACTGTTATTTTTTTAATCCCCACACAAGGATGTTTTTTTTCACATTGATTTTAGGGAGAGAGGAAGTGGGATGGGTGGGGGTGGGGAGAGAGACACTGACCAGTTGCCTCCAGTGCACGCCTACACTGGGGACTGAAGCCACAACCTTTGGTGTGTAGGGTAACGCTCCAACCGGGTACCTGGCCGGGGCATGATTTTTTCTGAATGTATTACTTTTTCACTCACAGTAGTGAGATACAATTCCTCTTTGAAGCACATTTAAGTTAAAAAGTTAATCTATTTTTAAGTAAAATATTTAATAATAATAGAGTTATATAAGGATATGAGAAATACCATGAAAGATGTACACAAAGCAAATGAAATTTTGGCCTATGTTGATTTCCATCTAACTTCTGAAGAAAAAGATATGATCACACAAAAGTGAAAATTGAAGGCAATTGAATAAAACTATTGAGTTTATATTATTCTATCTCTCCCAAGACATAATAGGTACCACAACTACAACCATTTCTTGATGGCTTACCCTGTACATGGTATTAATGCTCTATATACAGTAGTGTAATTTCCAAAGCAAGGTATAAGCAATGTACCTTTGATACCATTCAAAGATAGAATATATTTCAAGGTAGACTCAAGTGAAAAAATCTTGATTTCTACTATATTGATAACAAAAGAAGAGAAAGTATGTTTTCCCAGGGTAACTGTGTCTCTGAAAATATACACACAAGGTGGAGAAGAATGGGGAAGTTAAGAAGAAAAGATGAGAAAGTATTCTCAAACAACACAGCCTTCTGAAAAAATGTCCGAAGTTAAATGAACACGGAGAAGCTCTCTTCTTGAAGCTGCGTGAAACACTCTCGATGGTAGCATTTTCAGAAACTTCAAGACACATTTTCATTGAAAGAATTCTGAGGTCATAGTGATAGATTTTCCTCCTTCTTGACAGAATGCTTTCTAGGGGCCTACTATTGACCTCTCTTTACTTGTCTGGTAAGTATGATTCTTAGACAACCAATATAACACAATTGCTTTCTAGTTTACATAGAAAATGGACGATATGGAGCACCTGTATTTTGAAGGGAAAAACGAAGCTGCAACGTTAAAGTATACAAAAGTCACTCCAGGAACTTTTGCTATGCTTAATTTTCATGCTCTTGCATTTAGAAAGGTCCTCGATGCCAATGCTTCTTTCCTCTTGAGATAACTGAGACCAATCCCTCCTTACAAAAAATCTCTCTTTAGAAAGGAGTAAAGCTAAACATTGATTCCTAATAGACAAAGTTGAGGAACATCTTTGCACAAATCAAATGCATCCCAGAATACTCGCTGCTGACATGAAACAACACACCAGGGCTGCTGAAAGCAGGTGATGATAGTTTTGACATTCCCACACTTAGACCAAAAAAAAAAAAGGAAAAAAAAGCCTACTTACTCCTGTCTCCCTGCAGGCATCCTTTCAACTGCGCCATTCAGTCTGACAAGAGATCTGAAGAGAGGCTCTAAATCACTGCAGAGCATTCATTCCCAGACAATGAGCTGGCTGGCCAGATTGGAAGTGTACACCTCAGCGCAGGGAGGAGCTTCCTTTGCTTCTTCTAATCTATCAAAATCTGCCTTATCAAGTTTGTTTTTTAAAAGACTTTATTCATTAATTTTTAGAGGGGAAGGGGAGGAGAAGAGTGGGAGAGAAACATCAATGTGTGGTTACCTCTTGAGTGCCCCTCACTGGGGACCTGGCCTGCAACCCAGGAATGTGCCCTGACTGGGATTGGAACCAGCAACCCCTTGCTTTGCAGGCCAGCACTCAATCCACTGAGCCACACCAGTCAGGGCTGCTTTATCAAGATTCTTGAAAATAAAACAAACCAATACCCTTCCACCCACCCCGCCAAAAAAAAAACCTTTCTCCTTTGGCTTGTTTTATCCTTCATGACTTTAATCTTTTTAGGTTTCCAACTTAATCTTTGTTCTAGTATGACTGGCTATATACCTCACTGCTACTCCTGCTGTTACATATCAGTCAGTGCTGAAGTTAAACACGTAATCATCATCTTTAGGAGTGGTCACAGAGAACACCAGAAATGCGTGGCATTCTCTATTGTGATACAGTTGTACACACAATTCTATGGGACCAACTGTGGTCAATCCTGTCTTGAGTTGTACAGGACATTAACACTGTGAAGTTCATGTCTTCAATCTCTTTACTCAGGCCCTTTATTCCTTCATTAGATAGAATTCTTTTATTTCTAGAGCAAAATAATATAGGAAGCATAAGCTTTTGCCACTTCTTCCCAAAGCTGATGAATCAATATTCTTTTCCTCTCAATCTTTTTCTTTCTCCCTTCCTGTCACTCCTCCCTCCCTCTCTTCCTTTCACAGGCTTCAGTCTTGTTAATTAATAGAAATTCAGGAGGGGATTTTTCCTCGAGGTGTTTTTTATATTCCTATAGTAGCATTCCACTGTTCCTTTTTTGCATTTAGTATGCAGACTGCAGCTAGCTAACTTAATACCATCAAATTAATCATGATCTATCATTTAATCATTCATATGTTCAACAAAAATGTATAGAGCCTCTATTAGCCGGACACAATGATACCAGCTACAGATTTAAAAATATTTTAAATACTGTATTACATGCAGTTTCCCAGGGCTTCAGAACAAAATGTCACAGACTAGACAATTTATAACAACAGAAACTTATTCTTTCACAGTTCTGGAGGCCAGAAGTTTGAAGTCAGGGTGCAAACAGCCAACCTCTGTCTGAAGACCTTAGAGAAAAACCCTCCCTTGCTTCTTCCAGCTGCTAGTGGCCCCGGCACTTTTTTCTCCCCATGGATTTACATGGATTTTCACTGCAATCCAGTATGACCTCACCTTCACTAGTGTATCTGCAATGAACCTATTTCCAAATAAGGTCCCAGTCTGAGGTTCCTGGTGGATATGAATTTGAGGGGGATGTTATTCAGACTAGTACAGATATCCACCACGCTGTTCTCCCCGGAATACGCCCTCATATTTACTCAAACTTTCATTTGGTTAGTTAACTTCTCTACCTATACCATAGTGTCCTTCGTAAAAATCTTTGCTAGTTAAAACTTACAAAAGAGGGTAGCCCAGCTCCAGTGCCGGGCATACCTTCATGATGGAGGACCCTCAAGTGACGACTAAGAAGGTGGCTGTGTCACTGCATAACGAAATAAACTTTGTTACAGTGAGCACCTCGGTGTACAATGTCTGGTTAAGGGGAGTGTCTTCCCAGTTGCTGCATATGTAGCTTTGTCTATTCATTTTGTACAACTAAGAACCACAGAGTTTTTATTTAAAACAAAAACTAGATACAAGTTTTGAGATAAAACAACCTATCCTTTTACAGATGAGATGAACAAGAAGGAACGCCCATGTTCATAGCTGATTAAGGACGGACTCAGCAGAACCAAGGGTCCCCATCCATGCTCAGTGTTCAGATCAGACTTCTCAGGCTTCTGAATATAAATAACTTGATCGTGACTTTTCCATCTGAGCACACTTCAACTCTGACTACCCTAAAGAACGACTTACAGTATCACTGCACTAACCGCATCTCTGAAAAACAGATCCAGGCAGGAAGGAGACCTTTCTCTTTACAACGCTGCTTGTCTTCTGCTCCACCAGGAGTCTCTGGGTCTTTAGCATCAGTAAACACTCGGGATGTAATGCAGACAATACTGAGCTTTTCATTATCATGTTGTCCAAAGTTCCTCTCATTGTAACTGTGGACACCGCATGTTCAGTTAGACATGATGAAAAACAACTTCAAATTGTAAGCCTTGAACAGTGTAATAGAGCCTTTCACCAGTAAAAAGAACAAACAAAAAACATGTCTGCTTCTTTATTCGTGCACCATGAAACTTCTTTATTCACTTCAATTCTGCATTCACACAGAAGTGCTGTAATAAAATATCTGTACACTACTTCTGTTACAAATATAGATAATATTTAAAGTAACTTTATATATTCTAATGTAGGAGTTTCACGCTCTAAAATGGGAATGAACACATGATAATTTCTCACCAGTTGTCTCAATAAACAGCTCCATCTGTTTCCCTTAGTCTTAAACTATTGTATTATAAGATGTTATTATAAAGCAATGAAATGAAGTTATGTTAATTCCGTTAATTTTTCTATCAATGTTCTAATGGCATACAACCAAAATAATTACTAACACATGGCTTTTTTCCCTGTCGTTGGGATGCGCACTAAGGAGAGCTGACTGCGCAGTGCACTGACACGGCGTTAGCGCTGCGTCAGGGAAAGCCTGTGCTGCGGGTCCACGAGCTCCTGCTCCTGCGCGGCGAGCACAGCTGCTTCCCGGAGAAGCGACGGTCGGTGCAGGGAGGCATCACCGTTTTACCTGCAGAGTCCTGGGAATACTTCTAACAGGTCACAAATGAACATGAACACGGACAGGTGCATGCAATGAGTTCTTTACAACCTCAGGGACACTGCTTTAGACATCTGCTCTTCACACCACACTAGAAACCCACCCAGGAAGAAAATATTTATGTGTATACTAAAGGGGGGAGATGGGACTTTTTATAATAGTCAGAAATTTTAAACACTGAGTATTTTTAAAGATTTTTAATAAATTTTTTTAAGTTAGTAGTAAGGAGAGGGGTGGATTGACAAAATACAAGGCGCTTTTACATGACTTGACATTTTCTTCTTTATTTTATATTTTCATTTTCACCCTACCTTATTGAAGCCATTTCTCCTAGGCTAGCTTTAGAATTCTTTTTTCTTCCTCGCAAACCAGTTCAGCCCATGATAATTTTCACCCACGTTACTGTGAAGTGCCAGGCATCTTCCTGGAGAAAGAACAGTTTAACGACGTGGACAGTCCTACCTTTGGGTGCAGGCTCGCGCTGTGCAAGGAGCGAGGGGACAGGACGCTCCGCTGTCAGGGAGAAGGCTGTGCCCCTGTGAGTGCCACAGGCCTAGCTGGAGTTTTTCCCTACAGTTCTGAAGAGCAAGATGAACACCGCATGGGAGAAGCCTCCCAAAAGACCAGTCCCTTTCTCGTTAGTGTGACATGCAAGTGAGAGGGGGTGAACTTCAGGAGAGAACCACCAGTGTGACAGTGCCTTTCGTCCGCTTCAGGATGGCGACGGCCTCTTCGTGGGTCACCCCTTCCAGGCTCTGCCCATTGACAGCGATGATCTGATCACCCCTTTTCAGACGCCCATCTTCGGAGGCTGCTCCCTGCAATGACCAAGTAGGCCTGTTTACTCCTCAGAAAATGCTGCACAACAGAAAAAGATCTAAACTGGAGCTTAAACTGCTCGGCATGTGCACGCACACTGCTCTCGGGACTCCACGGCCGTTGAGCAATGATGAACACACACAAAGGAGGTCTTTCTCCTAAATGATTTCGGCAATGAAATTCCTATTTGAGAGGGAATGTAGCAGTCAATAGATTAGCTGACTGTTTTTTTGGCTGCTCAGCATAGCAGGTGGGAACCCAAATTAATGAGGAATATTGGGAATTGGCCTAGTAAAGTTGTTTCATAGAATCTAGGATTTCTGATCCTGTAAAGAAGACCTGCGGAAAGCAAAGTAAGGATCAGGCGGGAACAAAAGAAGGTTTGCAGGACAAGGGCGCAAGGTCCCTGAAACCCAAAGGTTTGCAGAAGTGAAAGCCCACATGTATGCCGACAGGGGTGGGGCAAGGCACAGACCCCGCTGATTCTGACACAGATGCTCTCTGTGATTTCATAGAGGCAGCTCAGGCTTGTTGGCTCCGTACTTCCCAAGGGGGTAGATGGAGTCTTCGCGTTCTTTGTGGACCCTAATGATTAAGTTTAAACACAGACATTGCTGTTTAAAAAGAACCCTACCTAAGGCACACTGATGGTAGGCAATTATGCAATTAAATATAAAATTAAAATACAAAAAAGTTAATGAGGAATCCATAATGATGAAATTCTTAAAATATGTTCTAACCAGCATGCCTTAAATAAACTGTTCCAAGGCTGAGGAAATGACTGCATGCCTCTTCTATTCATTGGCAAATGTTGTTTGTATTTTTGGACCGACTAGTGGCTTTTAAAAATCTCATAAATTAAGGCTATAGCTTGACTGCTGTAGATACGGTGCTTTAAATTGGTTAAAAATAATATTTTTTCAAAGTGACAGAATGAAGCTGCCCTTGGTGGGCACTTCATAGAATCACAGCACTAATCTCAAGCCCCTGTATCAAATCTTTTCATAGGTTTGATATATTTTACTGCTTTGGACTGTAAAATTTTGAGATTCTGTACTTCCTCCTGCAGGAAAGTTTGTCCAATTTTGTACTTCCTCAATAATGCCTTAAAATATATAATAATTACACAGGTTTAAATTATTTTAATAGCTTCACCAATGTTGCAATAACTTTGTTCTTATTCTAAACATTCTTAAAATAGAACAGGGTACTGTATAATTACAACTATATACTAAGGGGTTTTCTTTTTTTCAAATAAATCCTGTAACTGCAAATGCTGGTTTGATGTAGGTGATAGAGCTGCTGGATACTCTGCAAATTATTTCCGTTATTATTTCTCTACTTTATTCAATGACGTTAAACTGTAAAATAAATGTTCAATCAGTTAATCTGCATATCCATTTTTTGTACTTTTCTCTTCCTGTTTTATATTTCACAACAGTAAAAGAAAACAACGCACACAGTAAAAAAAATGCCAGCACTTTAGACCATACATATTTAAAATGTTCTATTTTCAAAAGACATTCAATCATACGCCACTTATTTTTTAAAAAATAAAATCAGGCATTAAAGTTCATCAATATTTTTATGTGTATTGTCAAGAATTCCCATGGAATTTCAATTTGAGCCTATTTTCCTTTAAACATAACTAAGCCTCAAATTGGACAAAAATATTTAATGACCTGTTCCTGGAGGGAGCTCCAGAAGAAAATGACCAACTGTTAACCATTTGGTGTTACCTCAGGCCATAAACTAATAAGCCAGCTGCTGACCACTACTAGCGCTTGTTTAGGGGAGAGAGGGTGGTTACAATTTGCAATCTTACCTTCGCAAACACTGTTTTAACATAAATGGGTAAGTCTCCATGAGGGCTGCCATGTCCTCCTACTATACTGAAGCCCAAGCCATCTGGTCCTCGGTCTAGTGAAATAGACTTACACTGAGGAGGTCTACAGCAAAAGAAAGAAAAAAAGTTTTTGGATTTAAAAAAATACATATATTATCATGAACCAGCAAGTCAAGGATTATCTAACACCAACCCAGAACGAGTATCAATGTCTGTGTTACTGATGCGTGTATCACAGGTGTTTTGGCAGGCTTAAATTCTCAGTCGTTGCTCAGTACTTTATATTTACATAATCTAACAAAATTCTACTTAACCTCCCTATTACTCATTTAGGGTTCTCTTAAACTAACATATTCACAACATGTGCTCACTGCATGGAGAAGCTCATTCTTTTCCCAATTTACTTAAAGTCAGAGGTTTAGGGTCCAGAGGACCATCACGGGGTAGCTCATAAACATCAGCACTCCCACACTCAGAGAGGAAAACCAATTATAAATAATGTAAAAGCTGCAACAAATTATTTAAAAACTCCAATACACTCCTCTCTTCTCTTCTTTCTATGTTCTAATTCTTTTGTTCTCAAGTGTTAGATACTTGTGATTTTTTTAATCAAAAAAATGATTCAGTGAGTAGGAAATGTTGGATAAATCGAACTTGCTCCACGTCGCACAGGACAGTGACAGGGAGACTAAGAAGTGCTCGCGAAAACTCAGAGCTGAAAGTGTGCAAAGGGCAGTGACATGTCTGTCTGTCTTTGATAAACTAAATCCATGCCATAATTGTTTAATAGCTTAGAAACACCTGACTTTCATATTTCATACCTCATCTCTTACTAGTTCACCTTTATCTGAGCAGTAGGGGCATACAAACATAATATATGATGAGCTCACCCTAAATCATCCTGAAATATACTGCTTGACGTCAGCCCAGAGAGAGAAAGGCTGGAGCTGGCCGGCTCCTGCTGCTGACCCGTGACCACGCTCACGTCTCCTCCGGCAACCACCTGTGTGCAGGAGACGCACAGGGAGAAAAGGACATGTGCATACGGCTGGGGAAACATCCGTAATTTTCCTTCAAAAGGAGCATTTGGATTAAAACATGTATTTTATTCTCTCCTTAATCATTTCTGTTAACATAATATACAGCCAAAGAGAAAGAAATTTCACAAGGTCCAGAGGCCTCTTCAACTGGCACTAAAAATATTCTCCTAGTTCAATTTATCAAGTTCTTTGATGGTTTTCAAACATGGCCTCACATGCCATTAATTTCTAAAGATCTTTAGAATACAAGCCACTCACACCACTTAAATTCTACAATCGATCCTTCATTGCTAGGCCTGGGCATTTTTCCCCTTCAAGTGTGAAACAATAAATGCACCAGAATAAATGTGACAGAACATGTTTTACTTACGCTCCTGGAACTCTCAGTATAATCAATTATGTTTCAGGGGAATATTAAGTGAAATCATAGCAGGAGATTTAAGAGTTTTTACTGGTTTAACATCAAAGCTCCTGTGTCTTCGAGCTACCTGTATTCTGAATAGTGCTTGGGAGAAAAATCTTACCTGCATTTCAATGGAGCCAGGGGTACTTTTCAGTAAGTTAACTGCCTGGGTGTGAGTCATGCCCTCAGTGGATGTGCCACCAATAGTGACAATCCTGTCCCCAACCTGCAAGGGGGAGAAAGACACAGCCAACTGCTAAAGCAGCCACACGGAGAGGAACACGGAGACCTGAACAATCATTTCCTTTTCTACCATGCACATCACACATGTAGTGCTACCAGCAATGAAAATCGACCTAGGGAAACCACTGATTCCCGTGAGGCTGCAATCGTAAAAAGAAGTTACACACAAATGACTAAGTTCTATAGTCTCTGGGAGGAGGAGAAAATCACTCTTCATTTCTCCTGGGTAAGATGCTGCCTCCTATTAAAAGAAGAAGATACCTGATGTCATTTGGAAACCAGAATTTCTCTGGACGTTATTCTTATGCACATTATATGTGACTCTAAGTCAGGGGTGTGCAAACCGAGATCCAAAGGCCTCATCTGGCCCACTGCTTCTGTTGGTGAATAGAGTTTGCTATGCTTGTCTGGTTGCATTCATGGGGCAGAGCTGAGGAGTTGTAACAGAGAATCCTATGTCCAAAAAAGCCTAGAACAGTTGCCACTTGCTCTATCACAGAAAAGCTGTCCCATCCCTGTGCTGTCTAACAAGCAAGTTTTAAGTGTCAGTCACATATATGATATCAAAGGAGACTGAACCATTCCCAATTTAAAGACTGTTTAAAGTGAGTGAAATAAGCCAGTCATAGAAAGACAAATACCACATGATTTCACTCATATGTGGAATTTAATGAACAAACTGAACTAACAAGCAAATAGAGACAAACTCAGAGACAGAAAGCAGAATGACAGCTATTGATAGCGGGGAAAGGAAGGGGTGGAGGGATTCAGGAAAAAGGACTCATGGACAACAGTGTGGTGACGGCAGTGGGGAGGAGGGTATAAATGGGTTAAATGGAAAAAATACGATAAAAATTTTAAAAAAATAAACTAAGAAGCTGGCCATGTTTCTTGACCATTTTGACACACAAGGCCACACAGATTTTACTCTGTAGAAAATTAGTTAGCTGCTAGCTAGCAAAAATTCCATCACAGTGTTCTCCAGTTGAATAATCCCTCGACTTTGAAGCAAGTTTTATATAGTTTTACAGTTTATGTTACATTTACAAGGTGGAACAAAACTAGTTTTACAGTTGTAGGTATGTCAAACAGTTTATTCTTGAATTTTTATTTATGAATTACTGTATTATTTATTTGTATTACAACTACAAATCTATCTATCCACACCTATATGTTGAACTTCTGCAAAATTGATAAGGCAATGAAACATAATCATCTTCAACTTTATAAAGTTAAATGAGCACTTAAACAAAAATGTGTAAAAAAATTTCCAACTCACACTGTTCTGAAGCACTTTGTTTTAACTTCTATAAGTTTCAAACAAGTAAAACAAGAAAAGAAACTAGAGTTAATCTTCCCACTTCATTTGCTTGAAAATTTGCATACAATAGCAAATTCTCTCTTCTAAAAATTTTCTTCACCTTTTACGCAAAGCAAGGCCAAGGTGTGCTGTGAGTAGATTATCTGATTTAAAAGCAGATAAAAACATTTAAAACCACCTGAAACCTGTGGTCAGATTCAAAGGTTTATCAAAGTTTGCCAATGTGCTGGGGCTACCAGGGCAATTAGATAAACTTACTCTGAGTTTCTGGGTCTGAGCTGCCACTCCATTCGGGTGCATCATGGCGATAAATATGGGGACGTCACCAAGCGGGCTACCCACTCCCCCAGCAATGCTGATTCCCAGTGAATCGGAAGGCCCCTGCCATGGAAGAGAGAGTTGGGCCAATGTGATATTTTTAATTTACCTTTGGTTTCTTTGGCACAATATTCTATGGTTAACTCTGATCCTCTAGGTGGATCAGAGGGTGGAAAATAATGCTCAAAAAAAATCACATTATTTTATTTGATAAAGGCCCTTAGTGTGATTTAGGAAAATAAGCATCTGTAGAAGAAACCATACATGTTAAGTGAAAATCATATCGTGGGGACTGATGAACAGCAGGTAAGCTGATAAAATGAAAAAAGCACAATTTTCTAAATCAGAGGGACTTGTGTTCAAAGCCAGGAAGCCACACTTCCAAACACTGGGACCTGGAACAAGTCCTCTCCTCCCAGACAACCACCAGGTCTTCCCTGACCGAGTGCAGACAACAGTGCCTGTCACAGAGCGCTGCAGTGAGCTTTAAATGAGATAGATGGTGGCAGCACAGTGTCTACATGAGAGCTCAGCACGTAGTAACGGCTCAGTGAGTGTGGCTGCTTTTATTGTCCCTCTTCTACACATCTGTTGGGGAAACCTGCTTCAGGAAGACAGGACATATCTACCAAAAGCAGAGGCTGACTTATTGGTATGAGGTGGGGCAGACTTTGCATGGGCTGAGCTGACGCCAGTCTTGACAAGACAGAGCATGCCAACAGTGACTTGTCAGACAAGGTACTACAAGCAGAAAATTCAGCAAAGACTGCATTGTGCTGTTCTTTCTGTGTTCCATAAGTAATTTTTCAGATGGGACTATGAAAAAGTAAGATAGCTTAGAGAAAAACACGTATGCAGGTGCCTCTAACTTCAACACAATTTTCATTGTTTTCTTTTTCCCAAGTCCCCAAGTTACCTTTTTTATTTCAACTGTTCTTAATCCCTGTATTTCAGATGCTACTATAAAGATGAAAAGAAAAAAATGTGGTTATTAAAGCATTTTTTAATTTTCATTTAGATTTTAGTGAATGTCTGGAGGTGGATGGGACTAAATGGCATATACCCAAATTTTTTTGAGAAGGTTCTCACAGTTGCTGGTACACATGATTACATCTGTCTCACAGAAGAACTCTTTATTTCTCCAGTCAGAAAAACACACACACCACCTCATGTCTTCCTTCTTATTTTAAGCATGATTATCTAACTGTATAATCCACTGTGAGTGAGACGAGGACAGGATGTGTTTTGGACAGAAAGACACATGTGCACAGCTGAGAGGAATAAAGCCATGGGTGCCCTGAAAAGCACTCATGGACGTAAGTGCCTAAATTTCTAAAATATTAGTCATATTGCAAACAGAGAATGCCATATGGCTAGTTTCTTCAATTTGAACAACTTTCAACGAATGCTTCAAGCCAAAACACTCTCTGCATCATGATTTCATGTAATTAAAACACGGGAGGATCATATTAATTTTCTCAATCAAAGGTTTTGCAATTCTCATGGAAAAAGAAGGCTTCACTTAATGGCCTCTTCTGATTTATTGGTGTTACACTAAACTGAGAAAGGAAATAAAAATCAAACACACCAACAGGCCGAGGGATAACAATTCACAGAATCCTGATTCTAACGTTTGGTGCATCTCACAGGGCAGACGTGCAGGGGGAGAAGCAGCTGTAGGCACAGCTTCCCGCCGTTCAGAATTTTTGCCGGCACACATCTTTCTGCCTGTATTAGTGTGTGGAATGATTTGGGGGAAAGGGAGCTCAGAGGTAAATGAAAACAGGGAAGAAAATCTGTGTTGACAGCCAAAATTCAAACCAGGAAATCATGTTGAAGGTCTGACCCATCTTACGTGCATTCTTCTTTGAATTACTGTCCAGCGACTCAGATGCACTGGATCCAGAAAGCGGGAAAGTGAAGGATGACAGGCTGCATTCACTCATCTACGAAGACAAAACAATGACTTTACAAAGTTGTAACAGTGATGATAGGCCTTCAATGCCACTTACTTCAGAACTCAATTATTTTAATGCATCTGGAGAGAAATACCTGTTATTAAGTAATACTGGCATTTGATAATTTGATAGGCATTTAAATGGCTTCGACTGATTTTTTTCTAAGAAAGAATTTGCATAATGATATAAATAAATTGAAGTGGAAAGGATGGATGAAATTGATTCCAATCTACTTCCAATCTACCTAAAGTTTTGGTGGATTTTCATAATCTCATTCGAGGTAATCCTCTCTAAATGTCAGCTGACACTGTACATAGATGGGGACTTACAAACAGTAGAACTGGGACCAGCTACAGGAAACCAGTGGCAACCATTAAGGGGCCAATAAGGGGTCTTTCAAGACAGGTTGATGAAAACAGGCTTCTGCCATCACAAGACAAGACTGAGGAGGGCTTGCCGAGAGACTTGAACCATGTTAATGCTGTACTTTCACACATGTGGAAGCATCTACAGTATACTGCTTGGTAAATGTTATAAAACACTTTAAAATATGTTATTTTGGTAGTCTTTCATAAATTAACTGGTATGAGATTATGGAAAAAGAATTATGTTAGAAAAGGAATTAAGTTTCTTTAAATTCTTACAAACTACTCGAGAGCTGTACCTTGCTTACCCGTCCACATTCGGCTCTTGCTCTTCCCTATGGCAAATTCTGCACCCCACTCGGCCAGGCTACCAGAGAGCCAGGCCTATGTCCGTGACCCTGGACAGACCCACAGCCTAAACTGTTCTTGAGTTCCCTTCGGCATGTGGACCGCATTCCCTTGATGAAGCCCCCAGCTACCCACCTGGCTGCTCTGAGAGGGCCTCCGCTCTGAATGGAACGGTCCAGCTTTGATTCTTCCTACTTCCAAGGTCACTGTCCCTAGGGAACACTGGGGGAGCAGTTGTTTTATGTAAACGTTTACATAAAATGCCACAGTCCTCTTCAGGAGCACATTTTACCCCTCAAAACTGAGTTTTTAAAAGGCTTATTCCTTTTGGAATTTCCATAGGCAAGGATACCCCCAAGTTTTGTAGAAAGAGGTTCTTTAAAACAAAACTAGTCAAAATAGTAACAATAAGCAGCAGCAGCAACATCAAATGTCTGTCTTACTACCTCTTAATTTACGTGGATACTCTTTCTCACAGGTAAGAAAATGAAAATCGGGCAATTATCTCAGAAAACATACTGATTTAGATCAGCTAAATGAACTAAATAACTCAGGTTTGAAAAAACAAAACAGAAACAATAAAACAACATGTTTTGCTCTCAATTGTAGACACACAGACACACACACGTAAATTCTCTATTGTTACTCTGTGCCCAAATAAACAACACCTAAATTAGCCATTGTGCTAGCAACACAAAACAAGGAATGAAGATGCTACACAGCCTCATGCAGAAGTAGCACGAGGAGGTGTGTAAGATGCTAGGTTTCTGCAGTCAGACACACTGTTTTCAATCAGACTCTGTGACTCACTAGCTGGATGACCTTAATAGATGACTAGCTCCATAAGTCTTTAGTCTTCATTTTTAAGATGGAGACCATTACAGGCTGTTGAGATGACATAATCCCAAATATAATGCTTATAACAATGTCCAGCGCAAAGCAGTACTTCCATAACTGCAGGGCACTGATATTATTATGCTCCTTCTGATAGGGATTACAAGAGATGTTTTATTGTGAAACATGTTGATGATGAATCAAATTCTGCAAGGTCAAAACTGGACATGCAATATCCCTAAGTTGTTTTGGTTTCTTTGTCACTTTGGGGTGGGGAGGAGAAACTTAATCAAACCCTTCCTGAACCTAGCATATTTCCAGCTTACATAACTGCAAAGTTAACAACTTCTATACCTTATTTAACTTGTATATTTATAACTGATTTACAACAAAGCTCTTATAAACTTCGAGTATCTATTATAAAAATTTTTCAAGTCAATTTTTCTGTTATAAAAGCAATTCTTCCTATATAGAAAGTTTCGAAAATAAAATGAAGAAGGAAAACCAAGGGTTCCATGGTTCCAATGATCACTTTGTAATTACCGTTAAAGGACTTATAAGATTTTATTTTACATGAATGTTTCTATACTGTAAATACAATGTTGTATCACATTCTCTGCTATGTTTTTTCATATTGATCAATATAATTTCCCTGACATGATTTTAAACAGATACACATGCCACGCACCTTTGCTCTATTTACTGGTCTGTATAGTTATGTCAACCTCCAATTTTTCTATGACAAATAACATTGCAGTGAACTTCATGTGTATCGTGAAGACTTTGTATACTGAAGATTATTTATCACAGAAATATGGTTTCTTACCTAGTATATTTTTCTTGAGAGAACATTTTAAATAAAGAGGAGTCACTGCTTTTTTTACTGTGAAAGCTCCATGTCCGCGTCCCCTGTTTTATATTATGGCACGCAATTATCGTTGACATTGGAATTTTACCTTCAGCAAAGCAGCAACAGCTTCCTGGGTGGCATTATGAACATCCTCTCCATTCACCATGAGTATCTGGTCTCCCTGCATCAGTCTTCCATCAGCATCTGCAATTCCTCCTTGGACAATGTCTGACACAAATACTCCACTGTCATTTCTGCAAACAGAATTTGAACTTGACTTTGACTTTCAACATTATTTTTCTCAATTGTAATGTGGTATTTATTTAATAAAGAGCTGACATTTTTTAACTAAAGTATTTACTCTATTTTTATGACTTCACAGGCTTTCTTATTTTCAAAGCAACACCGGGGCAATATTATTAGAATTTGTTTTTGTGGTAAATAATAGCTTATGTCTACACTATGAGTTCCTTAATTAATTTTATTTAAAAAATTGAAAAATGGAACTGCCTTATGACCCAGTGATTCCACTTTTGAGAATTTATTCGAAGACCCCTGGAACAGTAATTTCAAAGAATATATGCACCCCTGTGTTCATGGCAGCATTATTTACAATAGCCAAATTTTGGAAGCAGCCCAAGTGTCTACTAGAAGATGACTGGACAAAACAGCTGTAGTACATTTACACAATGGAATACTATTTCACTGTAAAAAAAGAAAGTTTTACCCTTCAGGACAGCATGGATGGACTTGGAGAACATTATGCTAAGTGAAAGAAGCCAGTCAAACGAAGATAAATATCACATGATTTCATTCATATGCAGGATCTAATGAACAAACTGAACTAACAAGCAAAACAGAGACAAATTCATACATAGAGAGCAGGCTGACAGATGTCAGGTGAGGGGGAGGCTGGAAAAATTGAGCAAAAAAAGAAATGAAACCTCACGGACATGAACAGCAGTATGATGACTGCTGGGGACCAAATGGTACATGAACTCAAAAAAATATAGCTTGTGTCTTGTAACATTTTCTAGGTTAAACATATCTTTCATAAGCATACTTATTTAACAATTATATACTGTGAGCAGAAGCGGCTTCTATTATACTCACCGTATGGATCACAGGATCACACAGCTACCAAATGGCAAAAATGAGACATAGGAGTCACTCCTTGGGAGCTAAATCTATTGTTCTTTCTATACCACAATGAAGCTTTAAATGCATATTGACCTATGCCTATCAAAATATGTTGCTATTACCATCAACATCATTATTAACATCATTGAAAATGAAGAACAAATGTGTATCTCAAGCTAAAACCATTTATCGGCCAGAATTTAAGTACCCCCTTTGCTCTACTACCTTTTCTTTTAAATCATTACAAATCTAACTTCCAATCAAGAGAGATTTATGCATAATGAAGAGATACTAATCTTGTTCTAATCTTTCATTTAAAAAAAACTATTAAATAAGCCAGCAACTTCTTGCTGAGACACAAAGGTAACTGTAATCAGCAATGTTCAGTGAAAGGTGAATTGCATCACTTGTTCTTGCCAAGGTGGCGACCTCAGGCCATTTCGCCATCTGATGGTCTGCTTCCCCATCTTTAGAAGAGAGGTGTTAGAACTTACTGCACTATATATCTGTTAATATTTCCTACACATATACATACTTAAAGTAGATTGGCACTGAATTTACGCATATTCACCAACCTACCACCCCTGCCTGTACCTTTACACTGTTCCCTTTCGATGGCCCGCTCCGTTCCAGCTGAGCCTTCTCCCTGGAATGTCCTCCACCCTCTTCCATAAACCATCATTTATCACTTTTAGCTTCAGCCTAGGCACCTCTTTTTAAAGAAGTTTTCCTAATCTACTTCCCTTAAAGAGGTTTATTTGGTCCATTTCTCCTCTGCTTCCATGGATCCTCACATACACTTCTGTTGCTCATCAAAAGGTCCCTTTGTTGCAAGAATATAGTTAATTCTCAGTTACCAAGCTGTGAGTTTTTGGAGGTTGGAAACCATGTTTTAGTTGCACTTAACTCTGCTCCCCAGAACCTAACATATTTCCTGGCACACAGCAGGTACTCAGGAGTGACAAATGGCTTTTTGTCTGGTGCCTTCAAAAGCCCTCAGAATACTAACTGCAAAAGTTCAAAATCAATGTCTTTTGATGTTTCACACCGAGTGGTCTGACAACAGCTATTTACAGAATACTAGCTGTTGATAAAGATTCTACTACAGCTAGGACTCTTGAAAAGACCTTAAATTCAATCATTTCCAACAGGTCACTGGACTTGCCCTTTTCAATCTTACCTTTTACCAACAATGCTCAACCCCAGGCCTTTCCCGGGTTTCTTCTGCAGCTCAACAGTGAGGGTGTCACACACGTCCTCCTCTTTGTATGGGGTCTCATCTCTGTAGAGTGTCAGGCGTACTCTTTGTGGCGTCTGTCTCAGGACATTTATCGCTTCATCATGTGTGGCCTTTCTCAAGTCAATTCCATTCACCTGTACGTAAATGGGATACAAGACCAGGTGAGTTAAGGAAAGGGAAGAAAAAAGGAAGCAAGGAAGGAGAGAGGGAGGGAGGGAGGGAGGAAAACAAACAAACAGTAAGACCCCCCCACCCCCATCACCTGGAGCAGTTTTTGTGCTGACTGTGAAGGTCAACCACACAGCATTTGTACCTCTAAAATCTGATCACCAGCCCAGAGTCTTCCATCTTTACACGCCGCTCCTTCTTCATAAACTTCATGGATAATAATGGCACCCTAAGGACCCAGACAAATCATACACATACTTTATTCCATTTTCCGTAGGAATGAAGAGCAGAAATGAGGCCAAAACACACTGCACTTTTACAGATAGTGATAAGGGTTATACAATCACTGGATCCACATGAGAGTCACATCAAAGTTCAAAGAAAAATATAATAATATCGTTTTTGCTAAAAAGGCTCACAGGAGCTTATACTTCTTTCTAATGATAGGGAGGCTTAAAAATTATGAAGTATATAAATCACACACATATATAATGAATACACATCATCTTTTGTATCACATATGAATGAAATGACAAAGCATTTTTGACATTTAGAAAATGTGCCTGCAATTTATCCATAGACTCCTCTCAATATGGCTCTAACTCAAACATATCAGGTCAGTGACAAGAAATTAAAGTACAGCAAGGACTAGTGAACTGATAGAAATATTCTGAAACTAAAGGCTGCAATCACAAGTTGTACAACAGAATCTTCTGTTTGTTTTCTTTTTTTTTCAACTGAATTTATTGGGGTGGCACTGGTTAATAAAATTATACAGGTTTCGGGTGTACATTTCAATCAAACATCATCTGTACACTGTATTGTGTGTTCATTACCCCGAGTCGACAGAAAATTATTTAGTCACACTTGGCTCACTCAAATTAAAAACACAAGTACCCACCTAGTTAAATATTTGCTCTGCAAGTTAAAATAACAAGAGTGGCACATTATTGCAAGCCGATCCCTGTCATTTAACAGACTGAGAGGAAGCCCCCGAGACGACCGTGGGTGTGCCCTCACCAGAAGTGTGTCGGACCCCCCGACGATGCTCAGGCCCAGCCCCGTCCGCCCTTTGGAGATCTCAATCGTAGTCTCGCAGCCTGGGATAATGGGGCAGGTGGTGGGGTCAGAAGCAAAGACTGCTGGTGTTGATGACCTGCTTGTACCTACAAACAAGTTAGAAAGAAACAAAACACAAATGAAATTGAGTAGAAGGCACAGACAGTAAACCTGCCACCTCCAGGAGTTGAAGTAGAAAAATGGGCCCAAGACTGGGACAAAGACTTCAAACTCACCTAATCTTTTAGTGATTAAACTATCAATCAAATACGACTAAATTCTCATTGTTAATTGACAGTGGCAGGCACAAAATTACCTGTTAAATTGTTTCTTGCACTATTTCTGTATTTTTTAAGTGGCTAGAGATAATATGTATACAGAAAAGAGGGCAGAAGAACTGAACTGAACCTCTAGTTTCACCGATATTCTACATTTCACCTGAGCCAAATAAACTTCTTATGAAATCACGATTTGTAAAGCTCAGAGTGAGATGTGCGGCAGGCCCCACAACACAGTCCGGGAAGACCACAAAACGCACAGAACATCAATGATTTTGTCACGAAGCCTGCCTTTGAGGGCTTCTCTGTCTCTGCGGTCCATTCCTTATTAGTGGAGAGCATCTCTTCTCATGTAGACAGATCTGAGCACTATGTAGCTGCACTTAACATCTGAGTTTACAATCAAGTGAGATCACTTGCAGTATCTTTCCTGTGTCTTATATGACGTCTTATGAACTCATATAACACATACTGGTACATATATGCTCAGAATTCAAGCAATCAGGATAGAGTATGAAAAACTGAGGCTAATGTAAGTTCACACCTCATTTTATTATAGTCTTCATATCCTACGACTTATGATATGCCAAGGAGCATACAGCACACAGCACATTTTGGGAAGCTGGGTACTTGGTAAAGCAGCTTTAGACAAGATGCTCTCTTTTTAGGAAATCAGAGACAGACTAGTTTCTTGCTCCTAAAGTGGTAAGAGTAGATGCAAGATATTTTCTTTTATGTTACATTTTTGTTTAGCTTTCCATATTTTTATAGACAATGCTATTTAGGGGTCAATATAAAATTAAAAATGAGAAAATTTCCATGAAAATTTTTTTAACAATTCAATGAAGTATCCACTCTTTCTGAATCACTTGCATCAGATATGTGCTACTTTAAGACTGTTTGTCCAACTATATTACAAATGTTTTAAACTGCTGTTTCCTTAAAAACCTGTCAAAATAACTGAATGTTACCAAAAGGGATCTTTTCCCCAACTTCAGAAAAAGTTAATGTGTTTAAATACCTTTCTTCAATGCTGCAAAGCTTGAAATTTATTGTTTTATGAAACAGTAGTGCAATTGTTCTTAAAAAATAACTGGAAGTAATAATTTGTGTCTCAACACACTAGAGTGGCACTGAAATGATATGAAAGAGTGGTGTCCCATTCACTTGACGAGACCCCCTGTTACATTCCAGGGACAGGATTCAGACTGACCACAAACACCCAGGGCAAGGACTAGCACTTTTAAGAGTCTCTTTTAGTACCAGGCACCTGCTGATTCCCCTGGTGAAGTGGTATCATCGTATCCATTTTCTACTGCATCCATTTAGAACACTAAGGCTTAGAAAAGTTAAATTACTTGCTCAGTGTTAAAAAAGAAATGTGCAAAATGTTTTTAAATCCTCAGTCGGATACCTGGAATCAAGGTACCGAGTTCCCTGACTGTGGCCTTTTAAAGACTGAGCTCCAGGCAGGAGCTGGCTCCCAGGTGAAGACCTGCTGTCGGGTCTGAGTGCGCGGGACGTGCAGGACTCACACGGCCAGTTCTTACCTCGGACGGGCTCTGGTTCTGGGGAGCCAGCTCGTGGGACCACTGCAGACTGGGAACTGTTCTTTTTTTCTTCATTGGTTGTACCAGCTGCTGAAGCAAGAGCCTGGGAATCTGGATTCTCAGAACGAATGGTAAGTTTCACTGTTGTCTTTGCTGTTTTCAGAAGGCTAATAAACTGGCAGGGGGTGAGTGTGGAGGGGAAACAATATTCAAAAGCAACTTAGTACACTTACGCAGATAAGCCACTATTATAGTTGGAATCTAAAACTACAACTGAGAGAGAAGTCAGAGGCAAATTCTGCCCTTGTCAAGACTTGAGGGGTCAAGGTAGAACTGTTACACTTTCTTTCTAGTTTCTCTACTTGCCTAATACCGATTAAGGCCATAGTTAACTTCCATTTGCAAGTCTAGTTCTCACTTGTCTTCCTTGTATCAGTATATGGACTTCAACTTTTTATATTTTCAGTTAGTTTCATCCATTTCTGTGGATCACTAAACCTTAGAATATACGAACATGGGGTATTTGCCCATATCCTGATTCTACAGAGAATCTGAAGCAGCTTAGCAAGCAATACACACAGTGGCTAGCCAGTTACGGGAACAAACATTCATAAAAATATTCCTTTGTCTTAAAACTAAGTTGACTTTTGTTCAGAAGTTTAAACTTTTCCTAAGGGAAAATGGAAGTGATAGGAAATGGTATTTATATAAATGTCCACTGAATATCAAATTTACCAGATAACAGAAAACAGCTCAACATTACCTTGACTGGAAAACAGAAAATAAAAATTAAAGAAATTTAGAATAATCCCTCTCTTCTGTAGGGTGTCTGTGTGATACAGCTACACGGCTGTAACTCCCTAGGCCAGCCACGCGGACACACACACACAGACACATGTCAGCCATGACCAAGGGCAGCTTCACAGCGCCGTTTGCATTTTTCCTTAACAGAAAAAGTACCTTTTCAACAGGATAGCCAACAACAACTTCATCATCTACAGCCAGGATCTGGTCTCCAACTCTGAGCCGTCCGTCCTGAAGAGAAACATGGAAGGTTTCAGTGTTTTGCAGAAGCACCTTTCTTCTCCACCACGGCTGGACATGAGAAAGGGGAAGCCTCACCTTGGCTGCCACGCCATGCTCTGTTAAACTCTTTACGATGACTCCGCTGAGAGTGTCCTCCTCACTGATAGCGATGCCCAAACCCCCTTGATCCTAGAGAAATAAAAACAAGTCCAGGCAGCAAATCTGAAACACTGAATTTACCCAAATGGAAATGTGGCCGTAAGTTCTGAAGTTCTGTATGTCATGCTCTTCCCAGGGACTAAGAAAGAAATTTAAACTATTCTGATGTCCTCTATTAAAAATCCTGTTTTTTTCTTATGCAAACTTTCACGTTTTAAATAGGAATAAATTATCCATCAAATATTCAAATACATGGTGAAGCAAAAGTAGGTTTATAGTTGTTCATATGGAAAATAATACAATAATAATAATACAAGAATAAACCGTGTTTTGCATACTCTTAATCGTAAACCTGCTTTTGCCCCACCCTGTATCTTCGCTCCTTCCATAGGCCTATTCTCTCTAATATCTTTAGCATATAGATCCAGCAACATATCTCTAGTACCTTTAGCAAAATATCCTACAAACAAAAAAGCATTCAGTAACTCAATGAACATACAATGTTTGAGACTTTAATTGGGTGTAACTGGCTAAGTCAATCAAAACCAAAGTATGCCCCTGCTTTCTCTCTGTGGCCCAGGCTTAGAAATACACACCGAGACGGGCTCCTCCTCCCCTCTGCACCTCTCTCTCTAGCAGCGAGGCTGCAATGACTGCTGCGTGCCCTGTCCTTTCGGGGCTCAGTAGGCTTCTCCAGGCATTTGTGTTTTGATCGGGTGCAGAATGAGAACACTCTCAACCCTGAGCCCAAAGACGTGCACTGGAAATCTGGCAAGGCTACGCAGCGGCATCTACTTTTATCAAAACCAAATGTTCAGTAATACTAGCTTTTACCTTTCTTTAATATTTAAGTTCATAAAATTAAATAGGGTTTTGAACATTTTTGTTCGGTTCGAGCTGGGATCCTCTTCTACCACGGTCTCCATGCAGGGAAATCTGAAGCAACAAGATAAAAGGGAGCCTCTGCATGTTTCCTCTGGACAGTCGACACGGCAGCCAAAGTTCGCCGTTGGGCGTTTCCGGTCACAACCAGGACGCCCGGGGAAGGCTTCACCAACACTGTGAAGAGTGCCAATGCTGGCTTTCCTGAGGCAGACTACTGCTGCTTGACGACTTTCAGACCGTCACTGCAACTCGCTCTCTTCCCAGGCAGTGAGTCGTGTGTATGAGACAAAGCTGCACTTTCAAGGCGATCAGAGCTTGGTTCTAACTTACTTCCTGCCTAGCTGTAGAAATTTGAACATGCCACTTAAATCTCTAAACCTCAATGTTCTTTTCTAAAGACAAGCCGAAAAAGGAATAGTACTACTTGCCCAACAGCAAGGTGGCTGTGAGGATCAAATGTATTAAGAAAGGGCTTGAAAAGTTCATGCATTATACAAGTGTTGTTATTATACATACATTCCTTCTGCTAATAATGCTACGGGACATACACAAATTGACTTCAGATAAATTCTTTAAACATGCCAGTATTTTGAAACCTGAAATCTGGTCTAGTAGTCAAAGAATCAGGCTTAATAAATAGGAAAGTCAATGTTCTACTACACTGACATAATCCCAATGCCAATGCTAAATGTTAATAATTTAGTTAACCACTATTTGGGATTTTCCACACTAAAGGTCTTTCCTATTGTTACAAAGATACTTTTGTTTGAATAAGTAATACTCTGTATCTACAATGATTGTACGTACTCAAGTCAGATCTGATTCTATTATTGTCTATTCACTTAAGTGTATTATTAGCTGGTTGTTTACCTAATACTCATTCTCACCTTACTGCCTTACACAAACTCACAGGTTTTCAGTAGAAAACCCAGCCCCCCTTCCCCTGCTGCCTCAAACAACATACATACTGTCCCCTCTCTCTTTGCCTACGTGTTTAGTGGTGGTGTTCAAACATGTTCACAAACCCTTTGATATTCTTCAAGAAGGATATCCATTTAAGAAGGGATTCCTGAGTGTGAGCTGGACTTGGCAACTTAATTGTAATAAATACAGTAGAGAAGGTAATGTGCCATTTCACAATGAAGTCAAAAAGGGCCTAAGAACTTCCTCTTTGCTCCTCTTGGATCACTCACTCAGAGAAAAGCCGGCTGCCGTGTCGTGAGGACACTCCAGCAGACTGTGCAGAGGAAATACGGCCTCTCACCAACAGTCATCGGAGTAACAATCACGACTGGATGTGGACCCTCCAGCCCCAGTCAAGCGTTCAGGCGACTTGCAGCCCTTGCTGGGAGTTTGCTGGCAACTGTACAAGGCAGTCTGAACCAGACCACCCAGCTAAACTGCTCTCAAATTCCTGACCTGCAGAAACTGTGAGAATAATAAATATCTATTGTTTTACGTTGCTAGTTCTGAGGTCACTTGTCATGCAGCAATAGCTAAATAGCTTCGAGGATGGTGTTTAAGTCAGCTGTACCATGTTATTCCGCACCAACAGTACTCAACTCAGTAGGTGTGTGATCTGAACTGGTCCGGTTAGGATGAACCTCCGGACTTTTGCTCAGAATTCTGGGACACTCTCTCCCTCAACCCCCAATTACATGTGGAATAAGTAGCACATGAGCCCAACCAGGGTTCACAACCATTCTAAAACTATGAGGAAGACCTGCCTTGGGATCTAGCTGACACAGTAAATGGCTGTGTGGGGACAGCAAAGGACGATTCTGATGACACGGCTGCGCTACAAGATCAACCCCCCAGAGCCCGTAAATGCCCTTCTTTAGGAGTGAGGGAGTATGTTTTTTGTTATTTGCAACAGGCAGAGTCACAAAAGGAATACAGTACATATTTACATGCATATATATGCCCTGATCCCACTCAGAATATTACAAAACAAGTATATACACATCTCCAGACAATTTATTGATATTGTCCGAGGCAGGATGACGTACAAATAAGGATGACAGGGTGGGAGCACGCAATTTCTTTTCTAGCTGCTCAACTTTGCACCTCACTTCTGCCACAGTACATTTAGTTCTTAATAAAAAAAGATCTGAGAAACATTGTTTTGAGCTAGTTATAAAAGCACCACCATAATGGGAATGTGAAACAAATTAAGGAAATATATTTATAAAGGAACAGTTGTATAATTAAAGAGCTAAAAATGAGTAAACAGGAATTAAAAGTCAAACTAAACTAAACATGCTACTCCATTATCAGGAGAACTACTTTGAAGTTGGAAGATATCCTAAATTCAGAAGAAGACAAACTTTTAATTGTATCTGAAGACTTTCACCACATAAAATTGAATGGATATGAAACATCTCTGGCAGTCATGTAAGTTTGTTACTTGCTTTTATGCATATGTACTTTCCTACTGCAAAATGAGCTAAAGATAAATCTTTAACCAAAGATATTCGTCTCTTAAATTGAACTAGCATTTCTGTCAACCACTGAGTATTCATTTATGAACACATACACATTATGAACTTTTTGTTTAAACTACTAGTTTCCCACTTAAAAAAAGAATTAAAAGAAAAAAAGAAGATCATCGACCTGTCAAGAGAGTTTCTAAGGAGTCAAAGTGGAACTCAGAATGACCTGTTACATTAGCTCCCTTTTGGAACAGTACAGGAACTATTCTCTCCTTCTCCACTCGCCTGTCTTGACATCTTTTCCCCTGTCCACACACTCTGTGTCAGTGGCCGTCATTCTTCCCTCACAGGTGCTTAGCATGAACTACAGTGTACCATACTATACAAGGTAATGGGAGAGAGAGTTTAAGAGTCACTTCTTTCAATATGCAATTTAGATGTACAGAAAGTATACCCACGTGGAAGTTCAGTATAAGAGAGACACTCTTGGGCATGCATGGTTAAATGACAAATAAGTGAAGACATCAATTATAAGCATTATATAGGCCAGAATATTGAAGAAATATTTCCAAATGAACAGAAGTAAGATCATGCTAGGTCTTGAGTCATGCAGGATTTATTTAAACTACACTAAAAAGAAAAAAAAAAGCAGAAGGGTGTTCCGATGTAAGCAAAGACAAGGAGGGATGAATTCTTAAAATAATCTCCATGGGCTCTTGATTCAAGTTTGTTGCAATGAGATAGAGGATCTAATAAGGGAACTGGGAACGCAACCCTGAAATCAGCAGTGGGAAGAGGAAGGTGATAATTAGCAGTGGAATGAGGGATTCTTGAATGCATAGACTTCTTGGTAGAAAAGAAAGAGGCTTTAATGACTTCTTTTCCCTCTACCTACAATACAAATGGCCCCTTGAGAAGGAATTCTCTTAAATGTATATGCAGGGTTATCTTAAAAAAAACAGTGAAGTCACAGTATTTTTTTCTCTTAAATGCTTAACAAGGTCTGACCATGTGCCAGGTGTTATACCAACCACTTTATAAAGAACTTGTTTAATACTTACAATTACCTATATCAAAGATCATATTATCATCTCCAATTTACAGGTGAGAAAACTGAAGAAAACATAGATCACACAACGTGTCAAGTATAGAAGGCCTGTCCAGAAAGTACCCAGCCATGTAATATGAAAAACAGAGACATTTACTGAAGCAGATATAAATACAAGAAACACTGTGTACAGGACAATGATGCTTCAGTTCCCTTCAAAGTAGGCACCTTGGGACCTCACACAGTTCTCCCAATTGTCATCATCTACCCCATCATATTTTCCTCAATCTCATCAAAACTCTGAAATCTCTTCCCTTTCAGAAGGTGATTTTAGTTTGGGAAAAGAAGTCAAAGGGCACCAAATCTGAGCTGCAGGGGGGCTGAGTCACCTGAGTGATTTGATGTTTTGCCAAAGAACCCTGCGTGAGACGTGCTGCATGAGCAGCCACGTTGTTGCGATGAAGCTGCCAGTCACCAGATGCCCATACCTGCGGCCTTCTGAATCATGTGAATAGTTTCCATGGAGCAATATTTAAGCTTAACATAAAATCTGATGCAGATTTGTTTTTCTACTTGCTCAGTCATTTAGAATGTGACAACCATACAGTACACGTGCTCGCTCAATGGCATCTGCTGCCCCTACCACCTAACACAGTGAAGTAGTCATTGTTCATACAGGCACCTTCCAGTCTGCTCTCTTTGGCTGCCAGGTTACATCTATGTTGTGCAAACTGTTTTCATTACATTAACAATGGCTGGACTTTTTCTGGACAGCCCTTATATACTTGATGGAGACCAGATGCAACCCTGACAGCCGGCTGCTAAATCTCAGGTGTTGTGGCATCACGCTGCACTGCCTCACAGCTGGAGAGTGGCCGCATTTTATGGGAATACCCTCCTACCCTCATCCCATCTCCTTGCTGACTCTTACCCCTCTGCACTTCACTGATCTTTCTGCTCCTCCTCTCATTCATCCTGTCCACCTGCAGACCAGCATGAGCCTACAGCACCTGAAAGCATTTACAGGTCTCTTTTCATCAAACCACATCTTTAAAGCCATCATTTGAACCTAAGGTTCAATAGCAAATACCTTATTGGTATCTATCAGTGAAAGTTCTAGTAATGTGAGCTTTTGGTTTTATGAAGGAAAAGGACTATAACTTCTCTTTCTTTATTCTTTACTTTTTCCCCACTGTAGATCCTTGGCAAATAAATCAAAAGAGGGACCATGAAATTTCAGACCTTGGGCTACCATAAAGGAGGAAAAGTGGGGTCCCTGCTAAAATATCAGTTAGCAGAGTGGTTCTGACATGTTAGCATTCACTGGAATATTGAAACACAGAGTGGGGGACCCACCTCAGAGTTATTCATTCAGTAGGTCTGAGTGGCCCCAAACAACTGCATTTCTAACCAGATCCCAGGTCATACTGACGCTGCTGGTCCAGAGACCACACTTTTGAGAACCAGTGGATTAGAACAGTGCTGTGAGGGAACTCATCATTTCATTCTAATTCAAGGCAGATTTACCTTGGGAAGCTCCAGGTGTTGCACATTTTTAAATGAACTCAGGTCCACAGCTGCCTCAGAAGTTGCAACGCTTGGTTCAGCCTGACAGAGAGAAAGAAATGGCAAAAACAGCAAGTAAGTGTTATGCATTTTTGTTTGTTTAAATACAGTGGCCACTTACTCACACTTATTTCATATATTGGGATTCATTATTACTATTTTAACATTTTATTACATTTAGGAACAGTATATTCTCTTCAAAATACTAGTGAGGTGTGATTAGACAACAATTATTTTAGAGTACAATATGGTTTTCAAACTGCCTGGACTGACTCTGTAATGCAATCTACTAGCAATCCAGCCACCAAACAGTGAAATTCATTGACACATAGAACACCGAGGTGCCATTTTCTTTTTCTTTTTTTTTTTTACTATGTTAGTCATGAAGTGATTTTAGAGGCTATTAAATGTTTTCTCTAAAAATTACTAGAATACTCCATTTCATTAAGAGATATATTTGGTACAATCCATATGAAAATAAAATTTTCTCCTTTACAATCATGAAAAACCACTTCACTCAGTTCACCATTACAAGCAATGACTCAGTTCCCAGGATGAGACGACAAGTCACACCTCTATCTCATATATTAGACAAAGCCTCAGGTTTATATGCTTATTTAGGGAACAGTGTTTCCTTTCCTATACCTTCTCCCATCGATAGTCATCATGGCTCTTCTAATTTTCAACTTTCCTCTTTCTATTATATCCTTCTAGTCATCTGAAACACACATCCGAAGCTTAACAAATAAGAACAGAACTTCCACCAAAAAGCTCTGAATTTTCTGTGTCACCCTGTAGCCATTGCCTTCTTTTTCTAACTCCCTACCCATATTTTGCTTTCTCAGGAATCACTAATAATTTCCTAGCTAACAAGTTCAATGGACTTTCTTTATTCATCTTCTTATTGGACCTCTTTGCGGTATTCAAAGTTGCAGGATATCCTCTTCCTGAAATGTGCTCTCATCAGCTGCCATGCAACATGTCTGTCTGGTTCAACTTCATCATCTCTGACCACCCTGTGTGAGCCTTCTTCCTTGTGCTGATAACACATAATCCTGTCCTTGGCCCTCCTCTCTCTAAATGTTCTCTACAGATAAGAACCTCAGTTTTCATGCCAAATCTGCACCTAAGGTAATCCATCTCTAAACACTACACCAAATGTATACTGTACTTCAATCTTAAGTTGCCTCAAACACATGGGTTCTTTTTTTTATAAATATTTGTTCTTCCTCTATTTTAAAAAAAATTTTAGTAAATGTCAGGCATCCATCAAGTCACCAAGTCAGACACCTGGAGGCCTTGTACATCTTATCTGTTTCATTCACAAGTCTGTCCCCTGCCCAAAGAAAAGGACCTATAAAAGGCAATATATATATATATATATATATATATATATGTATATATATATATATATGTATATGTATATATATGTATATATATATACACACATACATACACACCCAATAAATATTTGTTGGATAAATAAATTCTCAGCCATTCATCTTTCCCCAATGAGTACATTTAGTTGTGGACGAAGTATCTAGCTAGTTTCTTTCTTAGTCATATGATGTATATGAGGTAACCCTTCCCTTTTTTTTTTTTTACATTAGTTCAGGACCTTGTTATCTTTCTTCTGAACTACTCTGATAATTTTCTTACTCCCTTTAACTTCTTTACTACAACCTCTGATTTTTCTCTGCACCACTTCCAAAGAAGTTTTAAAAAATACAATTTTCATTCTTTGAGTACCTAATGACATGGCCTCAAAGACAAAGTCTTCATCACATCCCATAGTCTGACCCTCCCTCCCTCTCTTCTCAGTGACCCTTCCTCACCAGCTCCCACTCCCTGCCTCTCACTATTCAGTGTGCCCCGCAGTGTCCAACGGTCTTGCATCTGCCAGAGCTTCTACACCACTGCTCAATCCACTGCATCTTCTTGCAATGTTTTTGCCCCCAAGTCTTCTCCTTCCAACCTACAAGTAACCTCCTCTCTAAAGTCTTATTCTCACTCTCTCTCCAGGGGTGGGATTGACACCTCCTCTTCTACCTTCATTATTCTCTTTGTAAACTCTACTACTGGCCTTCATGTAAGTGGTGAGCTGACTTGCTCAGTGCTTCTTGTACTAGGCTACAAACTTCATGGGGCCGAGGCTACGACTTACTTATCTTTGATCGCCTGGAAGGGTTTTATACTTGTTGAATTAATAAGTGGTATATCAATTCAATCTTCCCAGAGAAGCAAACACGTGCTACATACCTCCTTATTTTGAAGATTCTCTGAGGTAGAAGACAAAGCTTCTATTGTATTTCCAGGACATACAGCCATCTGACTCACTGCATCTTTATTTCTAAGGGAAAATACAATGACCTGTCATATCACAACGATTCACATTATTTTCAATCTTTTACTTTGAGATTCAAAAGGATTACTAGAGAAAATTCTGTAATTCCAAAGACCTGGAACTATAACACTAACACATTTATAAATGTTTTATTTTTATTCAAAAGAACTCAGAATTGAAAGGCTAATACAATGTATTTAGTAAATCAGAAAAAGAAAATGCTCACCTGATAAAAATTATTTTTACTTTAGAAGGGGCACATTTAATGATTGATGAAGCATTCTGATGACTTCTTCCATATAAAATTTGACCATTGATCTATGAGAAATAAACATCATTAATTGAACTTGTAATTTTAATTTTGTGAATTTTTATCATCCTAGCTAGCTCATTAAAGGGATATTTATTCCTTTATATATATATATTATATATATATATATATATATATATATAAAAAGTTTATATATACACATGTATAATCTCTTTCCCAGAACATGAACCTGACTTTGAAAAAGCTCATTTTAAAAGCCAACATTAAAATGATATCATACAGTCTGCTCTTCCTGGACTAAAGAGGCAGTACCTGGACTGACTGTAGGAGAACAGAGAGTGAATTTCTTGGCAGGCATTGGGCTTCAGCACACTTTGAATAAAGCAAGGGCTCTGCGGAAGCCCTGTGACCTGCACGGAGCATCCTGAGAAGTCCCCTACTGTCATAGTTTCTAGTTAGTCTCAAAACTCAAGCCCTGGGCATAGGCCACTGGGAGAAGCAGTGCTCACAGACCCAGGATTTGGGCAGCACATTGTGCCTGATGGAAACTGTCAGTCTTCTACTTATTCAGTTACTGCTGACTGAGCCATCAGAAATACACAAAGTAAGGGAAGAGTATGAAGGCAATATAAAAATATGTGGATCCCAGCCTACAGGAAGCAAGGACAAACAAAACAGGCAAATGCAATGCTAAACACTATAAAGTATGATCCACAAATTTATTTTGTTTGGAAGGTTAAGTTACTGTTTTAGTTATTTAGCCTTAACCTTGACCCCAATGCACCCAACATCCATCACTCTACCATTAGGAATTCAACTTCCAGAATGTCTAATGGGTTAGTCTCATTACTGAGGAATGATCGGTCATTTGGCTTTTCAAAAGCTCCTAATAAATGCAGCACACACAAAAAGGTTTTTTGAAGTGTAATCTTTATTACTGTCTTGAGGCAAAAATTGTTTCTGGTGCTACGCAGTCATGACCTTTAAATGGAAGTTAATGGGAACATGGACTTTACTTAGCAGAGATGTGGTTTAGTGCTAAATTTGCTGTAATGTGTCTATTTTATTAGGCAAGCGATAGTTTTCTCCCTCACCATATGAGGCCCAGGTGAATTTTCTAGAAACTTCTGATTCCATTGCACCGATTCCACAAAAGTAAGTTCAGCGTTTTCCATAGGAAATTACCTCTAGAAGCTCATCTGCAATCTGTAATCGACCATCTTTCCCAGCTGCTCCATTTGGATCAATCCCCACTATAAAGACACTCATTCTGGATCGGTCTTTGTTCCCAGCAAGACTGAGACCCAAACCACTTCGACCTTTCTCCAGTTCAATCATATGCAGCTCGCCTGTGAGAGTTCCATAACGTTCTCTGATATTTTCTGCACACAACAACAACAACAACACAACATTATAGGTGTTGAGAGTTAATTCACAGTCAAATACTTTACTACAGAAGGCTACTTAGAATAGCCTCAAAAGGGCATCGTTTGTACCAGAATAATGCTTGGTGGTTAAGAAAGGCTAAACACGGCCACCAGGACCCAAGACCAGTTTCCTGGAAATCCCACACTCTGAGGCATTTCTTCCCACCTTGCTGCAGAGAGTACAGTATCTGAGCAGTTGGTTTACCTAGCATGAATAGGTCCAAGAGTGATTCACAGTAACAGACTCAGACTATGATTAAAATAGAAACTTAACATTTGCAGAGGAAACAAAAGTCCAGAATATTCATCTCCATTGGTCAGCAGAAACCTTTCTCCCACAGGAAAACCTGCAATGTGTGTCATATCATGATGGGCATGGCCCAACATATTTCCAGAGAAAAGGGAATGAAATTTGTTATTGTAGAGAGTCATCAAGCCAGGACTTATCAATGTACCTGTCCCAGCTTTTGGACACACATCCTAAGTAGATGAGACCACTCCTATCTCCCATTCTCCAAATTCCAAATGCAGGTGCCCTGTGTCACAAGCCCAAATGAGGAAGCAGCCAGTAGCAACACTAACTGCCAGGCGTGTGGCAGAGCCGTCATCAGGCCCAGCCCACTGAGCCCATGTACCACAGTCCCATGGGCAGATTAATAATGAACTGTTTCTCAAGCCATTCAGTTCTGGGGTAGCTTGTGATATGACAATAGTTAACAAACATTCCATTCAATGGTTTCCTCGGAGTATATTCCAGCCACTTTGGCGGACGAGCAATATACGCTAATTTCACTGGCAATAGACTGAACTATCAGTTTTACAAATCATCTCTTAGAAAATGTTACTGTATGGCTGATACCATGTATTCTCTCTTGATTCTTAACTCGATCAATTTCATACACTGCTGTTTCCTGCCATTTCCTGAACCCTTCTAGAATCTAGCAACACAACTTTTACATTCTGTACTTCTAAACAGCATATGCCATAGATTTCTTAAGGGAAATAATTATATTTTTAAAATGAAACTTTGTAAAGGACTAACACATTCATAACTCTTGGGTGCATTTTTACTATTTCCCTGTAAAATGGTTTCTTTCCTCAGAAAACGGAGACACCTCAGTCATCCTAGAAACAGCTGCCATTGAACATTTCCCGGGCATCAGGAGTGGTGCTCAGCACTCCTGAGACATTATCTAATTCACTGTGAGCAACTGGAGATAAAAACCGCACTTTAAAAAGAGGAATAAACCATGAAGCTAAAACGTAGAGGTGGTTAAACAATCTGTCAAATGCCCACAGACTTTATTTCAACAACTGTACCGCATTACCCTCCTAGCAGAGAGAGCAGCCATTTCAAGGCACAGCATCTGCGACAATCGGAGGAACCTGAGGCCTAGAGAGGGGCGATGACTTGTTGAAGACCATGCACGGCCGTTGGTCCGGGAACAGCTTCTGAGAGAGCGCCCTGTTCGAATTCTCATATAAATGGCAGAGGGAGCTTTGACAGAAATGTGGACTTGAATAAAAAAAGGAGGAGTATGACTTCATGCCTTGGGAACGCATGCTATATTCAAGAAAAAACAAACAGTATTTTTTTTCCACACAAAACTGAAGTATTTATAACTAAAGCTGAAACATCCCTTTTCATTTAGGGCATAAGCCTTGAGAACCACAGAGCTCTTTTAGTACTTGTTACAATTAAATGCATTACAAAACAGCAACTTACTCCAGCTATACCCAAACTCATCCTCTTTGTCCACTTCTGAGACTTTGCTCGCAGATGGCGGGGCTTGGTCACTGCTCATCTCAGCAAACGCTGGAGGAGGGGGTGGAGGCACACTGCGCGATGGAGCCTTTGCTGGCTCTGTTTCCGACTGACTGGGTGCCTGTGGGGACAGGAGGAATGCAGTGGGCATGTGCAGCTTAAGGAGAAAAACATTAAGGAAAACAAGAGAAGAATGTTGAAAACAAAAAAACTGGCTTTAAAATATCTGACACATACATAATAGGAAATATAAATACATAATGGGAAATATAAATAAAGTGGTAGATAGGATTCAGGTCAAGTTTACAAAGCCAAAGTGGGATGTTCAAAAACATTACATTATTATTTGGTATTTTAAAGTGATGAACTGTTCAATTTTAAGGCTTAAATCACTTAAGATAAAAAAGTACACAAACTTCCCCCTTTGGAAAATTTTATTCACAATTTATCATAAATGTCCAGGGCTCTGGGCAAGATTTGGGAGGGGTCTAGAAAAGGCTTCCAAGAAACTAGAAAAAAATAAAGATGCTAATCAAACAGCCAAAGATGTTCAAAGCTTGATAGCAAGACTGTACATAAATAATTTTTTATTGCTACCTGAATCCTCTCTCCAAATGACTGTGTCAACAAATCCACGAAAACAAACATCACACGCGCATGTTCCTCTCCCTGGGAGCTAGCTTGTCAGCAGAGGGCACACAGACTTGGGTCTGAGGGGCTCATTTTAAGAGACAACACCATTGTTCCCTTGCCAAGGTAGCTTGCAAGGTCAAGGAGAAACATGGGCAAGTATTTCACATAAATCCAAAGTATGGTATACTTGCTATCACAGGTCCTAATCTAAAAAAGGACTTGGCTTCATCAAGTTATAGAGTATCAAAATGAATATTAGAATTTAAAAGGATCTTAGGTAATTGAGTTCACTTTGCAGATTAATCACCCAAGACCATGAAAAGTCAAAGGTTTTGTTCAAAATCACACAGTGGTACATTCTTTTTGCTTAATTCTTAACCCAATCTAATGCACTTCCCATTATACCAGGTCATCTCCCCAAATTTCCACAGTGAGACAGCACCTGGTTCAAGAGTCAGAGACACCCAGCTGAAGTTCGTACCTGGGCATGGCAGTGTCCCTGAGGCCTGGAGCCTAGGTTTTTCTACCTTCTTTAGTTCATATTTCATCCTATGTGAAAATCCCTCTAATACACTTTATTTGATATGTGTATGTTTGGGAAAAACACAAATTAAAAACAAAAAACCTCTTACAGAACACACTAAAGGATAGGCAAGCACAAATACCCGGAGATCATTAAGTGGTATTGAGAATCAGAATACCACAAAATATACCAAATACTAAAACTACATGGCACTGAGTGTGATCTTTCTTTGATGACTCAGAAAGCACTTTGGGATTGTAAGTTACTCCACAATAATCATAATAAACAAGATTTACTATTTTACTGGCAAAGCACAGGAAAGATGAATAATACTTACAGGACAACAGATTTTCAAGTTACAAAATGTACTGTATTAAAATGTTCAGCTTATACACCACCGGTCAGACAGACAGGGATTGCTAGTATAAACTGCACCCTTGGTATCTTCCCAGATGCTGGGCCATGACACTCTCAAATTAACAGCGTGCAAATGAGAAACGGACAAATGAGACTCATCTGACAGACGAAGGTTCATTAAACATACCAAGTTGGGGGGTATATAATTAAAATTTTTCTGGTTAAAATAAAAAAACTACTTCTCTGGAACAAAAAATGTTAATAGGCATGAATTAAGCCCATTTCACTTTGAAAAATTAGAACAAAAATCTAATTTAAACCTCATAATTTTAATAAATTTATGGGTACAAATTTTTAGGTATTACTTGCTGCCTAACTTTTCTGAGCAAGTATTTCCCTTAACAAACAAACAAACAAACAAATAAAACCTACGGTGAACAAACTGTTCAGGATCTCATGTTTTTACAAGGTGAGCAAACAAAAATGGTGCCCTAACATAGCTCATGAATTGTAAAATGAATACAACTCTAAATACATTTACTAAAGGCAATGAGGCATTCCATTTTACTACCCCTACTCATTCTGAGATGATATAATTGGCTTGTTGCTGACACTTCTTAAAATTTGTTAATAAAAGTACAACTCTTTAACAAAGATCGTTCAGTGTTCATTGGCAACAATGTAAAGTGCACTTGAAACCACGCCATGCCATCTACGCACACAGCCTGATGCACACACACAGCACACTGTATAACACACCACTTACTCATGGAAACTTCTCATTCAGACAAACCTTAAATGGTGTGGGAGCAAAAGGGTTAGTTGGGGAACAACGGAGGATAACTCTACTTGAATTCTGTAATTCCTATAGTAACAGAAAATATATTCCTTCAGATACATTATCTTTGGTTTTCTTCATTACAATAACATGAAATTCCAATGAATATTCATAAAATGCTTCCTGGAAGAAATTATTCACAGCTTTCTTCCTTTTCATGATCAAATTATAGTATGTTAGTTCTCGTTAGTTTTTGTTTCAGTTTTGGACTTACAACTGCGGCAGAACAGGAGGACACCCAAGCGCATGTGCAGCAGGTCTCCACGGGCAGCAGTGGCCCCATGGCTCCCGACTGAGGCACCCCATGGACACAGCGCATGAATATTCAAGGAACTCTTGTCAATGCATGACTTTCCGTGTTGTGATCAACTCACACTGGGGATTTTAGGGCAACCTTGTATAAGTCTATTCAAGATTTAAACCATTACAAGGTTTTTTTAAAAGTTCCGTGTGACAGTATTTCATATATTTGGCAACTAGCAAAAACTTAAATATCAGAACATTTAACTCACACCAAAACACAGAAAAGGCACTGCACTCACCATTCTCCCTTACCCTTCAGAAGGACCATCTAATTTCAGCTACAAAAAGGAGTATGCTCTGGCAAGAAAACATACTGAAGAAAGGATTGACACGCCCACTCCAAACACACAGTTTGCTTTTTTCTGCCCCAATTTAGTAAACAGTGAACTGGGACAAGGCACGACAGTAACAAAGAACAAAACATTTTCAAAAGGCAACGGCAAGACAATGGGCATTATCCAACCTTGTCGGAGTTGAACTGCAGAGAGTCAGCAAATGGGTTAGTGCTGCTGAAGCTGAACTTAGGGTAAAGGTTGTGCGGCAAGGAAGGCAAGGGGGGTTTCTAAAAAGAAACACAACAGGCGCTAAGCGCAAAGAAATGTATTCCAGACAACTCAGTTTTAAGAACAAAGTACTTACTGATTTCAGTAACTGCAGAAAACTAGATCCCGTCAGACTGTCAGATCTACTATCAGTAACACCATCAGTCTGAAACAATGTTTACCTCTAGCGACCTGAATCTGCACTTCTATCTAAAGCTGGCCACCAACCGCACAGGAAACGCGTCTGACACATGGGTTCCTGAATTCCTTCACTCCCACTAAGTGTCTTCACTGGGAGACCGATGCATGTGTATCTGTCTACTTTATATACTAACATATATATTATGCAGATCGGTAAACATGTTTCTAACTAAAATCAAGTTTTTAAAATGTACATTTAAAAGCAAATTATGCAGGGTTTTTTTTTTTTTTTTTTTTGGTAAAACAAAGAATGGTGTATTTGTTTCAGAATGCAAATTAAACACTTGTCTGCTAATTCACTGGTAATCTTCATTAGTCTTTTATTTTGTTTTCCAGTAAGGAAATTTTCATACTTTGACTAGATATAAAGCTTGCTTTAAGTCAAAAAATTTTTAGTTAAAAATAATAATTTTTAAAAAGTGAATCACTGTACAGTGATGTTTCTAGTTCTGCCCACTTTTTAAAGTAGAAATATTATATATACATATATTTAAAATTCGCTATAAAACTCCCCACACCCTTCTATGTTGGGGAATTGATGGGGTTCTGAAGGACGCTTGCAGCCCTACCCCAGAGTGTCTCTCACAGGTGCTGGGGCTCACCTGTGCGGGACACACAGAGCGAGGACTACGGGGTTTGATTGGAATCATTAAAGGCCGGGTGACTGCCAGACAGAATTTAACATTTTCATAGTTTAAGGGAAAGGAAAGTAATTTCCTTACCACAATAAATTCTCCTTCTCTTCATACCCACTATCTTTTTCTTTCATTGACTACATCTTTCAAGGGAAAATGCAGACATTTAAAATTCATTTTGGCTCCAATTAAATGTTTGTGTTACTTCTCTCTATAAAAAAATCTCTACTGGCAAGCATGGAGAGTGGAGAGACTGTCACGTGACACCACCCCGCCTGGGAGAGCACTCTGCAAAGACCACCCTCACTCGGTACGCCTGCGCTGAAGTTCACGCCACACAGCCCTTTCAATCTGCTCTGCTGCAGTGTTTTTCCTACAGACAGAGGACAGAAAAAAGAAATGGGCACAATGACATTTCTGTGCGTCTCAACGCTCGCTCTGCTTTTCAGTTTAAAATGTCAACTCCTGCTTTACAAAAAAGAAGATCACAAATGTCAAGGAATGTGACCAGACAGTACGATGGAAGAAATGACTAGGCAGAGATTAAAAACTTATCCTAGGCGCAAAATAAAAAGTCAGTGCCACGGATGGTAGAGATTATTTCTAATTCTCACACGAGGAAGTTTTTGGTTTTACAGTTCCTTTATAATTCTGTAGAATAATATAAAATAAAACCATAATGTCAAGAAATAAAATATTTAAAGAGAGCTCTAGTTTTTTGCTTGCCTGCCTTCCTCCATTCCTATTTTTTATTTTAATTTGCAGCTCTTATAGGATTAGAATTTGGCCCTGAGAACAGAATATAACAGCACAGAATGAATGCAGCAAGGGAAGTGGTGGATCACTATTATTAAAGAAAGGTTTATGGAAAGAGACTACATTTCTTATTAAAAAATCAATGATGAAACTTCTGTTTATAGTTCCAAGGGCTGATAAAAATAGAAATGTTATTAAATAAGAAGCAGTACAGGGAAGACAAAAACATTCTCTGGCCCATATTAATAGGGCCCGCCCTTCCCTACAACGATGTAGTCAGACTAAGTTCTGGAAAGTGTCACACTGGTGGAATTATCAGGACTAGCTCTGGAAAGTTCTGAATCTTGAACAGCCTAAGAGCTTATGTATAAGTTTTTCTTAAAGCTTTATTATATCCACAAACAAAACATTTACCACTAAGAAACTTAGTTATTTGTAATTTTTCCTTTAGATTATAGTAGATTCAATTTATTTTCATAGGGAAGTAAATCATTGAATACCAAGCACTTCTCATTTTAAATGCAAAATTAATTATAATTTCCTAAAGCAAAATGCATATGTAGAGAAAGAAAAAAAAATTCCCATACCCATCTTAGGTTCTCAGCTGGATCTCTGTAATAAGAAACAGATTAACGAGAGAAAAGTGTACATATTGATTTAATATAAGTTTTATGTGACATGGGGCCTTCATAAGGAAATAAAGACCAGGAGAAATGGTTAAACCCGAGTGCTGTTACACGAGACTGCATGAACAGCTGGCAGTCGTGGGAAGTATCACGAGACATTGAATATGGACTTAGAGGAGTGCACTGGGGGACTCTGCACAGTCTGTCCACTGGCTCGCCTCAGCATCCCTTCCCCTCTTCTCCAGGGATGGGAAGGGCGCATCTCACAGGACGACCTGGCAACCTGCTTCAGCGTGGAAGGGGAGGTCAGAGTCATGGAAGCACCTGTCCTTTCCCAAATTCCGTTAGCTTAAAATATTCCATATCCAACATGCCATACTTTGGGGGGGCATGTCCTGAAACCTTGCTTGAGTAACACTTATCCTGGAATAATTGGTACAAAATCAGGCATCATTATAACTCATAATAAAATAGGAGTATTTTCCAGGTGCACACACACAAAAAAAAAAACCACAAAACCTTCCCAGCTCATTAGAAAATGTGACTGGCACTGAAATAAATATTTGTAGTTTAAGTTTTTTAAAAAGTAGTATTGAGAAGCCTTATTCAGCAATTTATATCATCCTAAACATTATAAAAGTTTGAAACAAAAAATAAAAGGAAAAAGAAATATGCAAAACCCACCCACACAAAAAATAGCTTTAACTTAAACAACCGTTTACCCACACTATCATGCTGTGTCTATGTTTAACACAACAAATGGAAACAAATGCAGAAAGATTTATAGTTATTTAAACAAACTGAACAGCATCTGAAAAGAATGCAGCATGATGCAGCCCCACCATTTGGCAGATTTTCTCATCTGAATGAATAATTATTACCTAACAATAAACAACTGAATGATTAAAAACTGCAGATGTGAAGATAAATGCTTACATTAAGAACAGCTAAATTCATTTCTTACAGTAAACTTGGAGCGGAGCTACACACCTGTCTCAACAACAAAAGGAACAACCAACAGGATAAATCTAGTCACTTTTATTCAATGACACAGATTTTGAAAATTACTTTGATCTCATCTACAGAGCTATTTGCTACTTTCCTACCATCATATTAAATTCTTAATTTTAAATTCTGAAAATTACCTTAAATTCTTCATTTTAAAAGTTAAATGTATTGTATATAAAATTACATATTTTAAATTTTAGATAATCCTTTTAACTCCCCTCACATATGCTGACCTTTCCCTTTAAAACACAACCAACTCTCAAAGCTGACAACAGGCATCTCGAAGAGATCAGCACGTCAGAGGTTCTCTGCTTGGATCTGGAAGTGAGCCTCTCTCTACGCTTCAGGACACTTGGGAAACTCTGGCAATGGTGTGCGAACTTTTCAGTGAACATGTGTGTTTCTGAAGAACTTTCTAAAGGCTATGCAGCCCAAATATATCTAAGAACTGCTACATGTTAAAATATTTTTCTTTTTACTGAGGTACAAAGAAGGAACAGAAAAATAGTCTTAATTCTTGGCACAATTTTCTTCTTTGGCAATATTAGGGCTGATCAAATACACAAAACCTCAGTAACTTCTCCCTCCACAACACTGACTAAAATCCCTTAGATTTTTAGAAATAATTTTGAAGCCATTTTACCTGTGATGGCTGATGGTAAAATGGGTCAGTAGGTTTCTGTCCATCAGGGACGAAGCAGCAATGTAAAGCTAAACAGTAACTGAAGCTGGGAAGCAGCAGTTATGACATAACTCGTATAGAGACATACAGCTTAAACAAAATCCACCACGTGTAAATGTAACATTCAGTGAAATAGATAAATACATTAAGATTATTCACTGGTGATCATGGGATTTCATAAACTGAAAATTCTAAGGAAATCAATTCGTAAAGAAAATGTCATCTCACTGGCTTCTAGGGGACTTCACTGAAGGTCAGAGATTATTAACCTCAAAGACTATACCACATTTCTGTTAACAATTTACATACTTCATGTCTATAGTGAACATTAATAACTGCCCATCACTGGCCACCAATGAATCCTACTTCTGTGCATTTAAAAGAAACTTCAAGTGTTTATTAAAATTGGTAGAAGGGATTTCCAGGACACCTCAATTAAGAAAAACAAGCAAAACAAACTTTTAACAAGTCTCCTGAGATTCCAAGACTCAGTATCTTTGTTTTTAGAGACAACTTGGCCCTTGATCCGTTAGATTCCAAGTTGAACACTGTTCAGATATGCCTACCTTGCCCTCTGTGTTTGCTTACCCTTGGTCTGTTTATAATGCTCTGTACCATAAAGACTACAGGGTTGCCTGCTTTCCGAATGGCTTCCACAGCTTGTTCGTGGCTTGCATCTCTGAGGTCCATGCCATCCACCTGCAATGGAAGGCCTCGGCTTAACATTTCAAGAAGCTATAGAACAACAGAACAATTTGTGGATCTGGAGTTCTGAAGATCCTTGGAGGAGCGTCCTGGAAAATTAGTTTCGGAATAAAAAATAATTGAGACTGTATGTGAGGCTTCAGAACTTTTAATCTGATCAGCAAACTGTGGTCCCTTGTTTTGGACACTGATTTCTCTCTCTACTAATCAACTGAAATAATAATCAATTAGAATGAAGGATCTGCTTCTGCATTCCTTACACTGCTTGGCTGCTCCTTTAATAAATCTGTGTAATTAAAGAAATAATGTAAGGGGGCTGTCTAGTAGCACTGTCTTCATCATGAAAGTCACTGTAGAAATGTTTTCCAACTCATTAGAGTGCTTTGGGAAGTGGATGGGTGATGGCGTTGTGCATTTTTCTCTGGACAGGGAAGCTTGAGGTTGAAAACAAAATTCTGATGTTCAGAAATAACAGGTTATTGTAAGGTTAGTTGTGCAAAGAATCTTTGCAGTAGACATGACAGGAACAGAAAGCCAAGAAATTGTGCTTACTTGTTAGTAATTCTTATATGAGTAGCTTGGAAAGAGAAGTTATTGTGTACCCTTTTATTCTGCATGGCTTGCCTCCCCGATGATCAACTGAGCTGGTGTACTACATGGATAGGAAAAAAAATAGTTTGAAAGGCCAAATGCTAATCCTGTCAGAAAACTATAGGATACTATATCATTTTATCATTTCCAATTACTGCAATATGGTATGTACAACAAAATAACAAAATTAGAAGGGACCCAATTCTGGAAAACTATTAGATCTCTGCATAGAACATCATCACCTTTAAAAAGGTATATACATAAGTACATACGTGTAATTGAAAAACTCCCTCAGGCTGATACTTAGGAGATACTTAACATGTCTTTCAGTGCATATTAAAAATGATTTCTAACTTCTGTAGAAGGAAAGTTAATATCCATGTGTGCTATATATATCATTAGTGAGAAAATTTTAACTGGACATTAAATATCTTTGTTCACATCCAAGAAAAGCTATACTTAGAATAAAATCACTTGCAAGCTTCTACTCATCTAGTCTACATACATTTTCAGAAACTCTTAGCAGAAATGTCAGAATCCCCAGGACTACAGAAGCCTAAGGCTTCCTTATTTATAAGAAAATCCCCCACACATAAAGCACTCAGCAAACCACTGCTAAACAGCATACAGTACTTTACCACAAAAAAGTCATTTTCAATTGGATAGGGATGTCTTAAAATTCTTAATACATTTAAACAATATTTTGGTGAAAACCATGATCAATCCTTTCCAGAAATAATCATAAGCATTTCTTACTTTTTCTATTTATGTTGAAGGTACATAATAGTGAAGTACCCATAAAATAAACTGCCCTGTGATCATTTAAAATGGAAATTTTAGGTAGAGTTCTTTAAAAGGGGGCTAAGATTTCATCTAAAGGAAGGTAAGTTTGCAGGGAGAAGAAAGCCCATCATTCTTCCTTGTAAGTAGTCGGAGGGAAAATAACACATACACGGCCCTTGTTTTCTCTCAATTCTCAATCTTCTTCCTTCTTCAGCGCTCAGTAATCATCAATCGATCAACTACTCAATCCCCAAAATGCTAATTTAAAAATAATGGCTAAATTATAACCTTCTTTTAAACAATTAGGGCATTTTAATGTATAAGTTCTATGATTTCAGAAAGTGAGAGGCAATCACTTGTATAAATTAAATATAACTTACACATAGTAAGTCACCATTATATTTAAAATTGTATAGTTTAACACTGTATTTATTATTTGCAGAGTTGAACTTTGGTGAGAACCAAACAAATTTCATAGTAAGAAAGCAATGAGTTTCTATTTGGAAGCTGTCTCTTTTTAGTCTACTCTATAAATCCTGACAACTCAACAAATCAGAAATCAGGTATCTCTTTACCCTCTTAAATACAGTAACACTATGCTTATCATGGTCAAATAATTTATCACAGTGCTCTGAAGCGGCCTGATTACTTGTCCTGTCTGTCGCACCTGACAGGCGGGCACGCCCTCCTTCCCTGTGGGTGCCCAGAGCCCGCTGGGCACCTGGAACACAACAGCTCTCCAGGGACACTTGTTAAGTAAATGAATGAGTGATGCCCGAGGGAAGAGTCTATAGAAACCATTAAACTTCACTTTAAATTAAGGAATTAGGTACAATCTGACCAAATGCTTTTCTCTCATACATAACCAAATGCACGTGTGTACACACATGTGTGGCAAACATGCAGCCTTGAGCGATGAATGGGCACAGCAGTTAAGAAGAAGGAAAATCTGAGTTAGGCCTGGGGCTGGGGCATTTAAATGAAAGGTAATCAGGGCCTTAGCATAAGAGATTTTATTAAAAAGCCTCATTTGGAAAAAAATCTCATTCATCAAAGTTTACAATAAAATGATAACTACAAAGTATTTTTGAAATGAAATCCCAATTTTGACTTAATTATGATGGGCATATTTTGCATGTGAATATATATTGTTAAGGAATTATTTCCCAAGAAACTTGCTTTGCTCTTTTAACAAGAATTCAATTATTATCTCTCAGGGCCAATGTTTTTAAGAATGGTTGGTAACACTCTCAAACATCAAGATACATAATCTGTCAGCCTATACTGAAGACAATAATTATGGATGAAAAGAAACAAATAAGAAATACTTTCCTGTGATCAGGTGGCTAAGTTGGTTGGAGGGTCATCCCACACACTAAATGGTTGTGGGTTCGATTCCTAGTTGGGGTGCTTACAAAAGACAACTGATCCAAGTTTCTCTCCTACATCAATATTTTTCTCCTTATCCCCCTCCCCATCTCTAGAATCAGTGAGCATGTCCTCGGGTAAGGATTAAATAAATGTTAAAACTAAGGAAAAGAAAAACCTAAGTGCTTTAACCACAAACACATTTTACTCTAATGTTCAGCTGAACAACCAATGTCAAGATGGTGATTCCCTTGGTAAAGAGGATGCAACAGGTAAAGCGTTTGGGCACAGAAGGCTCAGTGGAGGGTACCTCTACTATTCTGTCTCCAGGTTTCAAGGTTCCATTTTTCCCAGCTGGACTATCTTCAAGAACATGTTTGATGAAAATGCCCCTCATCACTTCACCGTTGCTCAGACGGCTCCCCATCCCTCGTCCACCAACAATGCTGATACCCAAGGATCTGCTTGGTTCTCTCCAAAGCTCAACCCTGTAAAAAAGGAAACACAGTGTTACGTGCATGAGAAAACAGGGGAGAAGTTCATGGCACGGGAGTTGGCCATTTTTTTGAAAAAGAAATGACACCAAAAGCACAAACAATCAAAAAATAGCCTAATTGGACATCAACAAAATTAAAAACTTCTGCTCACTTGAATATATTATTATTAGAATAAAATGGCAAACCAAAGAATAGAAAAATTTGAAAGTTTCATATCTGATAAAAGATTGAATACATCAAGAGCCTCTAAAACTCAATAACAAAAAAGTAAAAATGTGATTAAAACTGGACAAAGAACTTAAATAAAAATTTCTCCAAAGACATACATACATACAGAGGGCCCATAAGAACATGTAAAGATGCTTAATTCCACTAGTCATTAGGGAAATGTAAATCAAAACTATAATAATACAGTGAGATACCATCTTACACCCATTAAGATGGCTACTATAAAAAAAAAGAAGTGTTGGCAAGGAGAAATTAGAGAAACTGTGAAGAAATTTAAACCCTTAAGCGTGCACTGCTGGCAGTAATGTGTAATATTTTATCTGCTACTGGAAAACAGTATGGAAGTTCCACAAAAAAGTAAAAATAAAATTACTACATGATCCAGCAATTCCATTTCTGGATACAGACCCAAAAGAATTCAAAGCATGGTCATGAATATGTACTTGTACAATGAAAGGAAATGTACTTGTATGTACTTGTCAGAAAGGAAATTCTGACACATTCTACAACATAGATTAACCTTGAGAACACTATGCTAACTGAAATAAGCCGGCTAAGTGAAATGAGGAACAAACTCTATAATCATTTCACCTATTTGATGTACCTAGAACAGTCACATCCACAGAGACGTAAGCAGAAGGGTGGCTGCTAGAAGGTGGGAAGAGGAGGAAATGAGGAGATATTAACTGAGTCAAGTTCCAATTTTACAATACGAAAGAAGTTCTAGAGATGCTGGTGGTAATGGCTACACAGCAATCTTAACGTACTTGATGTCACAGATCAGCACACTTATACAAGATTCAAATTGTTAACAATGATAATAAATATTTTAAAATTCAATGGAATGTGTTTATATATTAACTTTTCAAATATTACTTGCTCAACTTATTAAAGTTCCACCAGTAGTAAAACAAGGTCATTTTAAATACTTCCCAATTATGTGTTTTATACATTCTGATAAATACTCATGCATTTCTGAAGCAGATTTGTTAAAATTAAATACTGGACTTACATACTCCAGGCTGGGCACAGACCAATGTTAAAAACCATTTTTTAAGAGCTCTATTATCATAGACATTAAGTAATCAAGAAATGCAGCTACCCCTGAAAAGACAGTTCTAAGCTCAGCAACCCAGTCAAGAGAAAGAACATTCCTGCACACACTACGTTAGAAGCTGACCTATGTCCAAGTCTTTCTCGCCAGTGCAGATCTGGTAACTAACAGTCGGTGGCTGCCAAGATCCTACACGATCCGGTCCCACCCCATCACCATTTCCAGAACAGCATCTCCCACAGCTCTCCCCTTCCCTCTGTCCGTTCCAGGAACACCATCTTCTTGCTATTCCCTAAGTTCAACAGACACATGCTCCTGCTTTGAGGCCTTGGCACTTGCTACTTCTGTGTTGCATTCACTTCCCCTAAACACATAAAAAACACATGAACTCATTTACCATAAGTCCAAATATCTAGAAGAGCTGTGGATGGACTGGAAGTACATATTTTATGAAAAGGCTGGGATACAAGAATAAGCTGACTGGTGGTGAGGGGTTTGGCCAAGATGAGGTAGCACTCGGGGAACTGGAGGAAGACAGAGACATCAAGCAGAGAACTCTGAGACAGTGAGACTACACCCTGCTCCCTGCTTCAGGGAGACAATGTTGGACATTAAATAGGAGAAGAAAGCATGGTCCCAACAGGCCCTCAACCTTGACATTCAGGGTGCTCACAGAGGAGAGGAAAAGTTGGAGTGAGGCTCCGGTGCAAGGAGGGAGCCCCCAATAAGAGGCTGAGGATAAAGGAGCACCCCAGGTGGAGTGAGGGGTGGCTACTGGTCAGATGGAGTCAGAGGAGACACTTCTTTGATCCACGGTTTTTTTCTTTATTAGAAATCTACAATCCTAGAGACCCTACCTGTTTGGTTTAAAAACATCTCACCATGATCTTTATCTTACACAATTTGTATGAACAGTTTAAACTACTTCAAATTTCATTCCTCATGTTTTTTCATGCTAAAAATTCTGGGAAAGGCAAAAGCCAGCAAACTTCCTTGTCTTTAAAGCAGTTCCTAAAGTAAAATAGCAAAGTAGAGAAGTCAGTAAAGTTAGTCACTATATTCATATTTAAGAAGCTTTAAATATTAATGGGTGGAACTCCTTAATTCTTCTTCCAAGAAATAAAAAGTTAAAAGACAAGAAAGAAAACAAGAAAGTATCTCCTAGGGTGCTTTGTGGTGGGTGTAAATTAAAAAGTGGGTCTTATAATTTCTTGATTAAAAATAATAGCAATAGAAAACACTTATTAAGGGCTGATCACATGCTGAGCATTATTATCTAAGTTCCACACACTCACACTTAATTCTCACATCATCTTTATGGGGTGGACATGCTTGTGAGTCCCATCTTACGAAGAAGGAAGACACACAGAGGGGTTAAACAACCTTTGCATAATAGCATGGAATGCTTACACAGGGTCAGGCACAGACAGCAGTGTTTCCAAACAGCAGTCCCTAGAAAAATCACTGTAACAACTGAAAACTGGAGAAGACAACCGAAGGTGGACTGTCAGAATGACAACTGTGCTGACGAGCCAGGCTCATTAGTCACTGAACGGAACATGGCAAACATGCCGTTGGAAGAAGAAGAAGACCCGTAAAAGAAAAACTTTATAGATCGTGTATGGAGTTAGTTTTATGCAAAAATGGTAGCCTTTCGTAGGCTTATGCAGAGATTTAAATAGAACGAAATTCAGAAAAGCCAAAGTGAAACAGAACTCTGAGGCCAGGATTTCTAAGCTCAAACCAGGTCCCTGGGTGCAAGTCCTGCTCCTTTGCTACCTGACAACTGAGTGACCCTCTGCAACTTACTTAGTTTCTCCCTGGCTTTCCTTATCTGTGAAATGGAGCCAGTAAGAATCTCTACATCAGACTGTTGCTGTAATTATTAAATTAATGAAAACATGTAAAGTGCAAAACAAAGCTTTGGCATATAGTAAGCAACCAGTAAGTCTACCACTACTCCTCTTATGATTATGGTTAGTGAAGCGATGTGATTAAGCAACACATAAAACTTAACCCATATGACAAATGGGCAAATACAAGCTCCGCCACCTCGATCCTGTTATATCTACATATTGTTTGTTAGGACGCAGCACCATTTTCTGCCCAGCAGACTGACAAAAACCTTTTTGTTTTTTAAATGATCATATGATGAAGTGACAAGGATATAAGGAAAAGGGACCTCTTGCATATTGGAAAAAGAAGAAAAACTGATATAGCCACCTTATAAAACAAGTTGACAACTTCTAAGAAAGTAAATAACACATTTAACTCTATGAACCAGCAATTCCACTTTTGGGTATATACATAGATAAATTCTCATAGATAACTACAAGATTTACTACAGAATTATTACAATAGTGAATAACTCTTAACTATTCAAAACTCAATTTGGGAATAAACTGTGGTATATTCATATATTAAAGTGCACTACAACAACTAAACTGAATTAACAGATCTTTAGGAATCATAATAAATCTTTAAAATACTGGATTGAGAAAAAAGCAACCAAGCTGGGAAATGACAGATAAAACAGTATGACACCAATTTTTTAAAATCAAAATCACATGCAAATAAGAGTAACACAGCTTATTTGCAACGTTCAAATTTACACTTTGCTAAAAAGTATTCATTTTCCACACAAAGCACGTTTGTTTTTTTTTTAGCGCGTGAGTAAATGCCCCGCACATTTACAAAGATATAAAGAACATTCATAACATTTGCTCCTCATTTATCAAAAGGTGTGGTTATTTTGGTAAGTTTTCTTGTAATATTCTATGGACATAATAATCAATGAAATTTTGCTGAAAAGTACTTCAGTGCTTCTTTACCAAAGTATCATTTTTAAGACTTATGAAAACTCAAAACATATTCTCTCTAACTAAACATAGCTACTGCCTTTAGAAACATCTTCTAGGCAAAAATTTATGATAAAATTAGAAAATATTCCTGTGTAGAAGTTACATTCATTCTTTCTCATAAGAAAATTTCATAATGATTTCAGTGTTCAACACTTTCTCTTTGTTTAGTTGTCAGTGATGATGGTGGTGGTGGTGGTGGTGGTGGTGGTGGTGGTGGTGGTGGTGGTGGTGATGTCTGACAAGGCCAGCCACTGACTGAGTGCTCATTCTGTATCAGGCACTATGCTAAGAATTTTAAATGAATTATCAGAGTAAATTCTCCCTGCCCCCTAATTTAAAAGGTTCTATTATTAATCCCATTTTACAGATGAAGGAACTAAGGCCTAGCAGAGATTCAGCAACTCATCTTACTGTCAAAGCTAGAATTCAAAGACAGCTCTTACTGACTCCCAACGTTTTGCAGAGTGCCATCCAAACATGGCTTTTCCTCCCACAATGTTATTAAATCTGCCGCCCTATCTTCTGCTTTCTCTATGATCACTGTCCCCCAACAAAGCTCAGCTTCATCACTGTGGTCACCAGCTACAAAATAATTTCATCCGGCAATTGTGCTTCCATTCTCAAATGAGAAACTTAACATCTTACACTATATTTTTTTGCCACAAACCTAGCATTTATATTCTGTTCTCAATATGGGTAATGTAGAGACTGTGATTTCTTTAAGCAAGGCTAAGCAGCTTTTTAAAAATTCAAATGAAGTAAGCCAGGAGGTGAAAGAGAAATACCATATGATCTCACCTACAGGTGGGACCTAATCAACAAAACAAACAAGCAAAATGTAACCAGAGACAGTGAAATACAGAATAAACTGAGAGTAATCAGAGAGGAGGGGAATAAGAGGGGAAAAAGGGGGAAGGGTCATCCAGGAACATGCATAAACGACACGTGGACAAAGCCAAAGGGGGATCGGACTGAGGGTGGGCGGTTGGGGAGGGTGGGGTGGAGGCACATGGTGGGGGAAAAGGGAGACACTTGTACTTGAACAACAATACAAAATTAATTCATAGCAAGAAGTTGTTTTAGATGGCTGGAAATGCTTACGGGGCGGGGTGGGGCAGGGGTGGGGTGGGGTGGTGCGCGTGCATGTGTGTGTGAAAGCAATGTACATTTTCTATACTTTGAAAGTGAATCAACCCAGAAAATGTTTCAATGTGATGACTGCTGCTTCATACTCTTCTGTAAGCAAGAAAAATCATGAAACTGTATCTCTGAAGACTGTAAATTACTCTCCTTGAGCATTTTACTTATTCACTGTAAAATATATATTAAGTTTTTACTAAGTACCAGGCACCACTATGATAGTCATCTTTAGATCTGCTCAGAGGGAGTGTCCAATGGTTATTTATATTTTATACTTAAGGAAAAATACCTTATTATTTTTATTTAACTACACTGCGCATCTCTGTATGTCGCTTACCCAACCAAGTACATTACAATTTCTTTGAAGGCAAGATTTATGTCTTACATTTCCCTTTTACCACAAAGTCATCTGCTTCTCTGGATCCATAATCAGAATGCAATACATTTCTATTAAAGTGGATTTGATTTTATTTAGCATGAACACAAAAACCTGCCTTAGTGACGTACAGTGATACAGCTGGGCATCTGCAGGACAGTCATCTTGTCCATTACATGTGAAATCGGTTATAGACAAACATGGGTTTGAACAACGGCAGCCCACGGGGACATGCTACTAACACATGATCATCTGGCACACACGTTTTGAATATATCGTTTCCACAAATGCTAGAAATTTTAAATTAACATTTGATGGTATGCTTAAGATTAAACTCTACAGCAAATAACCATTCTAACCACCAATGCATACATTTATCTAGTTAACTTTATGTACTCCCTACTACATGCCAAACTCTCGCATACACGTTAGTTGTAACCCTGTGTGATTTCTATTATCTTCTGAACCTCTCCACACATAACGAAGCACAGGCATATTAAATGACCTGCTCCGTGTCACAGTATAAAGTTGTAGTCCAGCACCTGGAACCACACCTTCCCTTGTTTAAATACTGAGTCGGCTGAAGACACAGACAGTCCTTACCGCCGGGGCTGATTCCAACTGCTGTACGCTGCATTCTGAAGTTCACTTTCTTCTCCCTCTCCTTCTTCTCGCTCCGGCAATTCTGGAATGTCTCTGTTAAAGAGTTACACGGTGAGTACACCCAAATCCTAGGAACCCCATGCGAGGCTGTCTGTCATATACGCCCTTGGCTGACTTGGCTACAAAGGCAGAACTGTTTTATATTTTCACCATATTCAGCCAGGTGGTATGTAATAGTTTACATTAAGGGAAGAATAAAAATTTTATCAAACAAAATAAAAACCTTACATTAGAACCAATCTACCCTAACTTAGTTTAAAGATACAGCTGAACACTAAGCATCTTGTCTAGTCTCTTTCCTGGTGAAATATGGGAAGATAAATGAAAAGAGAAGGGGACAGATACAGAATTTTAAAGAAAAACTATTTGACAGGTATGTTTTTGATACACCTACCACATGCAGGAAGACAGAAGCACCACATGAGTTATAAGGTGGCCCAGCCCTGGCTGAAGCCCCCCGACCTAGAGAACCTCTGATTAAGTCAGCCAGGAGTTTAGCATCTCTGCTTCCTAAGAATGGACCGATTCATCCCCTTCCACTTTGGAAGAAAGATGAAAATGCTTATGGTTCACCTCCAGGGGCCAGACACAGACCACTGCATGCAGGAAGCAGGTTACAACGCACCCGTGTTTGAGGTCACTTTTCAGTTTCCGGAGGAGTTCAGATTTTGCCAAATGCCAGGCATATAACAAAATGTGTCCAGTCAAGTACCATAAGGGCAACAGAAAATAGTTAAATCAATTATGGTGTCTTATGCTGTTAGAAGAAATCGAATTTCTAAAGAAAATTTCATATATTCATTTGAAAGAAGAGAAGGCTATACAAATTTTTATTCAAAATGATTTCCAGCTGATTTTTACAGAAACTGAAGATTCTAAAGAAAGCTTATGTTCAAATTTTGTCCATTCTCCATTGGAAGGAATACTGAATTCTGTCAAATGATATAATCTTTAGACTCTGAGGTCAGAAGTCATTAATCCAATAATTCATCTGCATTCAAATGTATTTCACATTTTTGGCAAGTAGATGGCCAGGCTCTTACGTGAATTTCCCATTTTTTTCTTTGACCTGATTGTTAGGTCTTTTGTTGTTGTTTTCATCTATTAAAAGGAAGTCTGTCTGCCTACAGGTCCTGCCCATTGGTTGTGTGTTAGAATTCCCCTCCCGTGCAAACGGAGGAACCAGGCCCTGCATGATGCTGGGGTTTCTGAGAGTGTAAGGCAGACAGTAGGACAGGAGTGTGGGCAATGGAGTCACGAAAGAGGAGACTTTAAAAGTGACACTAAGACAGTGACTGAAAATGAGACACTCTGAGTGAAGCTGCTGTCCAGATGATAGAAGGCAAAGAGATGGACACTAGGACTGACCCTCTGGAACGTAACTGGAAAGAATATTATAGAAGCAGCAGGTGTGGAAGGCAGACAAGAAGGAGAACTTAAAAGGACTGCTAAAATATTCAGTGACAGGCGTGGGCTGAGTGGAGGTCCTCACACCTGGACTGTCAGCTGCAGAGCTAGTCAGAAACACTCAGGCTCACAGGCTCCTGCTTCTTTAGCTGTAGGAAGACTAGTATCCTGCATCCTCTGATACAAAGGACTCATTCTCTTCAAATGACTCTGCAGTCTGGAACCCTTTCCCTATCTGAGCTATGCTCCTGTACCCGTGCTAATTATTCTTTATGCATCCTAGAGTGTGGGGTGTGGGACTCAAGTGTTCTAAAGAAGAGAATGGACCGATTCTCTTCCTCCTGCACTCACTCAGCCAGGAGTGCTGTTGAATACCAATGACACTTCTGTCAACTATAAAAATCCCCTTTATGTGTGCCTTTAGGTGCCAGACACTGGCACAAGATAACACACTAAAGTAGCACTCACATTTTAATTGAGCTCATTTTACTCTAAAACCTGAGCTCTTAACCTCCATGCTTTGCTGCCCATATTTCTATCCTGGGCTTGGGCAGTTCTTTCTTTGGATGCAATGGTTCAAAGCCATGGAGCCTGACTGTTTACATTCTAGTCTTGGCTCTGCCACTTATTAACTATGAAACTTGGGCAAGGTAGTTAACCTCTCTCTGGTACAGACTCCTCCTCCTTAAAATGCAGACTGTTCTGTTTTGAGCACCCTCAGGTTAACAGCAAACACACCTTCTCTGCAGTGAGGCCATTCCCTGGTCCACTGTGGGAGGCAAGTGCTGCAGGAGCGCTTTCTCCCTGGCACACTGTGAGTCCCTTTAAGCCCTCGGTGCTTAAAAGGAATATGACGTTACTATGGGATAGTCTTTAATTCAGCCGTTTGAAGTGACACTTCAGAGGGATAGTGGAGTAACTGCTTTTAGCGTTCTGACAGAAAGCATCAGGAAGCTCTAATCAATCCATGCCATTAACCCTGAGACGGACATTCTAGAGTGGAGTGTGCCTGAGCTGCGTACAAACAGGATAGAGTGAATACTCCTTTTCCCATAAAACTCATGAGGCCTCAAGGCTATTCCTTCCCTGTATTAAACACACACCTTCCCTTCCCTAACCCTTTCTGTCTCGTGGCCATCATGTGCAGTTTGCAGAGGGAACAGTGATGTCACACTGTGTCACCGAAATATTCAGGGATGTTCTAACGTTCTCTGAGGAATGGGAGGACCCTTCTGAGAAGATCCCAGAGTATTTACAAAGCCACTTCTGCTCTGCTGCTCGCCTACAGAGAAAGCTGGAACCTGGCTGCCAGTGCAACTGAAAATGAAACAGGCCCCAGCTGAGAGTGTGAAATGGTACATTTGACCTGGAAAAGCAATTCCGCATTATTTCTCTCCCTGTCTTAAACTCAGCAGCAGCACCAAAACCCAGTTCCTGCCTTTCCTAAGGGAGAAAAACACAACTTTTTCCTGTTCTTAATACATTACATATTAAGAGCATTTAAAAGACGTATGCTCTCTGCTTCCTAATGTATGTGTATATGTGTTTGCATGTGTGTGTATGTGTATGTGTGTACGCGTGTGTATAAAGACATTCAGACAAATATTCTATAAAAGAGTAAAAAATAACCATTAAAAATATTTCTCAATCTGTATGTATGTTAAAAAAGGAATAAATAAAATTTCTAAACATGCTTAAAAATACTTACAAAGAGGAAAAGCATGATAAAATACTATACAAACTGTAGCTTCCAAGGAACTGATGAATCATATTTATACCTAGGGTGAATTTCTCCAAACTCAACATGTTAAAAGTGCTATCTATATTTAGTGGTATAATTAGAAGTGATTTTAGTGTTTTGATTTGAATTTTTATATATTTTCCACACTATGTCATAACTGCTTAAGTATGGGAGGAGGATGAAAATATTTTTTTATGTTGAAAGAAAGAAAGGGAATGTCTTTCATTGCTGGTCCTCCTTTACTGTGGATTCAAAACTCTTCTTTATAACCTTCTACATTACCCACTCATTGTAGCAGATTTACCGTTTCATTTACCTGCCAGCGTATGAAGAAAACATATCCAGTGCCATCATCCCTCCGGGGTGTCCTCCCAACTTCACTCTAAAGTCTTCCAAACGCTCCACAGGCACGTAAGTGATCCTGGAACAGAACGTGGCCCGTGAGAGCAGAGGGAAGCGACGCTCTGGCTAACTCTTAGGGACAGCCTCCAAAACACCGAAATGAATTATATCGTCCCTTCACCCCACCCTTTCACACAACTCATTTAATCAGCCTACTCATTGGGGAATCCAAACTTCAAAAGAAGAAGTATCCTAGAGTAAGAACAACCGAAACTATATGTTAAAGTGCTCCAATAAACTATGTGTTTACCAATAATTACACGGGGGAGGAAAACATTATTATTATTTCCAAATGAGAAGGATAAAACAACTTTTTATACTTAGAAAGATCTATAAATTGTCAGTAGTAACATTCATTTCATCCAGAGTCTCGGTTCCCTGAGCAGGAACAAATTAGGCATATACCATTGAAACACTGAGTTTTTATTTTATGTAAACAACTTTACAGTCTTCCACAGTGCATACTTAATTATGGATATTAACAAGTATTATCAAGAATTAAATGTTAGCTCTATTAAGTTATGAACACTCCAAGCCTGACGTTTAAGCTGTTAAAGTTCATGGAAAGATACTCTTACTAATTTGTAGCAACTTCTTATAAGTTCATTTTGGTTTCGGAAGAAAACCTATTGCTTACATCTGAATGGTCACTTACTAATTCACCCAGTACTGGCTGCATGCCTCTGGTGTGGAAGGCACTGAGTCAGAGGCCGACTACAACCATAATGTTTACACAAGGACATCTGAAAACCCAAGTTTAGGGCTGCCCTACCAGGCTTACAGCTGATACACTTGTTTCAGTGGGCTGTTCCAAGATACTCAAACTAATGAAAAGGCAAGCATTTGAAGCCAGTTCAGCATGTTTGCACAACTGAAAAAAGAAATATATAGAAAAATGCACAATGTAACAATTATAAAGACTATTAAAACAGCTACCCATAACTTATCCATAAAGACAATAACTATTAAAATCTTAGCACTGAGGTGCAAGGATGAAAGGACTGTCTTTTATGTTATAATAAAATAAGAATTATACCAGTGCCATAATTTACTGAGTGAGGAAGGCATATAATTTCAGTATATTGGTTATTCTATAAAAAGCATTTACTCTGTGAAGTCACTTAGATGTGGAATCAGAAAACAGTTCTGCTACTCATCAGGAGTGTGGTGGGAGGGTGAATCACCACCGCTCAACTGCAGAAAGGACACTGCGTTTTATGAGGCTTTTGTAAACTGAGATGCATAATACCAGCGTCTGACAGGACACAAGCTGGCCTCGTCACACCCGATCACCCTGGCAAAATCCGAGGACCCACATAAAGGTTTAAAAAAATGAAGCAGGAACCTAGATTTAGGACTAGGCTGGGTGAGAGAGTTGCATTCTAATTTGGACCTTACTGAATCTATTCCCCAATAAAAACACCTTTTCTGTGATATTAAAATACAGGGTTCTGCAGAAGTAACACCTGCTTCAGTGTGGGGGGTAGGGTACGTGAATGTCTCGTATGAGATGGACAGCAATTTGAGCATTGCACCTAAAATGTTATACGGTGTGCTCGAGTGTGATATTGTTATGTTACAGAACTACATGCTTATGATTTTGTAACAAAATATTTTGTAATAAAAAGGGGCATTATTTGTGCTGGACCATGTATATTGAATAGTAAATTTATATTTATTCATTAAAAAGTAATGAGTCAAAATATCTAACACACGATAATGAAAAAGAAGACTGACTGTATTTTACAAAAAAATTAAGATAAACAAAAAACCCCAAGCCCAACGAGCCTGTTCAAGAAAACTGGCATTTCTGAAGATCCAATGTCGTTGAAGACATATAAGTAAAACCTTATGAGAAAAAAAAAAGAGGGAGGTGTGAGGGGAGGAAGCTAGAACATGATAGTAAAAATAATGATAATCAGTTCAAAGTATTTAATTTTTTAACTGGCTTGAGAAGGAAAATATATTTCTATATCAAATAATGTTTAAAGGCATTTTCTTCTGTATTTGTTCAAAAATGGTTTTCTTTTTAGCAAAGGGTGAGGGATGGGCAGCGGTACAAATATTTTTCTGGTATTTCAGGTAACGGTGAGAAAGGTTACAGAGGGCAGAGCTCCCACAAATATTCAGCCCGACGTGCACACGTCCCATAATGCGGCAGCGCACACGGAGCAGCCCCGACACGCCTGCTCACACGGCCACGCCAAACCTCCGCCTCACCGGGAAGAGCAGTGCTACACACGGACTGCAGAAACACACCGAAACTGCTTGTTTGAGGGCTGCGTTAAAGAATTCTTAAATGTAAACTAACCCTGGGTTAGATGTGGAGCAGAAGAAAAAAATGTAATGCCAGTGATGCCGAAATGTGATACGGCTCTTAATCCAGGGCCCGCGTCTGCACACGCAGACAGGACCGTTCCCTGACAAAGGAGCTTAAACGCTTAGGAGCTGAAAATATGATTTTCAAATAGGTTCACAGTCATTAGCACAATGTGAAAAATGGAACAATCCCACATATTTGTTCCTATGTAAATGAAGAAAAAAGCCCAAATCTATGTACTGAATCTATATCTGGATCTGTCCCTGCACCAGAATGTTACAAAAGCATGAAACGGTTTTCACAGACAAGTTGTAACACACCGCCATAATGAGCTTTTAGACTCACCGATACTCACACATAAAAGGGGCTCGATCATCAGCAGGTGCTGCAGAAAATCTAGAATGTGAAGCATACGCTGTGGCACCTTTTTACAATGGTGCTAACAAATGTCACTGTCTTGTGCGGAATCTGAGATGCACACATATGTAGTTAAAAGTGGGTGCTCCTGGTGGTTTCTTCCCCCTCCCCCTCCCTCCCATCTACACCTCCCCCAGAAAAGCATCTGCTCTTTACTGGTGTCTATAGCAATGATTATTAACAAGCATGGAAAAATGTAACTGCAATCAATCTTTTATTCCTTGATCAGGAATTCATCCCACACTTTAGGTTAAGGCAGGTGAATTCTGATTCAGCTCAGTAATTATCTGGCAGATGTTACAAGCAGCTGCTGCTAAGCGCAAAACCCTTTCTATTATTACAGAAATATAAGAGCTCCTGGCAAGGTGGAGTGAGAAGTGAAACAGAATGCATTCTGGTGAGGCTTCACATCTGGTTTTCCACAGAAAATAATGAAACCTGGAACTTAAACTGGCTGTTCTTGAACTCTTGAAACTCAAATTATCTTCACAGGCATGCGTGAACGCACAGTCACCAAGTTCCTAGCTCTCTATGGTAAAGGCAGAAAAGAAATCCAGTACAGTTGCCTTGTCAAGCAATGCTTTTCCTAAAACCAATCAGTTACGTAACTGAGCCATTAAATCTTTTTTTTTTAAGTCCCTCCAATACACTTCTCTACCACCGCCCCAGATGAAGCTTGGTTCATAAACAGAAATAAAAGGAAGAAAGATGGATGGAGCCCAAATCCAGGCAACGACTACAAAGCCTAATTAGCCAGAGGCAATGCAGGGCTCTATTCAGAGTAATGGGGGCCTTCTGGGAGGGAAACGCACATGGCTTTCAAGGTAATTCTAAACTCTCAGCTTCGGGAAAGCAAGTGATCTGCAAGGCATGGGGCCAAAAACGTTCTCTGCAAAATGTGTGGAACACACTGCTCGGCCCTGGCCAACCTAAATCACTATTTGTTTTATCATTTAACACACTTTTTTTCTGAAAAAGATTATGATTCTAATTTCTCTCTACCATGCACCCAATGGGTCACACCATAACCATCTGAATCACAGGTACAGTGGGACACTTGGGAAGAAAACAAACTTTTATGAGGGCACGTCTGTGAGTGTGTGTATGTGCCCTGCATCTTCTGGCTTTTCCCAAAACTAAAATCCTCTTTGAAAGAGAAGAGATTTCAGACCTTTGATGAGATTCAGGAAAATATGACAGGGCAGCTGATGGCAATGGGGAGAACTGTGTGAGGTCCCAAGGTGCCTGTTTTGAAGGGGACTGAGGCATCACTGTCCTATATACAATGTTTCTTGTATCTTGTATCTTCTTCAGTAAATGTCTCTATTTTTCATATTACATGGCTGGGTACCTTCTGGGCAAACCTCATATATTCATCATTTAAGCAAAAGAAATGGACATTGGACCACAAGGGATAAAAAAAACATTTTAAGTTTTTCTTTTTTCTTAGTATAGAGGCACTGATATTTTTAATGATTTTCACTTGTACTCACATTACTCTTAAAATAATTGAGGGACTGTGACAGGATCTGATAATCTGTTCCAACATACAATAAAAGTCAAAAGGCATGCAAAAACACAAAAGTTCCTTAGTAAAATCCTGCCTCAAAATTATACTTTTTTTTATAAGAAGAATCTACTCTAAACAGTAGAGATTTTCTACTTTTTATTGAAGACAAAATGAAAACCAGATTGCAGATATTATTTTTCTTTTAAGCTTTTACAATATGTACTTTGCAAGTAGCATTAATACAATAAAGTCCACCAATTAGTAATCATTGCATCAATCTAAGGTCAACAATCCTTCCCTGAGCTCTTACTACTTCATCCCTTATACAGTAAACACAAAGACTCAATGGTTAATGTTACAAGGAAAAGCCAAACTATTACATCAATGAGGTGTGACAATAAAGTCAGAAACTAATTTTTATATTGGCTCAAGAAATGCTTAGTGACTTAAAGATGGAACCACATATATAACGTGCTTTAGGCACATTGTGGGATTATGGGACAGTTGAGGCACTTCCCCCAAAATACCCTACATGACCTACATTCAGACTGTATCAACCTACTGATGAATCTCTTGGATCATGAGGTTCAAAGAAGGAAACTTACCACTCAGACTGGTGCTGCTCTACATGATCTTTGCCACTACCTGGCCCTTAAATGACTGGCTTAGTTCTACGATTCACACAGGTCAAATGGGTAGGGTACTCCTTACCCTGAGGGCCAATCGAAACTTCTTTGTAAGATCCTAAGGGTGGGCCCCTCCTGTTCTGTGAGAGATATCATTTATCTCACATCTAAGGTTTTTGCCAGAATCATTGGAAAATTAAAATTAAAAAGAGGAAAGCAACACTGTTTTAAAATATTTTTTATAGCAGGCATTTATTTGTTTCCAGAAATGAAAGACCTGACCCGCTTCAGAAAAGCCAAGTTTCTGCACCTTGAAACGGCTGTTTGGATCACAACACTGGAGATCCCCTCTGGCCGATGTGCGCAAGTTCCACGGATGGCCAGCATTCCCCCCTCGACTTGGGAGAGCTGCAGGATGGAGGAGGGATGAGGGAACAGATGTCTGAATGATGCCACCCCCACCAAACTCGTTCCAGATCATCTCCTCCTTTGATTCTGAGATAATCTAGACCCTTCTGGGTGACACTGAGGCTGCTGTGTTCCTGCAGTGAGGACCCGTGTCCTTGGCCACCCGGGCTGCTCTGGTCCTCCTTTAGATCTCCCTGAGTGGTTCCACGGGATCTCAGGATTGCTGTGTCCCCCCACCTCCTACCAGAATGGGAAGGCCTTTTGCTGGGAGTTTTCTCCTTTTCCTTTCTCTTCCCAGGGGCTTCAGCCTGGCGTTGGGAGACTCTCTGCCTCCATTCTGTTCACTCATGTTGCCTCTACTCTGCCAGCTGAGATGACGGGTCCAGCCCCTGGACCTTGCAAGGTCTCTGAAACAGGTTTGCTGGACATGTCCCTTCCTGCCACCACAGTCACTCTGCCCCTGGGTGTCACTGCTGTGGCCCCTGTGCTGCACTCTGGCTAGACGCTGCTAGTGCCAGGGTGAGGAAAGACAGTGTGTCCCTAAGCACAGAGTACTTGCATGAAGCATGTTTTCAGACTCCTTCCCCCACCAGCAGAAGCAAGAGAGGTGGCTCCAGCCACCTCAGCAACCATGGGGAGGCTCTTGATGCTGACCTGGTCTTGGTCACCTTCTTCACAAAGCTCCGTGGCTGCTGGGATCCTCCTGTCCTTTGCCTCCATCACAGGAATGTCCATCACTTCACGAGCCAGTACAGCACTGGGTGCTGCTGTAAGCCTCCCCTAGGGGGGTCTCAGGGAGAACACCAGGTCTTCCCAGTGTGCAAACAGACCTCTTGCCTCTGACAGGTGGCATAATTGTAGATAAAAAGAGTGGCCAGTGGCCGGTTTCAAGGGGAGCTGTTTTTGTCATGACTGTATATGGACAACTGTGCAAACTTCAAAGGAAGCAGCCTGGCCAGCCTCACGCTCCTCTCTGACTTCACAAGTCATGTCAGTTATAACTGACCAGGTGTGTCAGTCACGTTGGTGCCAACTGCACAGCTAACAGCCAGCTGTGCCAGCGGCATGACATCAGGTATTGCAAGGTCAGGGCTGCTGAATGTGATGCCCGGAGCGACCTTTTGCACACCGTTGTGCCTCTCAATAACTTTGCCTTTGCTGATCTGGCTGAAGTTGCTCTCAAACAAGGGAATGTGCTTAAACACGGGGAACTTGCCCTCGTGCAGCTACCACTGCAGCTTCCCTGTGGGGCCGGGGAACACGTGCAGCCCGTGGCTGCTCTGGGTGCCACCCTCCGATAGCGTCCTGTTGCTGCTCGTGTCTTTCACTATGACCACTGTGTGTCCTCGCTGGCACCTCCCCCCTGGTCTGAACCACTGCCCCTGACGCGTCACCTTCAAGCTTTGCTGTCCACCTGCTGCAGTCACACACGGCACCGCGTCTTCACCCCCACAGCCGCCCTCGCAGGAAGGAACAGCCACCCCATCGGGGGTGGAGGGAACGAGGCACACGTGCACAGTCCTAAAATATTTCCGCACTGTTACTTATAGTGACTATCTAAAATCAAAAACTACTGAGGACCAGTCAAATTCTTAAGTGACTTATAGTAAATAAATACATTATTTTGCATATCAAACAGAAGTATATTCTGAGGGAAAAAAAAACTCTGATTAATGAACCGAAATCCCTGAATTTCCCAAGACAAAGCAGGGTCCAAATGACACTTACTTTATGTCAGGCCCAGTGAGAGAATGTCTTCTCAGCATGGCTCGTGCCTGGGCGTTGGTCAAACTGATGGTAGATTCTTCATTAATAGACAAGATGCAGTCCCCAACGGCAATCCTGCCGTCTCGACTAATGGCACCTCCGTGAATAATGCTGCGAACAATCACTCCCAGGCCATCTTTATTAGCACTTACTGTCATCCCTGTGGTAATGGAGGAAAAGAGATAGGAATTAACTCTGCGACTTTCAAATTCATCTTATTTTGAAAGTCACACAATCCTTATGAACTAGGAGTAACTTCATCCTCACCCAAGGATATTTTACTATTGATTTTAGAGAGAGAGGAATGGAAGTGGGGCTGAAAGAGAGAGAGAGACAGACAGACAGACAGACAGACAGACAGATGGATGTGAGAAGCACCAGTCAGCTGCCTCCCATACATAGGTGTGTGCCCTTACTGGGAATTGAACGTGCAACCTTTTGGTGTATGGGACAAAGCTCCTGCCTCCTGAGCAACTGGCCAGGGCAGGGATAGCTTTTTAAGCCAATAATAAATAATCAAAATGAAAGAAAAAGTTCCTAACGAAAATATTTTAAAGTAAATTTTAAAGTGTGAAATTGAGTCCAGACACAGACACTCCCTGTTGGATACATTAGAGACAAAACAGGTCCACAGGGCAGTGCATGCACCTTGGACACCTGATGTGCTACTCCTTACACAGGAAGCGCTGCCAGGGAGACTGTGTTGACAGTACCAAGTGAATTTCATAACAGGAGTTCATCCCGCCCTGGCTGGTGTGGCTCAGTGGATTGAGTGCCCACCTGTGAACCAAGAGGAGGTCACCTCCTACAGGTATCAGAGAACAAAGAACAGTACCACAGATGGAAAGTTAGTTCAATAAACTGAGAGACCGAGAGACTGTGTACTACACTATTCCCAAATCATATGTTCATTCAGTATTCACTTATTATGTGCTTATTGTGTGCCAAGTACTATGCTGGTGGCTTGAGAGAAAAAGTCATAACAGAATTCTAACTTCAACAAGTGTGTATTAAAGTCTGACCCTTAGTGCCTATCACAGTGCCTGAATGTTTAGTAGTGTGTGGAACAAAAGTGCTGTGGACTTAATTCTTCTCTATTCCCATTTTATCTTCAACTCTGAATCTCAAATTCTATAATCTCCAGATCTGGATGTTTAATTGCCCTCCTGACATGTTCCCTAGATGAATAACAGGAAATGCAACCTTAGTATGTGTAAAGTCGAATTTCCAAGTCTCTACCTCCCCTTATTTCTCCATTTGTCCTCCCCTTTTTTGGTGCTGATGCCACAATACTGCTCTCCATTACTCAAGGCAGATATGTTGAAGACATTCTTGATTACTACCTCTTTCTCACCTCTTATATCTAATGCATCACCAAGTCCTGTAATTTCTATCTCCAAAATCCATACATGTCTTTCTCCATTTCCCCACTAAGCCCATACCGAGCTAGCGCCTTCTCTTGCCTCACTTCTCACAGCAGCCTCCAACCTGGTCTCCTGGCCTCCACAGCGTTCTTCTCACAGCAGACACGGGCATTTAGAAGAGGAGAATCACATCACATCCCGCCCTTGCTAACAACCTCTGACCATTTTCCACTTTGCTAGTACACAGCATACCTACAATACTCGGCACAGTCTGTAGGGCCCCCTCAACACGCACCCTTCCTTGTAAAACACAGTGGCCTCCTCGGCTCCCTGTGCTCCAGCGACTGTGTTTCCGAACTCACCTGGCCTCTCCCCATCTCAGACTGACGGCCTCTTTCAGTCATTCCCGCACAGCTAGTTCCTTACTCTTCAATATCACTTCCCCAAAAAGGCGTTCGCAACAAACCTCCCCTGAATTACTATTCCCTTCGTACCCTACCCTCACTCCATTTCTTCAAAAATCTAAAACCTTTTTAAGTTATGTTAACGCTTTACATAAAATAATGTTAAGTCACTTAAAATCATGTGCTAAAAGTTCCTTTAATTAAGCCAGATAAAGAGAGATATAAGGGTATTTATAAAAACTTTTCAGAGGTCAGACCATAAAATCAGATGTACTCAAAGCATGGCCCTTCCAAGAGCCTCCCGGCTGTTTTCAGTGTAATTCACAACCTTTGCCGGACTGGTCTTCCTAAAACACACGTCCCACCGCGTCACTCTTCGGCCCTGAGCTGCCCCTGTGTACAGACAGGACGTGGAGCCCGGAGGACACAGAGCCCTGTGCCCTGCACACGGGCCCACCAGCAGCTGTCTCCCACCTGGCCTTGCTTTCACTCCAGGTCTCACTTCGCCCACCTTCACACCACACTTCACCCATACCAAACAAAATCCAGTAATACTTCACATTTCTCTTCCTCGGCTCTGGTCGATTCCAGCTTTTCCCAATTCTTCAATTATGAGGTAAAAATCTACTCTTTCAACAACTAAATCAAATATCTTCTCCTCTTTGAAACCTGTGTAAACTTCACCACACACTCTGAGAGTAGGGATCGGCTATTTTCTCTTTTGAGCTTCAATGTTCTGTGTATTAGTGTCTATCCTAATATGTAATGCTTTCAGGACTTGACGTATTAATTAGCTAATTCTCTTAAACTCAGAGAACATGAGTTTATATACAGTGGCTAGAATACAGAGAAAAAAGAATGTTTGATGGTTGAGTAAATACACGAGAATAGGGTTTCTCATATGGGCTTTACAAAATGTTTTATGAGTTGGTCCAAAAAAATGGGTCCGAAGGCCAACGAAGTATGAGAAATGCTGCATTTTATAATCTCTTCTTAAAGGTCCACATGCACATCTGAGTACTAAAGATAGTGAGATATAGTACAAATAGAAAACTGTCTCCTTAAACTTATCACATTTCAAATTTTAAATGTGGAACCCACTTATAACTCCTATTTATAGCCTACAGAACTACTATTTTAAGTGACATGCTTTCAGAAATATTAACAGATGAAATATTTGACATGCTTTGATATATCTACGTCTCAGTGCATATAGAAAGTTCTTTAGCTTTCGCTTTATATAATTTTATTAAATGTAATATATAAGAAATAGTATAACTAAGTAGAAATTCTCTGCTGTAATTTTCTATTCAGCTGCTCTTGGAAGCACACAGCCAACATCAAATGGAACGAGGTATCAATGTAAAGGGTACTGGTTGGTACGTCATGGAAAGAGCAGATTCCCCAGTGCACAGCTAACCAGAGAGTCTTGGACCACACTCCGCATTCAGATCGACTGCTCTAACATACTACTTATCATCACAGATCATTAGGAACAGAGTTGAGTCACATGACTGCTTAACTAAAAAAAAAAAAGGAACAAATGTGTTCTGCCTCAATATAGCTTTAGTTATTGTAATTAGGATTTCATTTTTATAGGAAGTCTGCTCTGCCCAGCTCTGAAGGCTTTATGATTATGAACTAGCTGGAACCTTTTATGGGTAAGACAGGACAAAAATCCTGCCACCTGGGAAGGACTATTATAACTTGCATTTATATTTTGGTGGTGGCACACCTGGCTGTCTTTTTAGTATTTCTCTCAGTGAATGAAAGAAATTAAATACAAACTGACTTATGCATAACTGGTAACATTCAAAGAAGCTAATAATTTGCTTTTTCAAAGAAGTGAGAACTCCAAATTGCTGACTTTTCATTTTCTAAGAATTCCTTTTCTGATTTTCTGTTTCATACACAAACAATTTGTATATCTTTTACTTGAATGTAAATGAGACTACTGAATACTTTTAAATAATTAAGAGAGTGAGGGATTTATGCGAGTCTGAACTAAACAAATGTGTTAATCATTTCAGGAAAAATAATGAGAACACGAAAAGAGAAACCATAAAAATTACAGGAACATTTATAACATCTATTTTCTTATCTACAGCCCAAAATATCAAAACCAGGTTCAATTTTTCCTCTTTGCAAGGGGGTTGTTTGGGAAGATCTGTGTGGAAAATAAGGAACTTACCTAGGCTAGAATTGCCTTTTGCTATAATAATGGTCCTCTCAAAAGATTCTTTGGCCATATTTTGAAGCATGACGCACTCAGCAGCAGAGGCCAGAGAGCTCTGTTGATTTAAGAACTCAGAGCCCTGACGGAGAGAAAAAATAAGTCACGTGAAAAGGAAAACTAGACTTTGGAGTATGATTTCAACATCAAACATATTCTCTAACTGACCGTGCCTTATTCAACGAGAATCTGTAACAAAAACAAGTTCATAGGTTGCCTTCTGAACAACCTCCGTGGCCGGAGAGCACTAGCTCCAATGGGGAGATGAGCTGCCCTGCCCTCAACCTCATCGTTTCACACAAACCACACCTTTCAAACAGTACCTTTCCGCTTGGGTCAGGTAGCAGAGGAGAAGTAAGTGCTGCACTTGCTATAACATCATTTGGGAGGTGAGATTCAGCCCACACTCTCAGGTTTTCACAGCCATACTGTTGTTCGATAGCATTTGCGGGGGCATAGTCATTTATGGTGAAGCCAGAAGCGGGCCTCATGCTCAAGTCTCCTAAAGGTGGACTCTCATCCTGTCTTTGCAGGAGACTCTGGGTGTACAATTCTTCCAAGGACATGTGCAGGTCAAGTACTGGATCTGAAGAATTCTCAGTAACATCCTGATTATTAAAGAAGAGAATGAAAAGTTATGGCCAGAATTATATCAATGTATGATCCTTTCTTAATGAAAGGCTATTTACTAAAAAAAACAAACAAACAACGTAATTGTTCAGTATTTAAAAAGCACTAGCAAACATACAAATACTTCGCTTAGGTGATGTGCATATACCTTTATTTTTCTAAATGCTTTTCAATGTATCTCCTGCAATCATAAGTCTTACATTCTGCTGAGTTATATTATACAGTACATGGTATATGAGACCACTTAGATACAAAAGTATGCTCTATTCACTCAGTGTTTAATGTACATGGGAAAGCAAGTAACTTATATTTCCAAGTCTTATTTAAAGAACAGTTCATTTCCAATGAGATTGCGTTCGTATGTATCACAAGACCGCAATCATACAGAAAATGACATTAATTGATTCAGATTAGCAAGAACCTTCCAGAGGAAATTATTTTAACATTTATAGGTGTTTAGGAAAAGAACAGAAAGCCACACTTCGTATTATTGTAGAGAAAATTTTCACAATATTCTGCAAGACATAACAGAAGAAATACTAAGAATGGATATTATTCTAACCCATTAGAAGATGTATGTTCTAACCCAGGCTGTCTCATTAGCAATCTGTATATCACAGAACTTCTTTTTGCTTTATATTCATTTCTAAAATTCCCTAAGCTCTGAATTCTATAGTTTTACTCCTATGTAAACCCAGGTATCTACTTACAACATATATATTGTATCGCTTGTGCTCTGGCAAGCACCTGCTCCACGAACTGCTGTTGTTGAATAGACATCAATTTTCTCTTCAATTCTCTGATTGATATTTTTAAAGTATAATAGTAGTGTGTCTACATTACCATTAGAAAAGATTAAAGCCATTCAGATACACAGTCTGCATGCACACTATATTAAAGTCTTCCTCTGTGGCTCCTACTTCTGGTCCTTTCCCCCGTGAAACTAGCTGGCTTCAGCTGTGTGTTTATTGATCGCACATTAAAAATTCACTTGATGTATGTAATTCCAAATGCACACACACTCACACATCCAAGCACATATACTTCAATTTTTAACCTAAACTGAACCATATGCTGCACAGTAGGCTTTTACTTGCTTTTTTGAAGTATCTTTATATAAGAGATCCCCATGTCAATGAATAAAATCCAACTTCAGTCTTTTTATGGTTACAAAAAACTCCTAAGTATGAAAGACTTGAGTGCAGACTTCGGAGCCTGGCTGCCCCGGTTCAGGTGCTGACTCCATCACCAGCTAGTTCTCTGAGATTTGACAAGTTACTTAAATATACCCTGTATCTTGGTTTCCTCGTCTATTAATTAGGGAAAGTAACAGGACCTGGTTACAGGACTGTTGGGAGCACAGAGAGAGCTAATTCCACAAAATACTAAAAACATGCTTAATTTAACAGAAAATGCCCCGTAATTGTTAGCCATTGCTGATATTTTTACTCGACATCTTTGTGGACCTGTAAAAATTTATTCAGGATCAACTGCTACAATCGGAGCAGTTGTTCAAATGATATACACACTTAAAGTGATATGCACACATATACTGCCAAACGGTCTACCAAGTTCCTCTCACAAAAAGGGAACACGAGAGCTCCTATTCACTAATCTTGAAAACTGTAAATCAGCTTGGCAGTTTGAGTTGTAGGAAATACATGCATTAGTGTTTTAGGGTTTTAATGCATGTGTCCCTGACAAGTAGTGAGGACACGCCACTTGTACGTCTCTTGTGAACATTCTCTTTTTATACTTTACCAAAGATTCTATCTGATGGTATTCACTTATTGTCATCATTAATATATTTTGAATATAAAGTCTTTGTGATATATACTGAAAATATTTTCCTAGCTTGTTACATCTAAGTCTGCATATGATCTATACATGCAGAAGTTAAATTTTATATGTAATCAAGAATTATGTAATTGCGTCAATTTTTTTGTGATTCTGGGTTTTCTATGTTGTTCAGTAAGTCCTTCTTCTGCACAAAGTAAATGAAATGCTTTCCTTTTTTTCTTGTGTTATCATTGCTTTCTTTTCAGATTCCATTTTAACCCATCTAGGGTGTGGTGTGAGATACGGGGCTGTCTCTTCGTGTGTTCTAAGTGGGTAATCAGTTGTTCCAACACAATTACACTCCTCTCCCTCAATAAAGTTTTCACCTCTCTGGATTTAATATATCAATGGGACGAAGAAATGAGAAAAGTGTGGACATCAAACAAGCAGAGAACATCTTTAGAATCCTCAGGAAAAAATGATGGGGAAGTATCATCCTCTATACCCCTAGAACCTAGACAATAACCGGCTAGCTCTGACATCCAACTTGGATCATTTCAGTTCTATTAAAAATAACAGTGTACTTACTAAAGAAATTGGTTAGCTTCTGTATTATTAAATTAATTATGATAATTAGCAATAAGTCATCTCTCCCACTCCAAAAAATAAAGATAACAATAAAAACTACTTTTCATCAGAAGGAGGTCAAGCTGCCCTTGTTGGCTGGGGTTTGCTGTAAATCCTGTAACAAATTTCCATGCATTATTCATGAAGGAGTTAGCACAGACACAGAAAAGAAAGAGCTAATCAACACAGCAGACAACATAAGCCTACTTAAGAAACGTTTCTGGTTGCTGAACAACCAACTGAGTTTTATTTTTAAAAGTCTTACAGTGACTGATGGGAGGAGAAGGATATAAGGGAATTAAATGGTAATGAAAAAATACAATAAAGATTAAATAAAAAAAGAAAAGAAGCTCTTTCCCCATATATATCCAAAAATACACATAGTTTCCCATTGCAATCTGGTATCTAAATGAAACAGAGGTACCAAAAATCCACCCTAATACGCCCTTCTACTTGATACGGTCTTGTGCTCTGGAGGAAAAAAAGGGGGAAAGGTTAAATAAAAATGTCAAATTTACTTGAAAATAGGTCTATTTCTTAAATGTAATGAATAACCTAAGGCTGTACTTGACCACATCATTTACCAGGTAATATATTTACAAAGACTAGCTTAATACTTAAACTTTCATTGGATACAAACTGCTTTTCTTCAATGAGCAGTCAACCACAGAAGTCTTCTTATTACTTTTCAAAAACAGGCTATAAGCACGGCTATTGCAACTTACATTGTTCCCACACTTTCTGAGTTAGGGTCCTTTATTGTTTATATGCTAACTTTACTGAGCAAAAAGGCAACATCTTTTATACCTTTGAGAGCTTCCATTTTTGTTGTTAAGATTTTCCCAATCACTCTCATCATCTGACTAGAGTGATTTAATTAGTTTTTTAATACTAACCCTCCCCTCAAAAAAAAACAGACATTTTAAACATGGATGTAAAGCCAGTAATATTTTATGTTATACAATGACAGGTGAAGATTGGCGGATTTGTTATGGGAGAAACTCAGTTCTTGCTGATGCAGTAAAGAATTACAGACCAGCAAGCCTATCAGCATGCAAGCAAAATTTATTAGTGCTAAGTTCTAATAGGTAAGCAAAAACAACAGTGGCAAGGGGCCAGATGACAAGTGCCCTGGTGGCCAGAGCCCCTCCCTGACCCTGCCAGCCAGAGGCCAGCTAGCCAGGGGCCCCTCCATGTAGCAAGAAAGGGCCAAGAGAGAGGGTCCTTTGTTCTGAGGACTTATATAGTTGGTAGGATGGGGTGTGGGAGTTACTTATGGATTGATGGATACAGGTGGTGCCAGCTTCTCCCAGGGAAGACCTAACTACCCAAATGTAGATACATGTGGGGGCCTGTTACCCTGAATCCCTTTCTCATGCTAGACTCCATTTGTTCACTTTGCAGATATGACTAGAGGTAGGCAGTTAACCAAAGTCATTTTATGGGCTTTTTCTTTGCTCACTGTAGACTCCTCCCTTCCCCCTCCAGGTCCTGGAATAAATACACCATCTCAAGGTTTTCCTTTTCCCAGCAAGTGGAGATGACACACAAAGACCTTCCAGGGCTCCTCCCTGTCCCCTACACTATCACAATTTTGCTTGTTCAGAATGCCTGGCAGTCCTACTGAATCTGGCTCAGGACTACTGGGTCAATGGGTGAGACATGTTCTTTTGCTTTCAGCCTCCTATATCAAGTTCTCTTGTTAGAATGCAATGCTGAGGGTCCTACCTTTATTTCCCCTCTGGCCACTCAACTCCTAGCTGCTACCGTAACAGATTATATATTTATCTATCTACCTATATATCTATATATACTGATATCACAGACTCCATTAGCCGTGCTTGGTGTACAAGGTACAAAAAGGAGCTTCTCTCTTGACGAACATCAATTTCAACTTTCACTGGAATCAACAGCATTTCCTACAGGTACCAGAGCCCAGAAATGAAGGACAAGCACCCAACTGGAGACCTGCCAACCCTGGAGGAGTATGAGACCCTGGGTGCACCGGGAAGGGTGGGGCCTGCAGGTGAGGATTAGGAGAAAGGGAGACTCGTCACACAGCTATTAAGTCTTTACTGGGCATATTTTTAAGCCAAAATAGGAAAAAATAAATGAAAGCATCCTCTTCCCCAAGACATGTTGAGCTTTTAAAAGAAAATCTACAAGCATTCAAGTCTGAAAAGAATTAGTTCTGCATTTGTTATGTCTTTGGAGGGAACAAGAAAAAGGGGATAAAAAGATTAATCATACAGTTAAAACCTAAAACAGTAAGAAAGGGGAAAAAAAAAACTGGCTTTTTGCCTTTAAAATTCACCTTTCAATGGCCTGCCTCCATTAATCCAAATACAGGGAAGCAGCTATATTTTTCAGATTTTTGAGTAACGGTTATTTCTCTTAAATCCTTAACTGATAATTAATCAAATCAAGCAAACTACTTTAAAAAGAAAAACACAGCAAAACAGACTCCTTGACGGGAATATTTTGTACAGAGGAGCTCCGCATGGGGCCGCAGCCCTCTGGGGTCTGAGATGAGGAAGTCTTCCTTTCAGGGTGTGCTCCTGCTCTGGGCGCCCAGTTCCCACATCTTCTAGCATACCTGACCAAAGTGAACGACCTCACATTAATGTAAGAAGAAAGGCAAAACTACCCAGTGCTACCAGACACAACTCTGGCTACAAGATTATTACGTATTTAGTAAAGTCAGAAACTTGAAGAGTCACTGAGATCTTCACCCTCTATTTCATCCTTTTTCACATCAGTCTACAGGATTCTTAGTTTTACTTCAATATCATCTACTATTCAATCTTATTTTATCAAGTAAAAACTCCTAATGTGAGCTCACTTTTTTAAAAGAAAAATGGTCAATTCTAAATTCTATAACAAATTGCCATTCTGTCTTTTCAAAAGTAAATTTTGTGAAAAGAAACAGAAAGATGAATGCATCATCTAACTTTTTATTTATTTACACACAATTCCCTAGTAAATATGTAGATGCTAAAAGATGCTACAGAAAACAAAAACAAAATCAAACAAAACAGAGATTTACTGAACAGTCCTACTTTCACAGAAAACTAAAAGCACACAAGAGTTTCACAATTTGATTTAAAACACCCTCATTAATGTCTTCTTTCTTGTTTTGTAGTTTAAATATTTCAGTTGATAAACCGGCTTGCCAAAATTTGCTTCATAAAAAAAGTAAACTCCTTGGGAATTTAAAAAAAGAAAAAGAAAGAAAGGAGGCAAACAGACTTCAGTAAGCCAATATGTTGTGTTGCATATAGCCAGCATTTGCCCTGTGAAATATATGCACTTCTCAGCATGCAGATTGTGTGATACCTTTAAGTAACAATTTCAAAGTTAAACAATGCAATCTGTCCCACTGGCAAGAATGGTGCCATGCTGTGGATTAGGCAACTCCATTAGGAGATGAACTCAGCTTCCAGCCCTGAGGCAAGGAAAGACTGAACATGGTCCAGACAGGATGCAGTCGGAGAGACAGTCTCAGGTGTGGGGAGAGAGGAGCAGCTGCACCATTCGAGATTGTACCTTGTAAACCAATTCAAAAAGATTGCCCAGCATCATTTGCAAGGATAACAGGTGTACCTTAAACATAAAAGAAAATCCTTGAATGTTCTGGCCAAAACAAAAAAACTTGTTCATTCAGAGAAGGAGGAAATCTGTGCTAGACCTATGAAAATTCTACTTTCCAACTCATTCAAATTCCCTTCCCACTGATTTATGTGGAAAAAAGATATTTCATATATTTAAGAAAGAATTACTGGCCAGTCTTTTATCTTAATTTTTATTATCTGTGGATAGTTCCAACATAGAAAAATAAAGAAAATATATCTACATATGAACTTTTTGCTCAGATTTATAGATATTAACATTTTGCCCTATTTTCTTCAATCTCTTCCCAAAGTGATACAATGCATTAAATTACATTCCCATGCTTCCTTTTTTCTCTAAGAATAACTTCTTTCCTGAGGTTGAAAAGCAACATTACCACAGAGTTTTAGCTTTTTAAGTACATACACATACTCATAAAAATACACTGAATTGCTTTGTATAGCAAAAATATAAACAATGCCAACAACTCAATAGAAAGATAAGCAACCCATTAAGAAACAGTCAAAAGATACAAAGAGGTCACGGATGAAGTGAAACCCAAATGGCCAATGTATTAACAAGGAGCTCAACCTCACTAGTAGTAATCAGGGAGCCCAAATTAAATAATAGGATACCATTTCATACCCAAAAGATTGACTAGGTTTTAAAGTATTACTTATTAAACATTATATGGCATGTCACCAAGAAAATAGAGTTGGAGCATTATCTGTTTCTAAAATGCAAACATCACAGGTATGACAAAAAGTAATTTAATTCTTCATTCACATCCAGTGACTTAAATACACTGTGCTGTTCAGTATGATTTTTATGTATTCTTTGGCATCATTTTATATAAAAACATATGACAGCATTAAATTTAATTAAGCTAGTAAATATTAAATTAATGCAAAAATATTTTCATGAGTCATTTTTAAAAACAGTAAGAAAATAATTGTAATTTTTCCAAAGTAGACCAGCTAAAAAAATGCGATTTGAGAAACACATTCCATGGTTGTCTTTGTAACATGAAATCCTAAACAGAGCTTTGAACTGTTGTGTCTACACTGCATCCAGACCACAGAATTAAAAAGCCCCTATGAGTCTAAGAGTTACCCAATCAATACTACCTAAAGGACACTGCACTTTAATTTGATAATGAGCCCATGACTTGAGGAACATATTGTTTCCCACATGCTACTCCGATAGCTCAACTCCCCCTAGCAGTGATCTCTGGAAAATCATACACCAGGTTCGCCCATAGATGAGATAACATTTCCTTCATACCTTGGCAGGAGAAGATGGAAGGGAGGGACCATAGTTCAGGCCATCACTACAAGCACTGCCATGAAGAGATAAAATAGAGGCTGGAGTAGAGTAGATACTGTCATTATCAGGAGAGTACTGAGACTCAAATGCAGACTCATTTGCTAGGTCAGCATCATTTGTGTCCACCTAGGAATAAAAGCAGTAACATCAGTTGAAAATTCTATTCTATTATACATATACGATAAAGTCTTCACTTGAGACTAACAGGCATACTGAAATCATTCCTTATCTATGCTGTTTTCTACATAACCTCTTCACCCTCTTCACTGCATCAGAGACTGACTAATGCAGTAGAAGAGGGATGAACTGCCCACCATCTGCAAGGGATGTATGTTGGCTTGAAGGTTATTTTATTCCATCAGTAAAGAGCTAAAGGTAACCATTAATAAAGGACCCGGGTCAATTCTAAATTTGAACAGTTCCATAAATTAAGAAAAATATCTGCTTTTTTTTCTAGTTCACATTATTTTTAAATAATACCTGCCCAACTTCTAGAATTTTGTAATACAATGAATGAGGTCATCACTTTTCCTATTCAACCAAAATAAACTTCTTCGATACCACTGCCAGGTGATAATCTATTTCTAAATCTCACTAAAAACATATTTTAAGTTATCGTTAACTGGATTTAAAAATCACCCAAGTTGCAGACTTGGTACTTGATGATGATCATCAGAAACTAAAGAGGAAAACCCATCATTTCATGCTGAAATCACACTAATAAACAAGGTGCTCAGTTATGGTAAAACTGTGTTATAAACTGCTATGTTTATAACCCACATAGAGTTTGAAAAACCACATAGAGTGTGGTAGACAATTTCACTATGCCTTTTCTAAAGATCCTATGACTATCTGCTGTGGAAAACCAAATGACAGAGTCAAGACATGATAAGCTTGAAGATGTTCTTATAATTCACTCACTGTTACACCTTAGAATGGGTAGAACTGACATAAATATTAACCTTTTCCAATATTACCAGTATTTTCTGTTTTATTGGCAAAATCTCCTATGTTCTCCTTATTTGTGATTTCAACTTACACATTTAGCCAGGAAAAGTTACAAAGCAGTACAACATTATACCAGGTCACATTCTTGCATAAACATGACAAGAAAACAGATGGGCCATTTCAAAATGAACTTCTCTAATAATACAGGGTTGGGCAGAAATAATACCCCCTTTTTATTACAAAACCATAAGCATGTAATTCTGTAACATAACAATATCACACTCAAGCACACCATATGACATTTTAGGTGAAATATTCAAATGGCTGTCTATCTCGTGTGAGACATTCGCATATCCTACCAACCACACTCAAGTGAGCCTGCCTTCTGCCGGATTCTGTGTATTTCAATACATGTTCAAATTCACTAGTGTGTAACTGCGTGGAGATTTATCTTTTATGTATGGACATTATGTACAACAATCTAAAAAGAAAATATTTAACTTCTGTTATCTACATAGATAATATTAACTAAGCCTCAGATAATGGATTACAATAGAAACATACTTGTTTTAAGTAACATTAAAGAAAAATATCTCAAAACAGTTTGTATACCTTTCATTGATGACTCTGAATCTTAAAAGAGATCCCAACAATCAATTCATTTAATTACTGTAGAGATAAAAACACTACAGTCCAGAGAAGTTCAATGAACCATGTATATAGTTAGTTAGGGAGAAAACCAAGGACACATACTACCATAAGATGCTGAACTCACAGAAAAGTGAGACTACTCTTCTTTTTGACTGGTAGTCATATAAGGAGATTCAAGAAAGCCATGACAATTCTAGAAAAAATGATTTCTTGGGGCACTTTTAGACGATGATGTATCTGTAACCTGCAATATTTCAAAAAGAGTTTTCTATGGCTGGCTAGTATGGAATACATTTAAACCACAGTATTTAATGTAGTCCATGGAATTCTAAACTATCTACTTTTGAAGTGTTAACATAATATTAACATAATGCCCATGAAGACCTATTACCTGATTAAAAGGTAGACAAAAATGCTGATTTCTGGCTACATACTGAAACAATTAAAAGGATTTCTAGAAATCCTCAAGTATACAATTAGAGCAAGTAAGTGCTCCCATAAACTTTTGGTATGATGTAAAGATTAATTCTACTTGTTGACATAATGCCTTGCTAAATAAATTTTTCTCACAATTTCATATACTTTTCATATATGGTTGTTTTTATTCCCATTTTGAACTACTGGAACCATTGAGTTGATGAGAAAATGTTTAGTTTTCAAAACATAATGAACAAAGAATATAGTAAGACTTTAGACTATTTTGAAAAGCAAAAATTATACATAAGAGTTTTGAAAGAAAGCTTGATAAGTCATGGCCACTAACCAGAGCCAAGTCAGCCCTGAAGAGGGCTTTGTCAGCCAGCCCTTCCTCCTCACAGGAGTGTGGGGGGTAGAGAAAGCAATCCTCCTTAGCAGAAACATAGCCTTCTTCTGGTGAGAGCTGCAGGGAGAATGAAACTCAGTGTTGGAGGATGAAATGAAAAAGAAAGAGAGGGGAGAGGGGGACAGGAGAAAAAGAAGAAAAGAAGAAAGTATGGGAAAGTTTTCAAATGATACCACATGACTTTAACATCAAATGGTGAGCATAAATATGATAAATATTCATATTTAACAATTTTGTTAAGACACAGTGAGGATACTTATTGCAATACCAACATCACCTGTTAGAGGAGAATCCTTTTCAACTCATTTTTTTCATTTTTCTTATATAAGATTATCAAAATTAATAATATTTTATATTAAAGTAATCTGTTTAATTTTTTAGCTGGCAAATATTCTGGCTAAACAAGGCAACTTTTGTGTATTAAAACATGAAAGAATTGCCAAAGAATCAAAATATTAAAAAGAATCAACTTGTGTCATCCCTTATTAGAATGTTTTTTTAAGGAATGTAATTTTACTTGACAAGGAATGTTAGTGAACCCTACAATGAAGTCTCTTAATTCAGCATGGCCTTTAAAAAGCAAAAAAAACAAAAACAAAAACAGAAAACTACATGCATGCCATCTACTTAAACTGCATCCTGATCTATGACACTGTAATCCTGATCACACTACCAGGAAACCTGACATTCCTGTTCCAGCCTCAAATGAAACAAGCTACCACACTTAGATAATCGCTATGCCTGCCTCATCACCCTGCTTCATCAATACCTGCAGAAGCAGTTTAGGACAATACTGTTTCTCTTCTTTTTCACACAAGCTAATAGTAAACCTCACCTTATATAAAAGATATTTATCACATTAATGCAATGCATACCGAATTTGAAATAGCAAATATTCTCATAAGAAAAATTTATTTTAGAACTAGCTAAAACAAGAAAAAGTCTTTTTCTGTATGACTGGCACAGTTTCTCCCAAGGGCAGTAAAAAACGTGTATTTTTTTGGCGAGTCATGTTCGCCATTTTCCTTCGTCTAACAGGAAGACCAGAATCAAATCGCGTGTGGTTAATCTTAATACCCAGGGTGGAGCAAGAAGCAGGTTTACAGTCATGGGTACAAAAATTCCAGAAGTTTATTCTTATATTGTTATTTACTAATTATTTATCATTTTCCATATGAAAGCTGTAAACCTATTTTTTGCCTGCCCTGTGTATGTACAGTCCCATAATGACCTGTCTTCATTCTTATATTCCCCTTTGTATGGATCTTTTGTTCTGATTTCTTCAATCCTGATTTGATTTCAGGTTAGTTAGATGAACCTATTTTCCTTCTCCCCTTCCTTTCTTCTTTCAGTTTTCATAAACATATTTTCATAGGTTACCAATCCTTTGTGGAGTAGAAAGTGAAGAACAAAAAAAGTTAATTAACATTTTCCCTGGCTGGTGCAGCTCAGTGGATTCAGCACAGGCCTGTGAACCAAACAACCTCGGTTTGATTCCCAGTCAGGGCACATGCCTGGATTGCAGGCCATTTCCCAGCAGGGGACGCATGAGAGGCAACCATACATTGATCTCTCTCTCCCTCTCTCCTTTGCTTCCCCTCTAAAGATAAATATAATCTTTAAAAAATTAATTAACATTTAAAACACAGGGGTCCAGCCCTGGCTGGTGTAGCTCAGTGGATTGAGCATGGGCCTGCGAACCAAAGAGTCACCGGTTTGATACCCAGTCAGGGCACAGGCCTGCCTTGCCAGCTGAATCACCAGTAGGGGGAGTGTGAGAGGTAACCACACATTGATGTTTCTCTCCCTCTCCTCCTCCTTCCCTTGCCCTCTCTAAAAGTAAATAAATAAAACCTTAAATAAAATACAAGGTCCAGCAGAAGTAACACCTGCTTGAGGATGGTTGGTAGGGTAATACTATGAGTGTGATAGTTATAGTTTTAATTTGAATATTTCATTGAAAATGCTGTATGTTATGCTTGAGTCTGATATTGTTATGTTACAGAACTATATGCTTATGATTTTCATAATAAAATTTTAAAAAATAAAACAGGGTGTTATTTGTGCCGGACCCAGTATATTGACAAAGCTTACTATTTGAACAACTCCTTTCAGAAAATCAACAAATTTTTATTAGATGTTTATGCAAATATGTCCATGTGTTTGTTTCCTTAAGGGAGGGTATTTGCCCTTTCACTTAAAATATATATTTATAAGCTAAAATAATTTCACAAAGATAATGTCTCCAGTATTTCACCTCGATTCAGCCATAAGTGCTGTTACAATCTCCATGAACATATTGACATGTAGTCTGTCATTAGATATTTTTACTGTTGCAGTAATTAATGACATGAGGGCTATACGCCCCCAGGGGGAGAGTCACAAGCTGATGAACCCATTTTGGAAAGTTCAATTTCTTGCTTTGCAGTAATTAGATTAAAAAATGTGTTGAAATCAATAGAATGTAGGACCTGAAGCCACTTTACAGAGAATCTACTTCATCCCACCCTAGTTAAAAATTCCTAACTGAATTAACAGTTGTTGATGCTATTAATTTCTCTAATATTCCACTTGGTATAGATATTTTATGGCACATTTGTTTGAAAATATTTTATTCTGCAGCATCATGACATTATTATCAACTAAAAAAGGTCAAAAGTGATGTACAAAACAATGTTGTAAATTTATTTCTGAACCTCTTGTTTTATTTCACCATTTAAAAACAATCAGAATTAAATCTTTACTCTCTTGGAGCCATAACCATGGTGATAAAAAGTACCAAAACGTCATGATTCAATCATAAGAACATATGAAACTAAAAGTAAGCCATTTTGCTTGCAAATATAAAAAGGAATCAGTAAAATCCAAATTCTTACTGGCAAAGGCTTGGCAACTCCTATTTTCACAATTCCTGACGGTGCACCCTTCAGTGCCTGCACAGCTTCTTCAAGACTGCTGTTTTCCAAGTTAACATCATTGACAAACATGAGTCGGTCTCCAGGAAGAAGGCGTCCATCCTTTTCAGCAACGCCACCAGGCACCAAAGAACGAATTACGATCACAGTGCTTGCTGGATCAATTGGATCCTGAGAGAAGGGGGAAAAAAAAAAAGAAGGCAGCCCTATTTTACACTGAAAATATTTTTACAGGTTGCCCCCACTTCCCCAAACTGTAATGGATGAGTAACTATTTCAGGTGTCTTTAAAATAAATTTCATTAATACTTCTAATGAATTATCTGGGCTAACGGTTACCTCTGTTTTAGAGTTTAGGAAGAGTTCACCCTAAACAAGGAACCCTCACTTGCCATCGTTCCTGCATCAACCTTTCAAATTGTACATATAACTTTGAGAGAACTTTAACTTTTGATAAACTGTCAAATTTTATAACTATCATCTGAAGCTAGACAGATGTCAGATATATGAATTACTAAAATCAGCATTTGATAAAGAGAATAGAAGTGTTCTGGAACATCAGTAGGTGTGAGTAAATTGAAAGCAGCAGGGTACACCGTTTGAAATAAGGAAATATAGAAGGAGGCTGTACAGAATTTGATGATGCACTATAACATATACAGCAACCTTACTATCTGCACAAGGCTCCAGAATCAGGACCTGCGAACAACAGAACCCCGGGAGTCATCGGAGACAGCGTCTGGCTCAGTATTAATTAATGAGGAGCAACAGCTGCGTGCATCCAACCGTCCGAAGCATCTCCTCAGCTACTCACAGCACAGAACACAAGGAGACGTAAGGATGCAGGGCCCATGTAAACAATTTAAGTTTATTTATAAACTTATTCAAATAACAGAAATGCTAGATTTTATAATATATCTGATTCTACATTTATTATTTACTTCAGACAAAAGCAGTTAAGTTATGTGATGCTTCCTGTCTCATCATTAAAATATAAACCATCAGTTAAGTGCATGGAATTACAAATAGTTTGGACAGACTCCCAAATGTCAAAAAATGTTTCTACAACATTCCTAAAATGTACTCTGCATGTTCTTCAAATCCGCAAGAGCTGAAATGTAAAAGAAGTCAATGAGTGCAAAGTTAAAAAGACATCCTTTATGATAACCAATGAATCATATAAATTAATATTTTGAAAGATTTACTAGACACAAGAAAATGTCTCGATTAAAATATTATCTCCTTTTTCTCTACTACTAACAATGTATCATTAGTATATATTATCTTCATTAAAATTTTGGTTAAAAGTAGGGTATATTTACCTGATAATCTAAAATGCTGAAACCGAGTCCTCTGCTCCCTTTCTCCAGCTCGATGTGCTGGACACCAGCCTCCCACATGGCCAAGGGTCCTTGAACCTTCTGTGCATTCTGACCCACATCGGTCATCTCCAGCACAGGATCCTCTGTCTCCGAAGACCCGATGAACTCGCCTAGATCTATATGAGGCTGGTAACAGACCAGACAGCTCTTATTTCAGAGGCACTAGATTAGCAGATACACATAACACTACAAGAAAAAGGGAGATTCCCAGCTTCTTTACAGAACAAAACACTCTCAAATAAGAGCAGCAACAGCTGATCAGGAAACCTTTAGGGATTAAGGTCATAATTACTGAAGGCTATTGGACTAGAAGTAATACCTAACAATGGGAATTAAAAATGTATGGTTCAAAGACCTTATATGAAAATATACACTGGTTACATCTCAGCACCATGACTGTGGCTGATTTTCACTTTTTTCATCAGTGTCTATAATCAGAAGAAAAAGATAAAGCTATTCTGATATTAAAAAATGACTCTCGCCCTGGCTGGTGTGGCTCAGTGGATTGAGTGCTGGTGTATGAACCAAAGGATCGCTAGTTCGATTCCCAGTCAGGGCACATGCCTAGGTTGCTGGCCAGGTCTCCAATAGGGGACATGTGAGAGGCAACCACACATTGACGTTTCCTTCCTTTTCTTTCTCACTTCCTTTCCCTCTGTCTAAAAATAAATAAATAAATTTTTTAAAAATAAAATATAATTCTTATGATAAATAACGACTACAGAGAAATGGCTATATATAAAAGCTCCGTACTTCAGTGCAAACAAGGATTCTAAGCTTCTGTGTCATGTGCACAAGGTTATTTCATTGATGAGTTAATGTGCACAGTGGCAAGACACACTCTGCAGTTAGGTGGGCCTGGGCTTGAAGACTGTCTCTAAGATTTCTTATCTTAACTGCAGGTATCTAATGTTAGTCTTCAGAAAAGCCAATTAGATCCATTTCTTGACATTTTGACCTGAATGGAAAAGACTCAGCAAGCAGAAAAATGGTAGTTTTGGGGATGCAGAGTGTTACCTCATATGTAGCATTAGGAGCTCGAATTTATCACATTTTAAAAGTACTGGTAGTATACAAATAAGACATACACCAGCAGAGATGATGTGCCCACCCGTGTTTAGCTACTTGCCAAGCAGTAACTGTGTGTCAGGCTCTGAGCTCAGTAGGTTATGTAAGAGAAACTTTACCACATATGTACTACATATTCACTATTACATATTTCAGTCTTCTCTCCTATAAAGACAATATTGAGTACTGATTCCACAGGAATATTACGAATAAATTATACAAGCCTGTAGTGGGCATTAACATCTAATATGCTTACATTACCTTATTTAACCTACAGAGTAATGCTCCAAGACAAGCAACATTACTTACATTGTACAGAGGAAAAAACTGAGATGCAGAAAAATGAAGTCCATTGCCCAAGGTCACAGAACTAGTAAGTGCCAAGCCTGATTCAAACCCAAGTCTGTCCGACTCCAAGGTCTATCTTATACGCTTTGGTCAATGTTAGGAAATCAAACACCAAATAAAAGAGAATTAAAAAATATAGAACCCCGTTTAGGCCTTCCATTACATACTCAGATTAGTCTCATACCCACATTCCCAGTACCTTTTCTGTTATTTCAATGTCACACAAGTCCAGGCTCTCCAATTCGGATTGGGTGGCAGGGGGCACAGTTCGGCGACAGCACACCATGGTTACTTCTATAGGCAATTCTTTTAAAATATTCACCACATCTTGGTGATTTTCCCCAAGCAAAGTTATGCCATTCACCTGGGGAAAAAGACAAGTTGTCCAAGAAACATTTCATAATGTCAACATTCTTTTAAAAACAATTTTCTGTTAAATATACATTTTACTATTGCCATAGTTCTGCTGTGCTCAGAACTACAGTTAGACTTGTAATAATACCATCAAAAACAATTGACATGCAAGTACAGTCTTGCTGGGATTGGACCTTCTAAGACACTCTTGGATAAATGACGAGCCTCCATACATATTTAATCTGCCAGTGTAGCAGTTTGGAAAGAAGAGTTAATAAAAACTTTCTTTTCCTTCATATATTTTTTATTTTATTGATTATGCCATTACATTTGTTCTATTCCCCCCTCTGTTCCCCTCCACCCCGCACACCCCTCCCCCACCATTCCCCCCTCTTTAGTTCATGAACTTTCTCAAAAGATGAAAGGAAAAAATTATTTTTAAAACTGATATTTTATATTATTATTAATAAAAAATCAAAATGGAAAAAATGGTACATAGTGTGTGCTGGCACATTTTTTTTGAGTGGGGCAAAAGAATACATTGAAACTTTCTTATTTATGCATTAAAAGTACCCAGAAGGTTGCTTAGACATAAGAGTAGTTACCAATTGAAGGCTGATGGGAACTAAGTGAACTGGACAAGAAAGAGGTTTTTACTCTAAAGCTTTGCATTTTTAAAAATTTTTATTTTACTGATTATGCCATTACAGTTGTTCTATTCCCCCCCTTCATTCCCCCCACCCTGCACACCCCCCTTCCCCACCATCCCCCCTTTAGTTTATGACCATGTGTCTCAAGTTCTTCGGATTCTATATTTCCCATACTATTCTTGCCCTCCCCCTGTCTATTTTCTACCTACCATCTATGCTACTTATTTTCTGTACCTTCTCCCCCCTTCTCCTCCTCCCACTCCCGTTGCTAACTCTCCATGAGATCTTCATTTCTATGGTTCCGCTCCTGATCTAGCTGTTCTTTTGGCTTGCTTTTGTTTTAGATGTGGTTGTTAATAACTGTGAGTTTGCTGTCCTTTCACTGTTCATATTTTTTATCTTCTTTTTCTTAGAGAAGTCCCTTCAACATTTCATATAATAAGGGCTTGGTGATGATGAACTCCTTGAATTTGATCTTATCTGAGAAGCACTTTATCTGCCCTTCCATTCTAAATGAAAGTTTTGCTGGATATGGTTGTAGGTCTTTGGATTTCATGACTTGGAATACTTTTCTCCAGCCCCTTCTCGCCTGTAAGGTCTCTTTTGAGAAATCCGCTGACAGTCTGATGGGAACTCCTTTGTAGGTGACTGTCCCCTTAGCTCTTGCTGCTTCTAGGATTCTTTCATTTTAATCTTGGCTAATGTAATTATGATGTGCCTTGGTGTGTTTCTTCTTGGGTCCAACTTCTTTGGGACTCTCTGAGCTTCCTGGATTTCCTGGAAGTCTATTTCCTTTGCCAGATTGGGGAAATTCTCCTTTATTATTTGTTCAAATAAGTTTTCCACTGGTGGCTGTTCCTTTCCCCCTTCTGGTAGCCCTATAATTCGGATGTTGGAACGTTAACAATGTCCTGGAGGTTCCTAAGCCTCTCTTCACTTTTTGAATTCTTGTTTCTTCATCCTTTTCTGTTTGGTCATTTTTTTCTTCTGGTCCACTCCTTTGATTTGAGTCCCAGTTTCCTTTCCATTACTATTGGTTTCCTGTGCATTGCCATTCATTTCAATTAGTTTAGCCTTCATATGTTCCTCTAATTTGTGACTAAAATCAACCAGTTCTGTGAGCATCCTGATCACCAGTGTTTTGAACTGTGCCTCTGATAGGTTGGCAATTTCTTGTTCCCTTAGATTTATGGGCTCTGGGGCTTTGAAATCTTCTTGAGCCATTTTTGGTCTGTTCGCGCTCATTAAGTATGAGGAGCGGAGCCTTAGGGGCAGGGTGGGGCCTCCAGGGCGGGGTCGCTGGGTTGTGATGCTGTATGTGGTGGCGGGGTCAGAGTGGGGAAATGGTGTCCCCCACTCCTTCTTCCTTCGGCTGAGTGAGGAAGGAAGTCTTGGGTGTTCACCAGGGTAAGGTTGCTCAGGTCGGTGGATTGTGACACTGTATGTGGGGGTGGGGTCAGAGCCGGGAAATGGCGGCCATCTCTGCTGCCTCCCATTGTTGCTGGGACCCGCTCGGTCCCGTCTCACTGCCCACTCCCTCGCCGGTCTATCGGTCAGGCTGAAGAATTCGTTGTTATCAGACTTCTGGAAAGTTCAATTTTCTGTGTTCTGGCTGTGTTTTCTGTTGCTAATATTTTGTTGTCTCTAAATTTGGTTGTGCGAGAAAGCAAGGCATCTCCACCTATGCCTCCATCTTGGCGGAAGTCTCACTTTGCATTGTTTGTGATTTAAAAATATGTAAATAAATATTCTAAAAGTTGACAATATGTTTTTAAAAAATTAAGGAATTTTTGTAGTTTTCTCAACCTAAAACAACAAATAAACTCAGCATGAAACTAGGTCTGAAACTCAGCATGAAGTTAGGTCTGAAACTCAATGCAAATATTGACTTGAATTTCCTGCTTTGGGTGGAATTTTATTTGTAGATCTCTCTAAAGTACCCTTTAGAGGGGACATTTATAATAAGAACTTGCTTATTCACCACCTGAAGCTTCCTGCAGCCTTTTAAGAACCTTAGCTGGGGCGGGAGAGGACAATGGTGCAGCTCCTTACTTCCAACAGCTCATCTCCACTGAAAAGCTTCCCACTGTGTCCGACAGGACCTTCGGGTAGAACAGACCGGATAAAATGGTGTCCCACTGTTGCTTCCAGACTTATCCCCAACCCACTGTTCTCACTGAACTTGCTCACACAGGCCACCTGAAAGAAGAAAAATCGTCACAATTCTAATATTCTTTCATTTTTTAAGTTCTTATGTATGCATTTTATATTACTCAAAACATGTCAACTTTCTCACAAAAGCTTCATAAACCTTACTGTAAAGCTGCAAAACTTTGGAGCTTTTCCTTTGGAAGTGTACTAATATCTATCAGTTTTATGAACCAACAGAAACCAAAAGGAAGAAGCAAGAAGCAAAAACCCAAGAAAATTTGCCAGGTCTACAGATAACAGCCGTCTGGAAAAACGCACACTTTGCATTTACCATGTGCCAGTGACTGTGCTAACCCCTTTACACAGTTTACCTCATTCACTTCTCTCAGGTCCAGTTTCTATCCTAATTTACCAGGTTAGGAAGGTGAGGTTCAGAGAGGTTACCTTAACCACAGTTGGTGAACAGCCAGAAAAGAGCTATGAACCTAAGCAGCCTGAACCTATAGCCCACAGCCCTCGCTTATACTGTACTGAGGGACGACACTTGTCTTCAAAAGAAAATCAAACCTTAAAATAGGAGAATGACCTTCCTATTTCCTATGTTACTCACAAAATAATGAAGAATGTTAGGAAATCACCCATTTTCATAAAGACGCCATTCACTGTTACATTAAAATTGGAAGTATACTAAAAATTACCTACTTCATCCCCTGTATTTTACGGTTAAGGAAACTGGAGATAGAGAGACAGAAAAATGCTGCTTCATTACAAAAGATCTCGTTCGTATCTTAGTGGTAATATGTGCAGGGCTCTCATCAGAAACTGCCTCATCTGACTGAAATTGAGCACTGGATGACCTTCTCACTCCTAAAAACCTGTTGTAGACGCCTCTTCCTCTGAGCAGCCCTCCAGGTGCCCTCGTAATGTCCATCAACCCTCCTCTCCACTGTACCACCACTCCTATGATTAGCTTTGTGCTATAGACTACACAGACAACAATTTAAAGTTGGATCCAAGTCTAACTTACCTTCGTTGAGGGCCAATAAATAGTTTAGTTCTTTCGTACAGCTCACATGTGCCCTTGACAGATATGTAACAGCGTGAGGACCACCCTGAGACCATGAGCGCAAAGCTCACGAAGAGTTCCCAGTCTCTAACACTGGCAACAAAGCGGCAGGTTAAAGGGCTCCGTTCACTATTCAACCACCACCAGAAGCGCAGTCTCAGGTCGGGGCCAGGTGACCCCATGGGAGGAGTTCCTCAACTTTCTTTTCACGTTAAGTTAACCACACTTAAGATGGACCTTCTTGTATTTTCCCCAATTCGATTTAAAATGGTAGTAACAGCTACACTCATTTCTTAACTGTTAACTATCTTGAGTGTTTAAAACAAAGATCATTGTCAGGAGAATTAAATCAAACATGAAGAACACTGCTTGGCATGAAGAGATCAGTAAAGGCTAGTTATGAATATTATATGAATCTATTTTCTTTTCTCTCTTCTAATCTGAAGTTACTTAATTATAAGCAATAACAGAAATTCTACCTAACCTAGTACTACATTTTTCCTTTTGAAATCCCTGAAATTTGCTATATACCTAAAGACTGATAATTTGTGGCACCTTTGTTAAATCTTTCTAGGATGCCAATAACAATTGTTATGATAGTTATGCAAACTATATTAATAAACATAAAGCAGTCAATATGGCATAAGTTATGTGAAAAAAAGCACATAGAAATAAACCTGTCAAGGAAAGTAAATTCGTGAGTGTGATAGAGAGTAGGAAAAAGTCTTTACAATTTTATATATAGGTCATAATTTATTTTTCTTTAATCTTTAAATAACTGCTATTATTCTTTTATGATTCTCTCTATAAATCCCAAGTTGAAGAATCAGGATAAAAGTCTCCCTGTATCTATATAAGGTATACTACAGCCAGAAATATTAAAACATTGATAAATTATGAATTCTAAAACTTCATCCCATTCATTTCAGTTCCTTGGTTACTATCCAACTTTCTCCAATCTGAATTTTTTAATACCTGAATCAGCACATTTAGTTCCCCAAAAAAAGCCCAGTACAACTGCTACTTTTCAAAGACTCTTTTTAATTATGGTTTTTATTGCTCTCATGAACTTTGCACTAAATACAGTTATAAGTAAGGAAGTTAGGGAGGGTAAGGTAACCTACCACAATTTCATAATTAAGTCCCATAATCCTTTGCCACTTTGCCAGCAGGGCAGCTTCCTGTTGTGGTGGGTGTTCTACTTCTTCTATCTCAGCTAACAGTAATGGATACCCTGAAATTGCCAAAACAATTCAGTTAGTGACAAACTACAAAAATTATCCTCATTTTAACACTCTTTTTTTTTTTTTAAATTTTAACATTCTATGCCAGGGATCAGAACCTGTCTATTATACAAAGTCTAACTCATCATCCAATATATGAGATACTCTGTCTCTTTACATATTTTAATAATTTAATTTAGAATCCTATCATCTTCATGTTCTAACACTATTCTAAGAGGCTGTTTTTAAGCCTTGACTATATTTCCATTGAAGTATCTATTTACAATCTAACATTTACTTAAAAGAATGAGGGCCCCAGATGACTCCGGGTTTCAGTGGGTGATCCTTTGGTGATACTAGTAAAAACCATGCTGCCTGTCATGTTTACCTATTTCACTTTTATTTGGTTCTACAGAGTAAAGAAGGACCACGCTACACCTTAGCAAAAACAGGCAATCAAAAGAAATTAACAAATAAGATATACAACTCCATGTACAATGAGCAAATAAGAAAAAGTGAAAAACTGAGAATGCGCATTAAAATAAAAGCCCATGATTGGACTGCACTAACTGGCAAAAGGAAAATAAAAAATTTTGAAAGAAAATCACTAAACAAAATTAACCTAAATATTTAGCCAAAATAAGAAACTAATTAAAAAATTTGCAAGTCATATTCAAAGAGTTCCATATTTCGTCCTATTTCTTAGTCATAAAGGCTGTTTTCTGACTCTCACTTGAGGACATTTGTTTTTAAAGATTCTATTTAGTTTTAGAGAGAGGGTAGTGGAGGGAGAAAGAGAAGGAGAGAAACACTGATGTGAGAGAAACATAAACCAGATGCCTCCTGCATGCAGACCTGGCCTGCAACACAGGCATGTACCCTGATGGGTAGTTGAACCTGCAACCTTTTGGTTTGTGGTATGATGTCCAACACACTGAACCACACCAGTCAGGTCATAAAGGTTGTCTTTTAAAAAATCTCCACAAGGCATACTCTAAATTAAAATTTAATATCCCTGTTGGCATTCAAATTGCAAATTTAAAGTGTTCCAAAATTCAGATTTTTTATTAACTGCCTTCTCTATAATGGAATTAATGAGCTTTCACTCTAGACCTGTTTCACAAATTTGTAATGACTTAAATTAATAAAATGATCTGGGTTCTCCTTGAGAAATTGAAAACAGTAAAATATATATGTATACACATTTTAATTTAGAGAGTAGCCCACCCAAATGAGTGTTTTCTTTTCAAAAGTAAATTCAGTCCAGAGAAGGATAACTACGACACAGGGATGAGCAAAGGTTATATACAGCCTTTCAACCTGCTAAGGGTTAGAAAGAGCAGAGTCGGCTCAGAGTCCTACCCTCTCCCAAACCCCTTTTCTCTGATTCTGCTGTCCTTATAAAGGTGGGCAGTAATTCAAGCAGGGTGGGATTCTGAATGCAAAAAGTAGGGAACCTACATGCTGCTGATAAAAAAATCTGAAATGTGTCTCCATACAACGACAACCTACAGTTAACAACTCTCTATTCTCCCCCTCTCCCAACTGCCCTAAGACAAGACTTAGGCATATTTCCAAAATTCTAAAGTGCAGTCTTCTGATCTTACTGAGGAGTCAAATGGCTCCTCAATCTTGAGAAAGAAGAACAAAGCAGGAGGGAATCACCATAGCTGACACCAAACTATATTACAAGGCCATTGTAATCAAAATGGTCTGGTACTGGCGTAAGAACAGACACATAGATCAATGGAACAGAATAGAGAGCCTAGAAATAAACCCAAGCCTCTATGGTCAATTAGTATTTGATGACAAAGGGGGCAGAAGCATTAAATGGAGTAAAAATAGCTTCTTCAACAAATGGCGATGGGACATGTGGACAGCTACATGCAAACAAATGAGGCTCAACCACCAACTTACACCAGAAATAAACTCGAGATGGATAAAAGACTTCAACGTAAATCACGATACCATGAAAGTCCTAGAGAACACAGGCAGGAAAATCCAAGATATTCCATTCAGCAGTATTTTCACTGATATGTCCCCTAGAGCAAGGGACATAAAGGAAAGAATAAACAAATGGGATCTCATCAAAATAAAAAGCTTCCAGCTAAAGAAAACATCAGCAAAATAAAAAGAGAACCAACCGCATGGGAAAAGGTATTTGCCAATGATATCTCAGGCGAGAGTTGATCTCGAAAACATATAAAGAACTCACATGACACTACTCCAGGAAGAAAACAATCCAATTAAAAAATGGGTAAAGGACCTGAACAGATACTTCTCCAAGTAGGACATAGAGGGCCCAGAGACATATGAAAGGATGCTCAGCATCACTAGCCATCAGAGAGATGCAAATTAAAACCACAATGAGATACCATCTCACACCAGTCAGAATGGCCATCATAACCAAATCAACAAACAGTAAGTGCTGGTGAGGATGTGGAGAAAAGGGAACCCTAGTACACTGTTGATGGGAAGGCAGACTGGTGCAGCCACTGTGGAAAACAGTATGGAATTTCCTCAAAAAACTAAAAATGGAACTGCCTTTTGAGTTGGCAATACCCCTGCTGGGATTATACCCTAAGAATCCTGAAACACCAATTCAAAAGAACTTATACACCCCAATGTTCACAGCAGCACAATTTACAATAGTCAAGTGATGAAAGCAGCCTAGGTCCCCATCAATAAATAAGTGGATCAAGAAACTAGTACATTTATATAGTAGAATACTATGTAGCAGAAAGAAAGAAAAGAGCTCCTAACCTTCAGGACAGCATGGATGGATCTGGAGAGCATTATGGTAAGTGAAGCAAGCAAGGCGGTGAAAGAAAAATACCATAGGATCTCACCTATAAGTGGAACCTAATTAACAAAACAAACAAGCAAGCAAAATATAACCACAGACATGGAAATAAAGAACAAACCGACAGTAACTAGAGGAGAAGGAGGAAGGAGATAACAGGGGAAAGAAGAGAAAAGGTCATCAAGGAACAGGTATAAAGGACCCATGAACAAAACCAAAGGTGGGGATGGTTGAGGATGGGAGGTGTGAGTGGGTGGGCCAGACGAAAGTGGTGGTGGGAAAATGGAGAAAAGTGTACTTGAACAATAAAGTTGTACTACTTTTTTGAAAAAGTAACTTGGGACCCTTGATTCGGAGTCTAAAGCCTCTCCTGTCTGTCCTTCTATACTGTGTATTCTCTACAGCAAAGTAGATGGTCTGAGCCTCCATAACAACCCCCCATCCCCCACTTACTATCTTAGGCTTTGTGCTTTGAAACACTGTTATCTTTCCCCCCTACTACTGGTAATTCACTTCAGCCAAAGTAATTTCTTCACCTAATAGTGTAAAAAATGGTAGAATGTTATCAGCACCTGTGAATCTTACACATTTCACTGCCAGGGTATATTCACAAACACAAATACTGCTTTAAAATAAAAATTGTAAGTAAAAAGCAAAGAATTTAATGATGAAGTAGTAGATATTTTCAAGAACTACAATGTTTCAATAAAATTATTTTACGAATCGACTTCCAGCCACAAAGGAAGCATAGCTAGGTATGCTTTACTTTCTCACACAACCAAAAGGACAACCACAAATTTAAAAATAATAAACAACCAGAACTGCCAGAATATCAACTGTGTGGAAGTCTGACAACCAAGGAGTTAAAGAAGAAACATTTATCCAGACTAGTAGGAAGGATGGAGATTGGCAGCTGGGGAGGAGAGGACATGCCACAAAGCAGCAGACCAGGCTAGGCAAGGCGGCAGCGGGCAGACTGGGTACTCCCATACTTGCATGCAGATAAGCCAGGAGGAACAACTGAGAAGTGAGATGTACCATGCACCCCGGGGTTCCAGTGTGGGAAAATAAAGCCTCAAAAAAAGCATGCAGTGCCCTGTCTAAAAAGACCACAGCGTTCTGGTATATTTACATATTAAAACAATGCTGCTCTAAAAAAAATGTTTAAGCAGCTTGATGGGCTCTAGGCTTATAGTAAAAGAAATCTAAGAAAGTTTTAATTTCTCTCTAAAATTCCTTTCAAAACCAACCTTGCAATATCAAAGTTTAGAACTTTTAAAAAAGTGAGAAGGAAAACCCTCCCCAAATTGGATAGTTTCATTCCTGTTAGCTTATGATTTAAAAATTCCCTTGTGTTCAGTTTAGAAATGCTTTATAATTTTCTATTCACTTTGTTAAGTAAGTACACACACATGGTGGACATAGAAACCTGAGGGATGGAGTAAAATCATGTATGTAACTGACTGATCTTTACAGGGTCCTGGTTAAAAAACGTAGACGAGATTGACCCAGCAGGAAAGCATGCCAGCTCTACATGAACTATTTTAATGTGAACTATTTTAAGCAATTAATCAGATCTACAAATAAAGATGAATGGGCACATCTTCTTTTGAATTTTTTTTTTGTAATTTACAATAGGTCCATAGAGGCTTAATCACATTTTTAAAAATCACATCTGTATAAAAGTACATGAAGAACAAGATAACCTGACTCCAGGTGTTTACCTGCTTTTTCAATTGGTAATTGTAACATAAAAAATGTTTCTCCTCAAACATAAAAATGTTCATCTTTTTCATAAGTTTCTTAAATAAAAGAATATTTTAGTAATTATATTTATAATATAATCATGCATCTGAATTTTTCAAACCCTACTGTATATATTTGAATCCCTACATGAGAAATTGTTTTTCATAGGTAAACTCTTCAATAACAACATATTCTTAAAGGAAAGTTCTCCTGTTAATGGGACAAAGAAGTAATGAATTTCTCCTGTGATCTGCCTCCCTGTATCCTAGTACTGAAATAAGTACTTCACAGCATAAATACCGGAATGGTTAACAGTGTGAGAAATGAAGCAGCACTTTCAAACCAACAGCCGATTTCCACCAATAAACCCTTTTCCCCAGTGAGCTCCATGGGGTTCAGTAATTTCCAGAGATACTCATGTATATAAGCAGGCTTCGAATGACATTACTAAGTAGGAAATTAAAGTTGATTCCTTCCAGGAAAGGCTGAGGAGTCAGGTGCACTGTGGGGCTCAGGTGCACAACCCAGGCAGACAGAGCCCCCCTAGCGAGAAAACGTGACGATGACAGTCAAAGGTCAGTCAGGGGTAGAGAGGTAAATCCCTACCCAAGTCTCCAACGCAGAAATGGTGCCTGAATCAATAGGATAAGAAGTAATCTGCTTTATTCAGAAGCCAATTCTATACCTCATGAATACATCATTGTCCCATTAATCCCGACAGCATTAAATTTCCTTTTTACTGGGTTTGCATTAAATAGTGCGAACTAAAAAACAGTTTTTAGTTAAAAGAGAGTGAAAAAACAGTTTTTAAATGATTTCAGAATTAGAAAAGAATTGAAATGTTGTAAGGGTACTACTAGCAACCAGATTAACCTGGCACTACCTTTGCTTATGCTGGCATTAACAGGAGACAATACGGCGTCTTCGGCGCCGTCCTCCCTGGACGCAAGCTCAGCCTCCTGCTTCGCCCCTCTCCTCATTAGTGTCAGGTGCACAGTTTGTCCTGTGTGCCGCAACACCTCCACTGCTTGTTGATTGGTAAAACCCTGAAGGTTTGTGCCATCCACCTGGTAGGAACAAGGCAAGTTAAAGAATGAATGGATATTACCATTTATTATCATTTCACGAAATACACAGTTAGTGCTTGTTAATGTAAAGAGAATGTGGAGTGAGTACCCCTCTCACTGGGGGATGGGCTGACACCTGTTTGGAGACCAGTACTAGCTCACACTCACTAGAATCAGTCAGGAGGGTTTTGCTATTTTGTTTAATACAGATTCCTAGGCCTCACTTCTAGAAATTATAAGCCAGCAGTTCTGGGGGGACAGTCTTTTTATACCTCTTAAAATATTTTTACATTCTGCAGGTAATGTTGATGCAGTCAACTTTGGAAATCAGTATTATGCAGGACATAAAAATACAGAAGACAGTGAAAAAAGTGGTCAATGGAAGTGCTAATATTCTCTAAAATCATATACATATGCTTAAAAATGCCAACAAAACTGCACTCCTTTTCATTTCTTTGCCTCTTCAAAAAATGTATGCAGTTTTCCCTTTTTCTAGTTCACAATGACGAATCATTTGAAGAGGCCTCAGTGAGCTGTTCAAACAGAAGATATAATCACGTAACCCCCCTTGCCTTTCACAAACACGCATAGGGCAATGCTCTGATTTCTTTCTCTGAATGGCTAGAGTGGCCTGGGTCATTATCCTCACCTCCCATCACCACCTTCACCCTAAATAATGTGCTTATCACTCTGCCCAAAGGGCTTATTTCCATCCCTCCAATCTCATGGCTCCCTTCAGCCACGACATCTCTGCAAGTTGTGCTCCCACAGTACAGACTCTCTGGACAACCAAAGTGTCCTTCGCTAGATGACAAAGATGTGGTACATATATGCAATGGAATACTACTCAGCCATAAGAAAAGATGAAATACTACCATTTGTGACAACATGGATAGATCTTGAGATTGTCATGCTAAGTAAAATTGCACATAAAAAGTTAAGAACCATATGATTTCACTCATATGTGGAGCATAAAACGGACAGCAACAAAAGAACAAACAAGAAAAAAAACAAAAACTCACAGATGCAGATTACAACAGTATACTGGTTCCCACAGGGTAGGGGTTGAGGGAGTAGTCAAAGAGTAAAGGGGGTCACGTACACGGCGACAGAACGTGATTTGGCTCGAGATGGTGAACACACAACACAACATACAGATGATGTATCATAGACTGAACACTTGAAACCTATGTAATTCATTAACCAACATCATCCCAGTGGATTTAATTAAACAATAAAATAAAAATAAATAGTGGCATACAAAATTCAGTACTAAGTAGTAAGTTTAATTCTAACCTGAATACTACTACAGCAAAACAAACCTTTCAAGCCTTATTCCATAAAAGACAGAAATATGGATGTAATATACTTGTTGCTAACAGCAAACAACTATAAACAACATTTCATTTATAAGGATTATTTAACTATACCGCAACAGTTCTACATGTGCTGATATGATTATAGCTCCCAGGTATAGTTTTAAGTAAAAAAAATATTTTTTAAAATGTATGAACAAAGATAATATCGCCCTACTTAAACATAGATACATGGATACTTTCTGAAATTTTAAAATATAAACCACTAATAATGGTTTCTATGAGAAGATTTTTTAACTATGTTCAAATTTTATATTCTTTAAACCTCAAGAACAAAAATTAATCGAAGTTAAATATATATGTTATTTACTTTCAGGATAGTGAAGGAGAAAAACACTTGAAAAAAATCTGTCTTGAGTTTCCATAAAAATTTTTAACATGCATAGAACTTAGGCTGGAAGTTCTTAATTACAAAAGATTTTTATTGCTCAACTCTCAAAGTGAGTTTCATTAAGAAAAATCAAATGCATATGATTTTGTTTACTTAATAGTAATAAAATACAAATATGTAAAAAAAGTACATTTTTCCTTTATTTTGAAAGCTTGATGGCCTAAATTTAAATATATACTTCTTACCCAAGTGTCAGAGATGGCAGAAGAACAGAACAAATTGCTATAATGAAATAGTCACAGACTTTTAAACCCAGACTTCAGTTCAAATTCCTCAGTATCTTCATCTGTAACATGGGAATAATGATACTTCCCAAAATTACAGTAGGTGGTACTTTGTACTGAAGACACTTATCAGCTTGAATCATTATTAATAGGGTGAAGAACTGATTAATACGCCTGAAAATCCCAAGCCTTCATGGGAGCAACGTTTGTTCAACATAGTAAGTCCCATCATACGTGTGAGGCCAGATCACCCAGGTCTGAACCAAAGCTCAGGCCAGTTCTGGTCCCTCATTATTGAAGGAAGTGAGTTGAGTAAGACGTGGTTTCAGATCCAATGGTGCCACAGACAAGACTGCAGTGGAAATAGGTGCCATGGCAACAAGAGATATAAAATTAACAGGAACAATTACAGGGTGAAATACTAGTGGGAGCGACTAAAAAAACCACAGCTCCTTAGCACCCTCAATTGGCTGTCCAAGCCCTCCTCAAACACAGCCTATACCTGTATGTACAAAAAGTCACAGAATATCAAAGGCGACATTTGGCACCTTTCCATAGTTACATACTTATTTAATAATATTTTAATCAATCATAACCCATACTGCTTTTAGCCAGGATTATGTATGTTAATCTAAAAAGAATAAGTTTATATCTAATGACAAGCTTGGTCAACTTTAGAGTCCTTTTATAAGGTAATGCTTATATACCTATATATAAGTAGGGCAAACTGTATTCATTCACTCTACTCCGCTCCTCTGTTAAGGTCTATAGTGAAACCCTAGGGGTCCACAGAGCAAAATCTGTGAAACAGGAATCCTGTAACAAAGAAGTTTTAATGCCATAAAAAATACTTTCTCAAAATAGTGAGAAATGGTTTCTTAATCTTCCCACCATCACAATTATAAAATGAAAACACAGTATAGCTCCATATAATAATAGCTTTTACCAAGAAAAAAAAAGATAGAAAACAAAACAAAACAAGTACTGCAGTTGTGAAAACACAACCTGTGTGAAGTACTTTACTATCAGTATCTCAAAAGTCCACAAGATGGTGATATTTTGCACTAAATTAATGCATAATCAAAAGCATCTCATGACATTCCCTAAGAGTTTAAGGTGCTTCTAAGAATGTTGCTAAAAGTCAGAAATCAGAACATTGATGATGGTAAAGACAAGAAATTATATTGAAAGCAAGAAAACATTTCACAAGAAAGGTGCTTCCACTTCTGGGTCAACAATTTCCTTTATCACTGCGCTTGCCTAAGGGAAATGATATCTGATGATCCACTTACATAAGAATGAAAATAATGACATGATGGAGAGAAACACTGTGATTCTATTTTCAAATGTGTGATCATTTCATTCCCTTAATAAATATCTGCTTAACTAATTAAATTGCATCTGTGTGCAATTATGCAAAGTATTTAAAATAAATTACTCATTTGTTTTCCTAAAAACCATACAAGGGTCCTTTCTTCATCCCAATTTTGTAGGTGAAAGGAGTTTGCAAAACAAACACAAAGTTGTAATAGGATTCAGGGACTCAACTCCTAAGTACACACCCAAGAAATGAAAACATACATCTACACAAAAACTGGTACATGAGAGTTCATAGAGGTGTAGAAAGGTGGAAACCACCCAAATATCCATGAACTGATGAACGGATAAATGAAATGTGGTATATCCATACAAGTGAATAGCATTCAGCTAGAAAAAGAAATGAAGAATTTCTTCTTATATGCTACAATATGAATGAACCTTATGCTAAGCAAAAGAAGCCAATAACATAAGATCACTTATTGTATGATTCCATTTACATGAACTGTCCAGAACAGGCACATTTATATGAAAAGTAGCTGGGTGGTCATCTAGGGTTGAGAGGATGGGGGAATAGGGAGTGACTGCTAACGTGCATGAGGATTCTTTTTAGGATAATGAAAATGTTCTAAAATTGATTGTGATAATTAATACACACTGAATATACAAAACCTACTGAATTATACACTTTAAGTGGGTAAATTTTGATGTGAATTAGATCTCAATAAAGCAAATTTATAAAAGCTTTTCCAATGGATTACAATATACAGTTTAGGGGGGAAAGTAGTAACTATGTTTCCAATTTTTAATTCAGTATCACATATAAATTTAGAGTCTGTATCTATTCACTCTCTCTCCCTCCCTGTCCTCCAAAATAAAGCACTTAAAGAAATTAATTTTCATTGCATGTTAAAATGGAGATACTGTGGGGAAAATTCATTCCCAGGAGACAGCTGGTTTAGGTGGCAAGCACACCTTGAACTTTATAGTAGATTTCAAGAGGTGAACAGGTGTAGTTAGGAGCTTTATGGAATTAAGTCCGAGAACTCAGGGAGCTGCAATGTAGAAGCAAATGGCAGAGATAAAGAAAACCTCTACTTTTTCTGTTAAATGGTGGTAGAAAACATGTAACATACAATTTACCACCTTCACTATTTCTAAGTGTACCATCCAGAAGTGTTAACTATATTCAGTCATACCACAGGTCTTCAGATGTTTTTCTCTTGCAAGATGAAACTCTATACCCATTAACAAGAGCTCTCTATTTCCCTCTACCCATCCCCTCACAAAAACCATTCTACATTCTGCTTCCAAGTTTGGCTACTCTAGGCACTTCATATATGTGGAATTATACAGACTTGTCCTTTTTTTTGACTGGATTATTTCACTTAGCATAATATTCTTAAGGTTTATCCATATTGTAGAATGAGACAGAATCTCCTTTATATTGCTAAATAATTTTCCATTGTATAATATCACATTTTGTTAACTCATTCATCTACTTGTGGACATCGGAGTCACTATGTCACCTTAGCTATTGGGAATAATGCTGCTATGAACAAGGACTCCTCTATTTAGGTGGAGAAAGTAGAAAGTGTAACACTCTACTTTCTCACTGTTATTAGTATCCCAAGGAAATAACATAAACTTAAACATAAACAAATACATATTAAGATAAATTGGCATTCCCCAATATGTCTTCCAAAGAATATTAACATGTTTGAGGATAGAAAGAACTCATGATTACAAAGGTTTAGGAAACACTAAATTAAAAGAGTTAAACAAGTTTCTCTGCTATAGAACCTCTCAGTCTTCGATTTTTTGATGTGCACTGTGAATCCCTAAGAGAACAGATCGCCAGCAGTTTTCCTAAAGTTGTTGACCAGGAAGCCCCTGGTGAAGCACCTTTTGCATTTGTGTTCTAAGGAGAAGTCATGTAGTCCCATTCCCACTGAACACTGGGCTGAAAGTCAGACTGTCTTGAACATTGCCTTGAATAGCCCGTACACTCAAAACATACTGCTGTTATTATAATAATAATGATGGGCTTGATCTGAGTAAGAGAAGCTGGATCTTTTCTTTATTCTTGTACATTCTTAGATCTAAACATAGCCCTGGTCATGGAGTCAACAACAGCAGTGTCATTCTGCTATAGAAAAAATGAAAATGCATTCCAAATTCAGATTCAAGCAAACTAAAGGTTATGACATGTGGTTTTTGAAGTATCTACAACAAAAGTGTAAATATGATCTTAATGTAAGTTAACTATAATATTAATGTTACAACCCAAAATCAGATGTATCAGAAATTATTCAATAAGGAAGCCCCAGCTTTCGAACTGAAATCAGTAGGCAATGCTCTACCTCCACAAAATAAAGTTGGTCATTGTCATGAGAGCTTTAAATCGTCAAAGCCAGCTAATGTACTGAGCTAAATGTAGTTCTCAAAACTGAGTAAGCTAGGAGAATGCATTTTTCAACCATGAAAATTAACAAAGTGAAATTAAATGTGTTACTTACTGCTATGATTTGGTCTCCAATTTGGATTCTTCCATCATGCTCAACAGCACTGCTCTTTGTAATGCTCTTTACAAAGATTCCTGAAGGTTCTAAAATTAAAAATAGTTTTATTTTTACTATTTATAAAGGTCACTCAAATAATAAATCATATTCATCATCCATTATCTAAATATAAGGTCCTAATTTTGAACAAATATAAATAAATAAGCCACAAAAACAAAACCAGTAGTACAACTTAGGCTAGAGAATAAGACAATACTTCTGTCTGTCTTAAATACGAAATCAGAATCATACACATTCAATTATTCCTAAAAATGTTTCAATCTGGTTAACCATCAATATAAAAATAATGTTGAGAAAATAATTCATAAGATAATTATATAAGGCAAATGTCAAATTAAAAAATAAAATACTAATGTTTAAAACTACCTAATTTTTTATCTCCAATGTAACCAGCAATGGTAATTCCTAATCCTTGGACATTTTTAGTGAGTTCGACATCAAATGTCTCACTTTCTTCACTTTTCTGAGTGGAAGCATCAACCTAAAATAAAATCAATAAATAAATACACAGAAAAATAAATGTAAACAAACAAGATAAGCTCAAAAGGCTACAGCCTTTATTTAGAAACAATAAACTGTAATGAACTGTCAGAGAAGCCTGCTGGAGGACCATAATATAGATTTTAGTCCTTGCATCTTGGTGACGTGGACTAGCATCAAATTTGTACTAAGAAGGTGTGTCAGCAGTAAAGCAGAACATATACCCTTATCAGAGAAACACATTATTGTTTGTGTGTACAAAACTTTAAAATTCAAACAATTTCTTATTAACAAATTCTATACTTAGAGATGGCTCATCTTCATTTTTAAAGGAGTTAGGAGGCTGAAAGAACTCACGTTTCGAATTCAGAACGAGTTCAAATCTAGCTCTGCCACTGAATCTTTCTAAGCAACACTTTGTCAATAGCCTACCAAAAATAAAACAGCATGTCCAGCTAACATTTACTGAGAGCTTCTTTTTAACAAGCAGTTAACATAAATTTATTTACTCCTTAGAACAAGGCTATGAGGAAGGCACAATTACTGTAGATTTTTCTCTGGGGAAACTGAGAAATATAAACTTTTTCAATGATAAATGGTAAATGTTCCACAAGAGGCAGAATTAAAATGCAGATAGGCTGGTTGCTGAAACCCTGTTCTGAATTGCGAAGCTATACGTAAAATCCTTAGAGGACCGTAGAGGCCATCCTGTCTACTCAGGACATGTTGCTGCTATTACTATCCTAAGTTAATAGTCGATTCTAACACCATGAATATGACAATCTATCCTTCAGACACGTTATTAACAGACTGATGATTTAAGAAATCAGTGAGATTCACCAGTGACCTATTTAAAATGGCCCCTGTATTCGTTTTGTAAATTCATTCTTTAACTTAAAAGCTATCTATAAGGAAAGTATGCCTGTTTGCTATGAGTTCCTTCCATCCTTCAATGGAAACCAAAGGCAGTGTTCTCTAACATGTACCCCTGGTGTTAATTATGCATGGGCCTGAAGGGCGAGGATCCCTGAATTAAGCATTGGTGGACTAGTGCAGTGAGTCTCCGTGAGCTACGGTATTATACACCAGCACAGTGTCAGCAGACTGCAGGGAGAACCGCAGAGGATCACAACTGAATGAAGGCTAAGGGTTCCAATGGACCTGCTGGTAGGGGCTACTAATGTTCTCTGATTTTCTTTAAGAAAACTCTTGAGTAGATCTCACTGACAGTCCACCTAAATGAAATATAACTTTATGGTAAAGTTTCATTTAGTTTTTCTCACTGCACATAATTATCTGTGCAAACTTAGCAAAAAGTTTAAAGTTTAGATAATTACAAGAAAATGACAGGATGAAATCTGCTTCAATTGAAACAAATGTGTTTTCTATTTTTAATAAGACTTATGCGAGCGCTATTTTAGAGGGTGGCAATTTGACTATCGAATGGTTTTAAAAGGGGCACAAGCTTCAGAAATGATGATATGCACAGAATAGATATTTTTCTAAGCTTTCAATTACATCAAATGGTTTTCGGTATTGCATTCATTTATATGTTGCTGAATAAAATGTTTTTGTTTACCACAAAGAATGCCACTTAAATACTTTCATAAACAAGCTTTCTTTCTTTACTTCTTTCTCTCTGCAAAAAATAGCAACCAAACTCAATCCTAAAAAACAACAGAATCATGGAAATTTCAAGTGTTCTAATAAAGTTTCAAAGGGCTTGTGGAGGAGGCAAGGATACTAAAAAAAGAATCTGAAGCAACTGGTTACAAAACACATTAATAGAAAAAAAATCACATAGATGCATTTAGATCTATGACAAAGGAATGTAGGACTTAACATTTGCTATAAAGGTTATCTAAAAACTGAGTTGCTTATCTTTTTTAATATTTAGATTTTCTGGAAAAAATTATTTTGTAGATATTTTATCCGCTACAGTCATATCATGACCTGAACTATTTGTGATAACCACATTCTAAAATTCTGAAATTGCTTAGCTTTTTTCATATCAAGTTAAAAATAGAGATGGAATGCTATACATATGAATAAAGCTTTTGTGACAACCTCAAAAGCATAACTTTTGTTTAAAACTTTATAAAAACTGGTTCAAGAATAGAGCCTTCTCATTACAAATCTGATAATAGTTGTGTGACATAACCTTAAAACAATATTAAAAGATTTTAGTGAGCATTATTCATCAGCACCACTCCCAAAACAAAGACAGTATAAAGGAAGTTGTAAGGGAATGATTAAAACTTATAGCCCACCTCACAGACAGCCTTCTAAGAGCTTTAAAGAACTAAACATTTTAGGTATTAGTTACAAGTAATTTTTTAAAACTTTTTCAGAGTGTAAAGTATTATCCTCATAAATATGCCACTTAGATAAAAAGCATAAAATAGTGATCTAGAATTCTTTACACAATTTTTCCTCTGTTACACATTATTCCCCAAAACATATTATTTGTGCCAAAATACCTCTACGTTTGAATTTTGTTTCACTTTTTATCACTAATACATAAACATGATTAAATCTAGTTTTAAAGCAAAGACCCCGTCACGTCAGTGCCATTGACCACGTACGACCTCCCCGATTCGCCATCCACCACCTTACCCGCATCTCCGGTGTAGAGCATGGGGACGAGCACCCGGGGGGCGCTGCCGGTTCCTCAAGGGCGCCTCTGGCTATCACCAGTTTCACTCTGTTCCCACACTGCCGCAGGACTTGTGCTACTTGCTCACTGCTCATTCCTGCTAGATCAGTGTCACCAATCTTTAGAATGTGGTCTCCACTGCATAATCGCCCGTGCTGAATAAAAAGAGATGGATTTATCAGGCTTTATTACTATTATCTTCATCAGAGAAATCCTAAATGAGGGAGAGGGAATAATTTTAAAAAAAAACAATGACATGAAATATCAATCATGGAACACTAAACATGTGGTTGTGGTTTTTACTGTTTTTAACTAAAATTCACAGGTATTCCTTAAATTGAGAGTCAATATGAGCTTTTCAATTTGATTTCTACTCATTAGATACAAGAAAGTATTATGTAAGCCTTTTTGTGATTTTTTTTTGAAGTATAGGAGGAGAAAATGCCATTAAACAAAGATCAAGTATAGGTAATTATACAAATACATATTGCTCAAAATATGGTATAAACCACAAGAAAGCACTGAAATAATACCACAATTTTGTGCCTTGCTATTTAACTTATACGCATCTCTAAAGATTTCATTTATAGAAAAAATCATGGTGAGATAAACACAGTCTTACAAGCCTCCATAAAAACGACGGCCACTAGAAATTTGCGCAGTGATGAAAATGTTCTGCATTGTCCAATACGGCAGCTACAAGCAGCATGTCACCAGTCCAACTGAGCAACTGAATCTATAATTTTATTTCATTTTAACTCATTTAAATTTGAATTTAAAAGTGACATGTGGCAATTACCCACAGTATTGAATTCTGCAGCTATACACTGAAGGTAAAACTCATTTATCACAAGCCTGTTAACTAGGGGAATCTCACTGATGCCACTAGAGACTGGCTAATATTAGAAGAAATAAAGTTTGCAAACTGTCAATACCTTTATTGATAAGGCTGCAAATATATCTGACTTTCACTTATGAATATGACAGATATTTGATAAATCTGACTCCTAAGATCAAATATACATGCAATAGCAAATATCTTTATAAGCAAATTGTTATAATCAAGGTAAAAGACACCTGTATTAGCTATACTTGTCTAATTAAAATATAAATCATAATAAGTAACTACCAATTCCTTATACGTATATATTCCAACGTGTCACAGCATACATAGCAATTCTGTGAGGAGCGACTCTAAGTGATAAAAACAGACTGTGTTTCACATACAAAGATGATAACAGTGACCCATCACTACAGGGGCAAGATTAACCCTATTTTTTTCCTATAATAATGAAGTATTCTTTCTGTAATATGTGGGACCATAAAATAGTTGACTAGGTTTTTAGATATGATTTGTGATATAAAAATAATGGACTACTACCTCTACAATGATCAAAAACCATAAGCTTTTGTCTGTGGGTCTATTACTTTAAATTAATAACATCTTCATTTGAAAGGTATTTCTCCCCAGGTCTAAGAAAACATTTTCAGGACAGCCCAGCGAACAGAAGCTTATAACTCAGCTTCTTTGGTATTATCTAAGGCTGAAGTTTCTCTTTCCTGACAGAGAACATAAAAGAGGAAGCCATGCTATTTAACAGAGGACCCTTTGGAAGTGGCTTACCTGATCAGCCACCCCTCCAGGCAGAATGGTCTTCACTATCACGCCAGTTGCTTTGCCTCCTACAATGCCAAACCCTAGGCCAGATCCATCATTCACCAATTCAATGGTTTCCACATGCTGCCAGTGAACCTCAAAACAAAGCTTCTGTAAGCATCTGAAAAAACTTTTAAGGAAAACTAAAATTTTCATTGTAGCTGATATTTTTGTGAATATTATTTTTTGAGTAGTATTAAAGAATGAGTTCGAACATAATGAGCCTTAAGAAATGTACCTTTTGACCTGGCTGGTGTAGCTCAGTGGATTGAGCTTGAGCTGCAGATCAAAGGGTCGCCAGTTCAATTCCCAGTCAGGGCACATGGCTGGGTTGCGGGCCAGACCCCCAGTGGGGGCCATGGGAGAGGCAACCACACATTGAGGTTTCTGTCCTTCTCCCTCCCTTGCCCTCTCTCTAAAACTAAATAAATAAAATTTGAAAAGAAATGTACCTTTTATTTAGTACATTTCCCTTTCAACAAATTGTTACTGCATAATCATTCTCGAATTATCAATACATCATCCTAGTGACCACACTTAACCAGGTAAAGACAGTGATGATTTGTGAGATCCTTTGTGAAGCATTTTTTAAAAAGAAAACAATCAAGGAAAAACTTTTACCTATTAAAAATGTTTTCTGCATAGTCCTGCCTTGCCAGGTTCCAAACCAGATGACTTCTTAAAGTCACTGAGAGCCTAACTAACAATAATACACGGTGGAGCACAAGTAGGTTTACAGTTGTTCCTCTGAAAATAACACAATGGTTAATAAATAATAACACAAGAATGAACTCTGGGCTTCATGCACTCACAACTGTAAACTACTTTTGCCCTACCCTGTACAAGCTACCATTTACAAAGCAAAATCAAGATTTTTTTCTGCCTACAGTCAATTTTGTTACAGGATTAAATTTGTTTTCATTTGAGGCATGCTGTCAAATAAAAAATCAACTTCATAAAATTAGTAAAAATTGTTTTAGAAGCTAGAAATTTAATCACAATTAAATAAAAAAATATTCCAGGCTAGGGAAGGATAAGAAAATAAAAACGCAAAACCTCAATACAGACAAAGAACCTAAGGAATTAGAAACGTGTGAAAAATCAGAAAGACCTGGAAAAATATGTTCTGTTCCTTGTGAACAGCTTACACACTCACCGGATTAGAGTGAGCTGAAATTGTGCTGGCCGCAGACGGGGACCGGGAGATGATGGGGCTGATGAGCTGAGGCAGTGAGCCTCTGGCAATAACCAGCTGCACATTTTCTTTGGCTTTCTGAAGGATGCTGATAGCTTGCTGATGTGTGATTGTCTGGTCAAGTGCCTGTCCGTTGATAGCAAGGATCTGATCAGTTTCCTTCAGTCTTCCATCTCTATCAAGAATGAAAAGTAGAGTAAAAGATATCTGACAGCTCCCAAGACAATGACAGCTTTTTTGGCATATATTTCAGGTTATTTTAATTCCATTTTCTAACGTCCACACACTTAAAGATTTTTGGAACTTCTGTATTTAAAAACCTATACTTTGCTTAATGTCACTAATCATTAGAGAAATGAAAATGAAAACCACAATGAGATATCACCTCACACCTGTCAAAATGGCTACCATCAATAAATCAACAAACAAAAAGTGCTGGAAGGGGTGTGGAGGAAAGGGACCCTTTTGCATTGTTGGTGGGAATGAAGACTGGGGCAATCACTGAGTGAAGCAGTATGGAGATACCTGAAAAATTAAAAACAGATCTGCCTTTTGACCCAGGAATCCAACATTTGGGAATATATCTGAAGAAACCCAAAACACTAATTAGAAAGAATATAAGCACCACTATGTTCACTGCAGCATTATTTACAATCACCAAGATATGGGAGCAGCCCAAGTGTCCATCAATAGATGAGTAGATAAAACAACTATGGGACACTTACACAATGGAATACTACTTGACTGTAAAAGAAAAAGAAGAAAATTTTACCCTTTGCAACAGCACGGGCAGACCTGGAGAATATTATGCTAAGTGAAATAAGCCAGAGAAAGACAAACACCATATGATTTCACTCATATGTGTAATCTAAAAACAAACTGAACTAACAAGCAAAATAGAGACACACTCATAGATGGAGAGCAGGATGACAGCTATGGGGGGAAGTTAGAAGGTAGCGAGATCAAACATAAAGTGAAAAGGACTCAGACATGGACAACAGTATGGTGATTGCAGGGGGCGGTACAAGGGGACTGAATGGTAATAGAAAAAGTACAACAAATTTTTTTAAAAAACATAGAATTTGACTTCAGTTGATCTACCCCTAATCAATTCCTCCCCTTGAAACGTCCTCTTCTTTCAACTACCCACTCAACCTACATCTTGGATATTCCTATCTTCTACAAATGAAAGCAGAGATGCATATATTTACTTGTTGTTTTGAGTATATTAGTAAAATATAGTTCAAATTATCATGAGATATACATATATATATTTCCAAATAGTCATTCTTACATCTAATCAGAAGAGCCCATTTACTAACACTGAGAATACTATCCTAATCAAATTTTTCTTTCCTTACTAAAAAGGGATTAAGTTCTGTTTATATTTAAAAGCTGCTCTTTTCAACAGGACTTACTTTGTAGCATAGCAATGTTAATGACATGTATTTCTAAACTGGTTAATATCATGACATTTGAATTTTTGTTTGTTTTTATTCACTTTTGCTTCTCTGAATTCTCCTGAACGTGGTCCCAAACCGAGAGAAGCAGCCGGCCGGTCTCACCTGTGGGCCACACTGCCCTCTTGGATCTCTTGCACAAATATCCCCAGTTCCCCCCGGTTTTCACTCCTCAGTCCCACAACACTGAACCCGAGGCCTCCGCAGGGAGGTTTGAGGAGCTCGAAGACTTCTACGTGGCGACCCTGTCCACGAAATAAAGCAAGAAATAAAACCCAAAGCCAATCACTGTACTCACAGTTAACTTATTAGTGACATCATTTTGTTAAAAAATAGATTTAAAAACTTTTTCTAAGATAAGATTTATCCCTCATCACCTAGAACAGAGGTGTCAAACTCATTTTCACCAGGGGCCACATCAGCCCTGTGGTTGCCTTCAAAGGGCCGAATGTAATTTTAGGAGCGTGTAAATGTAACTGCTCCTGAACAATTAAATGAGAGCTCGGCACTGCCACTGGGTAGAAACAAGGTGCTGGCCAGATAAAACAAGGTTTTAGGGCCTTGTGTTTGCCATCTGTAAAAATATATAATAGAAAAATTTCTGAACTACCCAAACTCATACGAAATCACTTTCATTCCAATTTGTTTCAAATGTTATAAATGTCTTCATTAATATTTAATACTACATTTAATAAAATATATACATTTAATGTATATTTAACATGTTATATAATATAAATTTATTAATATTCTTCAATTTATCCAGGATTTGATTATAGTCTTAAGATACTGTACATTCTATTGTAACAGAAATAAGTGTTCTTACCTGGGCCATATTTTTAATAAGTTGATCAAATTCATCACAAGCATGTTTCCCATTGATGTGTGGAGTACCTGAAGTTGTAAGGGCTTCCAGATTACCATTGTTTTGGGATGATAAAAACAATTCATTTTGCACAGCTGTAGCTGGGGTGATATGCGAAATATGGGCACATTCTGCATTTGAAATGGCCGATGTTGCAATGTTTACCTAAGAGTAATATAGAAATTAACAATTTTGACATTCCACAAACTGTTTCATAAAAACATCCCAACAGGAGTAATAACAAAGTATATACCAAATTTCAAATTGTCCATACCCTTTAATTCAGCAACTCTATTTCAAGAAATCTGTTTTAAGGAAAAAATCAGAATAACACAGAAAGACATGTGAATAAGGATATGCAATGTAGCACTATTTGTTAGATAAAAAATATTTTAAACTAATTACTTCCAGAGTTCAACTCCAGGGTACTCATTAAAACAGAGCAAAAACATACACACCAATACACACATTTTTAAGTGAAAACAACTAGGTACAGAATAATATGTATAATATAATTCAATGTACTTTTAAAAATGTTTATATTTTATTTGTTTACAAATGTATTAAACATCTGAAACAATATATACCAAACAACCAATATAACACTATTTGTTCCTGAGAAATTGGATTCTGGGGATTACCATATTACTTGAATTTTTAAAATAGTGTATATAGTAAAGAATTTGATTTTCCCTAAAGAGAGATCTGGCCTTTGTCCCACCTCCTAGGAAGTAACTTTTAAAGCCTTGGAATTTCCCAGATGATAGGAGTGCCTTTGTTATTGTTGGTGGGCTCCAAGGTCACATGATACAGATCAAAGTCTGAGACTGTGTTAAACTCTATGGGCAATCAATCCAACCCAGGAAATGATGACCAAATAAAACTGAGCAGAGAGCTCAGGTGAGCTTGCTGGGTTGGCAATCCTCCATGCACACTGCCATGCATAGAACTGGGGGAAGGGGACACTTCCTAAGGAAAATAAAAGCTTTCTTTGGTTTGAAATCCTACCAGGCCCTACACTACGAGTCTCTTCATTTGGCCAATTTTTGACCTCCATCCCTTCTGTAAAATAGACCAAAACTATGGATGTAATAGCTTTCCCTAAGTTCTATAGGTCCTTCTAGCGAACCTGAGGGTAGTTTTGGGAATCCCCTGCACTTGCAGTTGGCTCAGACATTAGTCTGATCTTGTGTATGTATATTTTTTTTGGATTGCCTCTGAATTTGTCTTTGGAGCTTAACTCCTTTGCTGTTGGTCTCAAAGGTCTTGCACAGAGTTGCCAGTCTGAAGGACTGTGCCTCAACCTCACAGTCTGGCAATTCCAGGTACAATAACAAAAATACACAGTGACAAAAAATAATTCCATTTGTGAAAAATAGTCTATAATTACTTTTGTGTGCCTGTTATAAAGAGCTCCAAGCTAAAGCAAAGCAATTCACAAAACAGTGCAAACAGTCAATCCTGACTTCATGTTTCTGTAGGGTGTCTAGAACCTAACTCTTTATCTCTAATACCTTATCAGAAAGGTTACGCCAATGCTGTTTTTGGATCACTGTCTGAACTCCTCTCCTAGCACTCTGTCCTTCACCCACACAGCTCCAGCAACACGGACCACTTCACCTTTCCTCCAACTGCCAAGCTGCCCCACTCTGCCAGTCAGGTACATCCTTCTCGCAAGTAGCTACACACTTACTTCTTCCATTCAAGTGTGCCCAATGTCACCACAGAGAAGCACTCCCTGACAACCATATCCAAAGAGCCATCCCACCATTATACTTCATGCGCTCACCCTGCCCTATTTTTCTTCATGGTGCTTAGTACCACCTGGTATGTACCCAGTTGCCATGGAGCTCTGACACCAATCTGCCAAGACAGACTATAATGTAGAATCTGTCCAGGGGAGGAATTTGACTATTTTATTCTCTATACATACTCACTCTCTAGAAGAGTGCCTAGCTAGCAAAGAGCTGGCATTTAACATGTATTTGCGGAATGTGTTTATTCATTTTATAAGGATCTACTCTGATAAAATCTCGCCAACAACCCTCCACATATCTTTATTTTCAGTTTACAGATGACAAAATTAATTAAGTGACATAGTATAGAGCAGAAACAGTATAAATGAGCTATACTTTTTCATCAGTGTGTTCTTATCATCTTTGTTTCACACACAGTCATTTGAGATATCATTTCTGCAAATAAAATAATAGGTAAAGAGCTTCTAGTGCACAAATCATCAAAGTATTTCACAAAACATCACCAATCAGGCCTAAGAGTATGTTACTTATCCTTAAAAATAAAACTTAAGTACCAGTAAGTTACCAAAGTTACCAATAATTCAGCCAGTATAATGGTTTCTACAACCACAGATGAAAAAGAGATCAACGTGCTTAAGAGAGGCTTTTGGGAATCCTTTCAGATACTCATTTTTCAATCTACAGCAGGTATGATCGATTATTATTTTTCTAAAGCAAGCTTCTTATGCCAAACCCGATTTTCTTTACCCTGAGCCATGGCGACTTCAATACAGTCTGCCAGTGGAAGCCGCACTGCTCAGGTCGAAGCAGATGGCGTAACGAAATCTATCACAGGCTGAGGGTCCCACACATGAAGTCCTATGGCGTATTCCATAGGAAAAAAATGTTTGGATTTCTTCTATGGTAAGCCAGAAGGAACAAATCACATTCCAAGAGCTGAGAAATCTCTGCATGTTAATTGATGAACTATGAGCTCTGATAACACGTAAAGCAAGGAGCTGAGGGCATTCCAAGAGAAAGAGAGGACCAGAGCAAGTACAGTATTAGGATATGAGAATGTATAAAAGTGCTAATTATCAGTATTTTTTCCAAATTATGTTAAAGGTTTAACCCATATCAATGACTCTTCCTGCTCTTCTGGGCCCTTGAGCTTCACATAAATGTAAAAGCAAGAATAAAGAGATCACACATGTAAAAATTACAGTTTAATTACATTATCACAAACAAGGCTTAATAATTTCTAATTCATGTCCATAAAAAAGCACAAACTCCCCTTTTGGCCTTGTTATCACTTTATTAAAATGATTTCTGAACCAATCTCCCTGAAAAATTAGAATGAATCTTACTGCCCTTGATAGGCTTGTTCACAGCAGACAGAGTGTAAATGTTTAATAAAAAGAAGCTGACTCCCATCTTGGTTTATAGAATATTAAATAAGCAGAAGAAAACACCACTATCTGGTGATTTTTCCATACAGATAAACAATCTGTATAATTTACAGAAGTTGCTAGTAAATGAGCAGGAGTCACCAAATAATTATGTGTTCTCTATTCAACTTCTGGCTGAGTGTTTCAGTCTAAAAAGGGCTTTTATGTGCTTAGTAAATAAACATATAACTTAATTATTACGTTTTAATTAGTTCTAATACTTTAAACATAAATAAAGATTTTATAAAATATTCTGTTAAACATTTGTCAAATTCTTTGTGAAAGGGCAAAACAAAACACCATCTCAGTATTTATAAGTACAGGTAAAGCCCTTATAAGATTCCATCAAAACCAGTAATTGGTTCATTACTCTAAAAGGTCAGATAAAGCAGAAATAATAACAAAGGACAGATATATAACTTAAGAACATTATTTTAACTTAGAACATATACATATTCATTCACAAAAATCTTAACTATGAAAGGGCTCTACCTTCTCTCTTGCATAAACCAAATTCATATAGTATGATATTATTTTCAAATTCAGCTTCTGAACATGGAACAAGAATTTGGACACTTGAAAAACAATTTCATTAAAGAAGCCTAGATTTTTATGAGATCTTTCTTCAATTTTTTACAGTTTAATAAAACATAACCAATTCACCATGAATACATATGAATTCATCAATTCATATATATGGTCTTTCAAAATATTTTGAGTTTTCATAATTTTTGGCACAAATTTTATATAATAAAGTCATAATTATAAAAACAATTATAACTGGGATAAACAGGTATAAAATGACTTTTTGATAAATGTGTACTCATTTGGTAAGTGCTTCAGAAGCACAAACAAGGAAATATCTGAATGAAGAAGTACTTACTGCTCTGGGCGAAAGCCTACATGCCATGTAGAGGCACTGGACAGTATCCTTTTGCCTGGAAAGTTACTTATTTACAGGTATGCTATAGTAGCATCCCAACAAAATAAAATCATCTTTAGTTCTATATACAATTAAGCTCACCTTGTGGAAACAGCAGTTATCAGAGAAATCCTTTCACTGTGATCAGTAAAAATATTTGTATAAAGAACTGTTTTTTTTAAATAAGCCAGAAATGTATCAATAAGAATACATCACTTCTGTCATATTCTATGCATTGGAAGCAGATCAATAAGCCTGGACCACGCTCAAGGAGAAGAGATCATACAAAAGCAGGAACACCAGAGGGCAGGGATTATTGATCAGTGTCCACCTTAGAAGCAAACAGTGTACCATAGCAAAGCAGCTGAAAGCTAAGAAAAAGGAAAGATCTTCAGAGGTGCCAGAGGAAAAAAACAAACTTTATCTTCCAAAAAATATAATGCTGACAGATGATTTAAGTGAATCAATAAAAAAGACAATAGAATTTAAAAATTAAGAGTAAGAACAAAAAAAATGGACAACCTAGCACTTTTAGAATACCTCCTCCGCACACATACTCACACACAAAATACTGTGTTGTCTCAGATTTGTACAAAAAATAGCAAAATAAATTTTAGGCAAAAAGAAAATGATCCCTGATGGAATGTTCTTAATGCATAAAAGACTGCAGAGCAGAAAAAAAAGAATTAAAATTGAGTAAATAGAAATTGCTTAAAACAAGGAATAATCTAAAACTTGTAATTTTAAATACATGTAGTCTTAAAGTACATGATAATTACACCGAAGAAAGGAGTACGGTAAATGGGGTTAAACTGCAATGAGTTCCTTGCGTTTTTCCAGGAAGCAGTGAGAGTACTAATTAAAGTAAAATTAAAAAAAATTAAGGGTACATACATCTGACAAAAGACTCATACATAGCTGGCTTATATAAAGAAAAGTCAAAACTTAATAGTTAAAAAATATATATCCAACTAGAAAATGAACAGAAACATTTCGGTGAAGAGGATATATGGATAGCAAATAAGAATATAAAAGATGTTCAGCATCATTACCCATTAG